TTCTGGTTCAAGATAATTAAATGCGATAACGTGAAACTGATTAAACAAACATACAATTTGATGCTTGAAGATATTGAACGAAACAATGAAACTACTAATTGGGCAACGTCTGGAAGAACAATTCTTGAAAATCTAGGCTTAAATCATGCATGGATATTTCAAGAAGTAGGATTCTAGCAGAAGTCAAACGAAGACTTGAAGATAATTTTATTCAAACCTAGATGTCTGAAGTTGAAGCGTCACCCAGGGCCGACACATATAAAATTTTCGCTACTTTCGGTTTTTCGAAATACATAGAACAAGTCAATATCAGTAAATACTGAGCTGCTTTAACAAGATTTCGTCTGTCGTCACACAGATTGTATATAGAAACCGGCAGATGGCGTAAACCGCATCTGATTCCAAGAAATGAACGCATTTGTATCTTATGTAACACACTAGAAGACGAATTTGATTTTCTTTTCGAATTATATAAAGATTTAAGAATTAGATATATAAAACAATATTTTCGAAAAAGACCGAACATTCCAAAGTTTGTTGAACTTCTTTCCAGCGACCAAAACCAAATAAATACCAATCTTGCGATGTACTTATTTAAAGCCATGGAACGCCGTAGCATAGTTTTATATTAAATGCGAGTCACTTTTCTCCGCAAAATAGTATAGTTTTACAATTTTCTCTCGTTGAAGACTTTATGTTGATATATTAAATGATATTATTGTATGCGTGTGCATGTGGGTGCGTGTGCGCGTGTGTGTGTGCGTGTGCGTGTGCAAGTTGAATACTCGCGTTTACTTTCTGTATTTTTCAAAATCTTATTGACGATGTCTATAATAGGTGTATAACTGTTTGAAAATTTGAGAAGATTTACATAAAAGCATTTATATTTTATTGACTGATACTGTTGTTTCACCAATTGCTTCTTATATAGTTTGCAAAATGATAACGATTGCATGCTGTGATGATTGATATTTTTTACAATTACATACATTTATGATGATTTATATAGAGTTGGACCGCCACTGATTATTTTGTAAAAAAACACCTTGTATAATATGTTTGTATATATGTTTTTGACAGGCATTTGCCTTTTGTTCAATAAAATTATTCTATAAAAGACATATACATAGGCAAACTTAATTCAGTGCTACAACTTAAAATGTAAAAAGAAACTGCTTCAGAACAGATACACTCATAAAATGGGTAAAAAGAACGGTGTTAATTGTTAAAGAACACAGTACAATGTTAGTTTAGACACTAATAATTTGTTAATACTTTTTTACAGAATAATATATAATTTATTCACTCTCCTATGTTAGTCTTACAAGAATCATATAAAAAATTGAAAATAAAGATATTTCCTTGCACATGGTTAGAAGTAGTTATAATACCATACAAACACTTTACACCCAGTTTGTATATGTTGTTCTTGTTTCCGCATCATAGATACAATGTAGCACCTCTTTTCATTTTTCTATTAGTCCTATGACCAGCTGTTAATTTGGGCAGTATTGTCTGAATATTAAACGGCTATAGATTATTTTGTTACCGTAGCTGAACCCATGCGTAATTCTTTACTGTAGTTTTGAATTTGGAGTAGTCCGCTCAAAGTTTAGTTAGATTATTTAGAATTATATGAAAATGCAAAGTTTGAGCCTCAAAAGTAGGTAGTAGAGTTATAGCTGTACACATTTTAAGGACAATTAATCTAAATGATCAGGCATTTAAACGACATACCGAATTGTTAAGAAAGTTTAAAAGTTGCATTTAATTTTTGAGTCTTGTTACGGAGATATAACTAATGCGGACTTAAAAAATGGAATTTACTTCAATTTCTTATATACTTTTATATGAAATATTGAGAAATATTGATGTTATAAAATGTATATTTTTTTCTTTCCGTATTTTCACTGTAATTATTTTTTCACTGCAGTGAACATATTTTCCGTATTTTCACTGGTGACGGTGCCAGACTACTTTATTCGAAATTTAACCAATAAACAAAATTTTCTCGGAAATTGTTCAAATTGTACAATCGCAATTTTCGGCCCTTTCCGTCAGTCTTTGAACCTTAGGAATACATAGAACTGATACGGTACTTCGGTCTAACCTACGCTAAAAAACTTAACATGTAAACAAATAGTAATTAAATCCAACCTGCTAACATTAAGTCGGATTTGTCTATAATTGTAAATCAGGGGGTATATCGAAATAAATATTAATTGGTTGTCAGACATATTTTCAATCATAATTGTACCAAAACATATTTTATTTTTCTTTGGGTGTCAAATATGTACATTTGTTTTACATTATCAACGATAACACTCTTTCTTCTGTATACGTCTGCAATCAAGTGGTAAAACTGCTTTCACTCCGTATTGTTTCCAAGGTTATCATGAATAAAAGCCGAGGATGCTCCGATTGTCAAATTGTAGTGTCAAAAAAAGAGAAAAAATGGATATAATTAACAGGAACTTCTATAAAATAGAGGTTTTGTTTTCATTTTCTGATATGAAAATTATCATATTTCACTCGTGGATACCACCACATCTGAAATATTAATTTTTATAAAAATCGATGAAAAAAAATCCGGTATTTTTTTCCAAAAAACTTTTAAAAATAAATCTAAATTAAAATGTGTTTCTGTTTAAAAAAGAAAAAAAAATTTTGCTCGTGTAATTTTAAAAAGTCATACGTAACTCCCCAAAAAACTTTTTAAAAATTTAAAGGTAAAGCTATTTCCATGGTATTTTCTTTAATATTTAAAATATGCCTGTAAAAATATGCCCCTGTTTTAAATTTTTTGGGAAAAGTTTTAGAATTAATTAAAAAAAATTTAAAACCCAAAAATGAACTGAAAATTTAAAATTTTATTTATCAAAAAAGACTTATTTGTTAAACAACCCGTATTTCAAAACTTTTTTTCCACCAAAATCAAAGTGAGTATTTTAACAGCTGGTTGAGATTTTTTCTTATTTATCTCATGCACGCCATGTGATATGACGCGCAATCATGCACGCCATTGTGCATATGACGCGCCATTTACAACCGATGGAAGAGCCTGCAATGATCTACAAAACGTATCAAAAGCAGATACCTCATTTCCTAGCAAAAACAGTTCAGATGGATTGCAAAGCATGGTGGGTAGTCTATACAGGTGTTGTTTACTATTTCCGACAATGTTTGTATCACATGACTACATTTGTCTTCACATCCTAAATGATGATATGAAAGAAATATCTGAAGGTATGCCAATACGTATTGATCAAAAGCTGTGTAACATTTTCCACCCTTTGTTTTTCCTTATTCCTTATTATTGTTCCAAAATTAAGAACGCATTATCTGGATTACTAAAGAAAACACGAGGCAAACGACTATCATATTCAGTCATATTTGAAAAAAATACCTTCAATTATTGTTATAACATAGGAATAATTCCTGCTGTGTAATTGAAAAAGTCCCAGATACAGGCAGCTTAAAGAACTGGTCTTTGAACTGCTACCTAAATAGTCACTGATTGCATTTCTAAACACGTTCGTACTTATTATGTTTTCGGTTGCTTCGATAAACAAAGCTTTTGCAATAGCTACATTTATACTTTCAGTTAACAGTTTACTACTTTCGCCTAACTCTTTACAAAGTTTCTCTTTGTAATTAATAATCTTATCAGATCTTACTCCTGAACTAATATAAACGATTGAGTTTCCTACATAGTTGTTGGATAGATGGGTACATTTTGTCTCGACAGGAACCATACCCATCTTTGACAATCTTCAATATATTTCCATGTATATTATTTAAACAAGTTATTGTATATTTAGTTTCAGCATTGGTCATCAATCTATTTCTAAACAAGTCATTTTCAGGCAACATATACGGAGGTAAACATTTATTTCTAACATACTGACTTATCTTCTCCAAACATTCAATAACTCGTGCATGCAACAGATGTGCGCTCCATTGTTCTATTGGTGTTTCTTCTATCAGCCAAATCATTGCATTTTTCAAATAATACGTTTTCAATGTGTTGATTGGCAATGCAATTTTGGTCCTTTCTAACAAAATTTTCAGGGTGATAAAGCATTTTAACTGAATATCATTCATTTGCCAAACAAGTTCACGTTCGATTGAGACGAAGGATATTCTCCATTGTATGTCTACAATCGGCGAAGATTCGTCCCCAGTAGGTACAACAATAGGTAGGTGAATATCTAATTTTTATAAAAATGCCGGTATATAAAAACTTGTATAAGCAGACACTTTTATAAATGTAGGTGTACGAACATTGACCGATATGATGTAATCATCCGAAACGACCAACAAATGATGAATTAAATCTTGTTCAGCCAAGCCAAATGATATGGAAATTGTAATTTTTAAAGTTTTTTTTATGATTTTGAATGATAAATTTAATTAAGGCACTTAAAAAGCCCCAAATAAGCCGTGTTGGCAAGTAGATTCGAAGCAATTATTATTCGGGACACATTGCCGATGTTAACCACTTCCACTCTATGGCTGTCAATTACTTTGTTGGAGAAATCAAGAAGGAAAGCCAGGAATGTAGAGCTTAGACAGACGGAACGAATGTGCAGGCTTGCTTTGCTCTACACTGGTGACTTCTCCAGCAGGGTTTGATAAGAAAGAAACGAACTGTATGTAAACAAATATATGAAAGAAATGTTAATCTAAAAAGAAAAACAAAAACACAAAACAACACATGAATTAGTTTAGATTGACTGTAAATTGTCTGTCGGCCAAATATTTTGTTTTCGGTAAATAACTCACCGGTGTACTCAATACTTTTGTTAAATGTTAAAATGTTGAATAGATGTGTTCGTACGGCGCTTATCATTGAACCTTCAATTTGACATTCAATGAAAAGCTGCAAATGGCCGCAATTTTAAGAATGTCTGTGTTGAAAACGAGAATACTAAATAAAATAAAATTTTGAAAGAGGATCAAAGAGTATGAAATCTGCACATCACAGCAATTGTCTTTTTCTAAACTTCTTCATCTATCCACCTTAAAAGAATGAGAATAAAGATCACCAAGGCAAAGCGACGCTCAAAGAGCGCAGCCCCCGACCCGACTAAAATGTCTGGTTGCTTTTTGTCTGGACAATGTTGTCTTCTTATTTCTGGAATAACGTCAGACCATAAGGTCATTCTCCTTGGATAGAATCCTTCTACGACTGATGCAGGAGACATCTGATCTGATATCCGGAAATAACGCTGCGACGTCACATCATATGCTGGCCACACAGTGTTCGTAAATTGTTTAATATCCATTGGTATATTAGGATTTCTATAAATAGAAGGAAAACAATGTCAGAACTGCCATCACGTTACTGACAGTATGTATGTATCAAATTAACATTTTATTTCAAGAATCAATGTTTGCTTAAATAAGTAAATATTTTGTATCGAACAATAATATTAAAAATGCGTCTCCTTTATGAGGTGCATGGACTTAATAATTTGACATTTTCGTGTATGTTGTAAATTGACGCCATCTTACGAACAAATTGACTATTTCTATGAATTTCTTTATAAAGCCCAATTTTATTAATCTTATTTACTTAAAACTGTATTTTTCCACTCCCTTTTACACACCGTTCTCCATTATGAAACTTAATTTTAAATTTTTTTTTATTTTTTATTTCGTACAAAATATGATAAGCCTTTTAACGACGAAAAAAAAAAGACTTTTTTTCCGATAGATCTAATATATTTCTTCCCTATTTCCCATCTTAAAAAAATCGTAATTTTAATGTTGGCATTTTTAAAAAAATCTTACCCCATACAAAAGTTTTACCAATCGCCTTGTTTCTCTTTTTGCTTTTTTTCCGAAAAAGATATAATTGCTAACCCAAGCATGACACGTCTCACGCAACGGAACGAAAACAAACTGTAATTGGTTTTGCCCTGATTTGATCCTGAAAAAAAATATTTTTTACACAATTTTTCATATACATGCAAAAAAAAAGGGTATTTGGCTTACATAATTAGCTTACTGTAACAATTAATGACGATATTGCAACGTTATACAAGTATTGTTGTATATGTAAAAAGCTAGACATTGTAGTTATTATTCGTAATGACAAAGATATTAAATTTAGAAACTTACCTTTCATCCACGAAGGTAGGGGTAGATTATGTGTCCTTGTTTGCACTGCAAACTCGTATAAGTAAGCCTTTCCGACATTTAATCTGGCATGCGCACGTACTGTTATAGACGCTGGTGAAAAAACACTTATGTCAGTAGGTAAATCAATTGCATTTTGTCGTATACTGACGTAACTGTCTGGGTCATTCCAGTCGGTGTATGAAAATGACAAAATCTTTTCTAATGCCTCTTTTGTGTTGCTGTCTTCAGGTAAAAGGTTCGAATCAACGATAATTGGAACTACTGTATTTGTGAAGTCGTCCTTAGTTATATTGAAATCAAGCGTTGAGTGATTAAGTGCGTCCTGGTACAAAAAGTAATATCCACAACCATCTTTATCATTAGCACCAATTAGTATGTGCAACGAAGCGAAAAACTCTCTTGCTCTAGCAGTTTTTCTAGAGGTACCATTCATTATATCAAATTATTCACCCTAAAAAATTCCCCCGTCTACAACCGACCAATGCTTGTTATATCAGATTGTAAAAATTGAATTAGAGTCCCTTATCAACAATACCCCAATTTTTAAGATACAAACCCTTGATCTTTTTATATATCCTTGAAATTGTTTCTTTCTTAAGGTCGTGCGATGAGAACCACTTTTTCCCAGACCTTTTTTAAAAACCTTAAATTTTTTGGGTATAACGCTTTAACATAAGGAACCCCCCGCCCGCTGATTGGCCAAATATTGTTATTTCATCCTTTTTGCCAAAGAAATATTCAATATTATCATGAACCCACCTAAAAGCAAGATGCTGATCCCAGAGACCTTGGTTTCCAGGAAAAACACCGTTTTGGTCACGTAAGAAACCAAGCATACCTATACGGTAGTTAATAGATACAATGATTACATTTCCAAATAATGCTAACCCTTCAGGTTTGTATACTGTTGATGCGCCTAAGACGAAACCAACACCATTCACCCAAATCATAACTGGTCGTAGGTCGCTGGCTCGAAGCTCATGTGGAACATAAATGTTTAGTGTTAGACAATCTTCGGAAAATCCAGAGACACCGTAATATCTATATAAAGCATTGTGTTGTTCTGATTGCTGGTAACAAGCCACTGGTTCCTTACTTGCGTTAAACGTCTTTGTAAATGGAGCTTTCGGAACCGGTTTTCTAAATCTGTTTCGTCCTCCTGTTGATTCGGCAAACGGAATACCAAGAAATTTATAAATTAATTTCTGTTCTCCGTCAAGAGTAATCTGCTCTTGAAATCCCATGATATGTCCAACCGCTGTGTTTACATATACTGGTGTTAGTGCAACACAAAATGCAACACATGTTAAAATCACAGCTGCTTGCAAGCTCCACATTTTTGCGTCAACAATCTGTTATGCGGTTGAAAGGAAACAATTTCTTCTGCGAATCGGTTTTGTACTTTTATAGTGACTCAATTTAGATGCTGTTTAATTTCAGGCAATACTTATTTACGGTTTGGTTCATGTTAATAGAAACACATAATATATAAATGTTTGGCATGTCTACTGACTAATACAGATAAAATAATCTTGATAAAGAAGATCCCTTAGTAACAGTTTAAACCAAAGAAAGAGTTGAAAATTAGTGACTTGGTTTGATTGTATCTGTTCGTAAGATATAATGTTTGGCGCAATATTTTACTCCCAACAGCACCGGATGTATCCTCTATAGAAATATATTAGAATCACGTAACAACATAAAAACGTGGTATGAAGAAACATTATACAATTGCTACACAGTAATTCACAGTTAAGTCTTTTGAGTATAAATAATTTGAAGTTGGGACGATTTTAAGAGAGTGGTGATTAGAACTAGATAATTGAAAATAATGTAAAATGTTACACCTATAACGCCCCCTACCACTGATTCTCACAGCGTTCAATTTTCAACACTTACTTTGGAATAAATCACGAAATAATGTCACATAACCAGAAAAACAGCTTTAAGATGAAATACGGGGTAACAGTAAGCAGCCAGCTGACACTCATTTCTTATAAAATAAACAATTATATAAAGGAAAGGGTAGCAAATTTATTCAATATTTCCATGAGGGATAACGAATAGTGCTACATATCCTCTTATACTGGTTTAGCAATATTTATTGTTCACCACTAAAAGTACTATTATCAAGTATGCGATAGAATATATATTTAAATAAATAATGGAGTAACTTTAAACAACCACGGCACATCACTTAATTTGCTTTTGTCAGTGTGAAATTCTAAAAAAGGCGAGTAGAGGAAATTGCTAAAGATCAGTGAAAATATCATTTTCATAATATATCGATGTATCGAAAAATGTAAGCGTTGTGAAATGTATTGCTCACCAAAGTCGCACATCCAGTAGCAATGGCAACATGACGGCAATTAGTATTTCAAATATTATTGATATGATAATGTATATCTAAAGCTGCGTCAAGAATGTTAAAGTGAATATATCACTGGGGGCGGGGGTAAATACAAGATAAAAGACACAGTGATATTGATTAGGGGAAAGGTCGACTTTTAATATCAAAATATCATGAAATTCAGCCCCGGAATATCCAAAATCAAGCCTCGTTATATCTGAGATGTGTAAGTACAAGTTGCTCCATTACTTCTCCATCAACAATAAGATTGACTGGTTTCTATTATTTCTATTTCAATGTAAACTTTACATTTTGATGTAATTTCGGCCACATGTTTGTTTGATTGATTGGGTTTTACGTCACACCGACACAGTATAGGACATATGGCGACGTTCCAGCTTTACTGGTGGCGGAAGACTCCAGGTGCCCTTCGTGCATTATTTCAGGCACGAACAGGCACCCGAGTAGAACCACCGACGTTCCGCAAGCTAGCTGGATAGCTTCCTCACATGAAAGAATTCAAAGTCCTTGTCGGGATTCGAACCAACAGCGGTTAGGGGCGAATGATTTGAAGTCAACGGCCTTTACCACTCGACCATTGACACCCCTTCGGCAACATAACATCAGCATTAAATTGAAAAATGATGTAGACCAGTATTTCTTTATTTCTAAGTACGTCTTAGATATATTAATAAAATTGTCAGAAGAAACAAACACCATTTTTTGCTTGCCTCAAGGACAATATTTAGCACAGCGAGTAATAAATAGATCGTCTATATAAAAGATAGATAAACTTGAAAATGAAATATACAAGTGCCGTGTTTAATTTTGCCCTGCTATGTGATACTCCTTTCACTCTGCCTAACAAACGGTCACAGTTATAGCGGTATCTGTGATATAAGTCGCCTATTCTTCGCACCTGGGCAGATGACATTTTACCAATACTTATTAATTTAACTCTTCTTTGTTTAACATTAAATTTTACCATCTATAAAAAAACAAATGTGCTATTCCTTTCTTTATCTGTTCACATCTAATCTAATTAAACTTTAAGAGTTGTGAAATACAAAAAATAAGACCTACCCATCGGTGACAGTTACAGTCATTCCTGTTATTAATTCAATACTCCTTTGTTCAACATTGTGATATACAAAATATACATTCAAAATCAAATTTGCTATTACTTTCATCTTATCTAATTCAATTTGTAGAGTTGTTAAGTACAAAAAAAATATTATTCTGGAAAACCTAGCTTATTGTATTAAAACTTCTAGCTTCTCATATACATGTAACTACTATTATTTATAATTAAATACAGTTCATCGTATCAAAATATGAATTTGTGATATGTGCTGATGTTTCCATTTTTTTCATTGAGACATTTTTATATGTCCTATTTATGTATAATGACTGTAAGAATAGTTTATTACCGATTCTAATTAAAATATATTTCTTACGTAAAAAGTTTTTTTGGACCAATGTATTTAACTGCTGCTTAGCGCGTCATTTGACTTAATTGTTTGTAATGATTTTAAAAGGACTTCCGTTATATTTAGCGGCGTTAAAGCTGAAACTGTATATGTTAAAGACATTATAGTCGGTATGATAGCCTCTTAAATAATTTTAATATTTGTTTACGGATACAAAAAGAATTTTCTAATGAATTATTTATTTATTTAATCAAGTGTTACGATTACTTCAATTGAAACTATATTTCTGTTTAGTAAGATTCTTGTCATAAGAAATAATTATTTAATTATTCTATAATTCATTTGTTAATATTATATGAGAAATGAATGTATTAGTAAATTACTATATTATTTGTTTCAGAGAATCACTTTGTATCTTTGTGGACATATTTATGCTGATGTATGAAAATAAAAGGTATATATTTCAAAAGATACAGACCAGACATGGAACTGCTAACCAATTGATGGATCTCCGCGTGCAAAACGATATAGGTTAAAGTTCTTTTCAGCGGGTATAAAGGCCATAACTTCCGTATAAAGGAGAGACATAGATATTGGTTTTAAGAAAATATGGCAAAACACCGGAACTCACAGTTTACATAAGTTTTGGTAATGACACCCATGTTGTATTGTAGGAAATGTGGCATTCAAATGATTACAAGTACGGACGATCAGCTCACTCCTGTTTACCCCCCTTCGAACTGAATAGGGGTTTGGGATAATTATTCACATTGGTTCATTTCATAAGTGTTGTTTTGTCCATATTTGTAAATAAATAAGAGTTGACAAATTTTTTAAAAGACCTCGATAGTCACTGCTATTATTTAGAATCATTCAGCATGTCTGGTTTCGTCACAAGTGTTGGTTCTTCCAAATATAAATCAAATCTGTTAATAAACAAGATATGTTTGTATATCATGTATGCCCCCTAGAGGCAGCCATTTAGTCATGTGGTCAGGTTATTGTGACTGACTATTGACCTATGACCAAAAACTCAATAGGAGTTATCTACTAGTCGTGATTTGTCACTAGGTTATTGTGACCGGCAAGGTTGTGTGCAGCAATTTTATGACAAAGTTATCAAAAACCTTACCAAATAATTTATGCATAAATTTCATGAATCATGTGCCAAATTGTCATATACCAAAAGCATTTTAAATTTAATATAAAATATCAATCAAGGCAACTTGAGTCGTTGAGTTATTGGTCGAAAACCGTCTTCACATACAAGGTCAATAAGACATTGACCCTTAAATCAATAGGGGTTATCTACTGGCCAAAGCAATGCACCTGCAAAGTTTGAAGGTAAGGGCCCATGAGTTGTTGATATATTGATCAGAAAGCATTTTCACCTATAAGGTCAATATGATCTTGACCTCTGACCCCTTGACCCAAAAAATTTATTTATGTCATCTTCTGACAGACGCAATGCATCTGTGAAGTTTGAAGGACAAGGCTCCATCAGTTGTCCAGTTATTGATAGGAAACCTTTTTGACACACAATGTCAATGTGACCTTGATCATTGACCCCATAATCAAAGAGGGTCATCTACTTGCCAAGACCTATGAAGTTTGAGAGCCAAAAGTCCATGTTTTATCAAGTTATTGATGGAAACCGTTTCTACCTACAAGGTCAATATGACCTTGACATTTGACCCCTAGACCCAAAATCAGTAGGGGTCACCTATTTGCCAAGACCAATGCACCTACAATGTTTGAGGATCAACAGCCCATGGATTGTCAAGTTATTGATCAGAAACTGTTTTTACCAACAACATCAATGTGACCTTGATCATCAGTGTTCTAAAGTGATTGATAGGAAACTGTTTTTACCTAAAGGATGTGACCTTAACCTTAGACTCATTGACCCAAAAGTCAATAGGGGTTATCTTCTGGTCATGACAATCATCATACCAAGTTTGATGTTCCTAGGCTAAAGCGTTTAGTTATTGATCAGAAACTGTTTTTACCTTCAAGGTCAATGTGACATTTGCATTTGATCCAAAAATCAATAAAGGGTCATCTTCTGGTCATAAATAATCATCATGCCAAGTTTGATGTTCCTAGGCCTACACATTCTTTAGTAATTGATCGGAAACTATTTGGTCTATGGACCGACTGAGGGACCAACAGACAAATGCAAAGCAATATACCCCCACAGTCATAGCCAATTTGAGCAAATATCTGAACGTTATTATCAAGGTCAAAATAAATGTCAAATTCAAACTGAAGATCATTCTTTTGATTGTCAAGATAAGTCATTTACAAGACAAAGTTGACGTCAGCATGGTCTTCCTGATAATCTTTTCCTTTAAGTTGCTAGAATTCAGAAAGTTAATACATCCATCCATTCATAAATAACCAAAGTTATAACCAGTTATAGCAAAATTGAGCAAATTTTAAAAATTTTATTATTCAGGTCACGGTAACTCATAGGTCAAGTTCAAGCATAGTCAGGTCACGGTAACTCATAGGTCAAGTTCAAGCATAGTCAGGTCACGGTAACTCATAGGTCAAGTTCAAGCATAGTCAGGTCACAGTAACTCATAGGTCAAGTTCAAGTATAGTCAGGTCACGGTAACTCATAGGTCAAGTTCAAGCATAGTCAGGTCACGGTAACTCATAGGTCAAGTTCAAGCATAGTCAGGTCACGGTAACTCATAGGTCAAGTTCAAGTATAGTCAGGTCACGGTAACTCATAGGTCAAGTTCAAGTATAGTCAGGTCACGGTAACTCATAGTTCAAGTTCAAGCATTATCACGTTTACTTGAAGGTGTTATAATATAATATTGCCCTTCCGAAATTTTGAATGTTGATCATAGTTTGGTTTATTTCATTTATTTCTTAACGGATTGCCTTCAGACACACAAGAATCCGTTAAGAAATAAATGAAATAAACCAAACTATGATCAACGTTCAAAATTTCGGAAGGGCAATATTAACACCACCACTGTTACAATAGCTCGATTTCTTTTTATTCTTCGGAAGAGTCAAGGTTAAAATCTTCTGTATAAAGGAAGGGAAACTTCTTAGAGCATTAAATTAACTCAATTCAATGTATCACATCTTTCAATAATTTCCTTATAACTTTTACCTTAAGTTATTTTTCTTGCCTATTGCCACTGTTTGTCAGAGTCAAAATCAGTTATTGGAACACGACAGAAGGGAGAATGGCGTGCTATAAAACAAGATGGCCAAAGATCACAATAAATATCTTAGTTGTACTACTACTAGCATTTATTACTTATAAAAAGCAAAACATCTTTCGTATAAATCTACCACTCTATAATCTACAAGCAAAATATAAAATGTCTGGTTATATACTATTGTTTTCTTTATGATTCAGCATAAGAATACATTATTAACACATAATTTCTTGTACACAGGACTTTGAATTACTACGATGGCCAATTAATTTATGATAAAACCTTGATTTATATACATGTACATGTATAGTATATATAAAGAACAGCAATTTGTTAAAGATAAGAAAATTCATTTCACCAGATAAAGTATGTTTTGTACTATGTACAATTGTAAGGATTATCATCAAGCATATCACAGATGTTATCATCAATAGCACTTTGGTTAACATTTAAGGCACAATTGGTTTAAAATATTCATAAAGTAACATTCAACATCAAAGATACTAAAAAATCAACTAAAAATTATATAAAATTTAAAGCTTTTCTGATTTTATCTTGCAGACTAAGTAAAAATACACATGCTAAAAAAGATAAATATCAATAATTTTTATAAAAGTGAAAAAAACAACAAAAAACGCCAAAAATAAAAAGGCAAATGCAAAAAAACAAAGAGTAAAATATCAAATCAAAAGCAATCAACTTTAAATGGTACTTAATATCATTTAAATGCCAAAAATAAAAAGGCAAATGCAAAAAAACAAAGAGTACAATATCAAATCAAAAGCAATCAACTTTAAATGGTACTTATTATCATTAAAATGCAAGTTAAAAATGGACATAACTCTTAAATATTGCTTTAAGGGGTATGCTCCTACTCTTACAAGTGTTCATGTCATGATAATCAAGTATTCAAAAAAAGAGAAAAAAACAACGCTCAAAAATGACAAAATTAAAAAGGTTGCAGGCTCGATTTGATTTAGCCTGTTCATGGACTGTACTGGAGAATGCAAGTTACCTTCCACACCTCACCACATAAGCATCGGCTTAAGAAGAAATCAACAATCAATCATAGTAATGGTTACATTTTGATATCTTTAAAAGTTGTAATAAGGATTTTGTTACACACTTGATTTTTAAATATGTACATATATTTTGTAAACAAAAAAAAGAAATATGGAACATTCCCTTTATATCAATGCATGTACTTTTATCATTTTGCTTTTAAACATTTATTATCTGTGTTTAAACAATACCCGTTGAAGAGTGGTTATCAGATTAAAGGTTTTATTATCTCCAGAGTATTTCTATAGTCTTGTCCTTTTTTCTTTCCATTGATAAAGGCAATTGTGATAAATGGTTGAAAATGCTTTTAACATCTTTAAGTTAATCAGACAGCAATAAACAGTTGAACTAACCTTTTATTACAGCATTATTAGTTAAAAAAAAGATAAAAAAAAAAGAGTTGACCAGAACAATCACTTCACAGCACTATGAAAGCAAAACATTAAATTAAAAAGTGTAAAATTTGGTTTGAATACAATAACAGATCTAATTTTTTGGAATGTGTAGATGTATATCTGATACTTAAAAATAATTCATTGCTACTTATATATATACAAAACTGTTATCAATATCATCTAATATCAATATCATCTAATATATAAAGTACACAAAATACAAAGGCCACTCTAACAAATTACAATTATTCTGCTTAACTATTTTTACATACATGTTTTGTCATTTAAAGATATATTATGCCCAAATTTGATATTTGAAAATACTGATAATTGCTATACTGTGTCTTTCTAATCGAAAATGAACATCTTTTGGGTACACACAGAGAAGATACATGTATGTAGTGCTTTAATTTTACGCATTTCAGGTAAATGCATCAGTAGGAGTATTTTATAGGGTCATTTAAAAGACTGGCAGCTTTTTAAAAGAAAAAGACAAAATTAACTTGACAGTTAACACTTAAACAGTTATTCTCTTACTGAAAATCAACATGTTCTGTTTAAGAATAAATGTTTTAAAAATTCTTCAATAAAAGTATTTAACTTAAAGATGAGCATAGTATATCTTTAATTCAGGGTCTACCAAATTCTATTTGCAAGACCCTGCTTACTGAGGTTTTTTTTACATGAAAGCATTGGATTTTTTTTCCAAGATTTTTTTTTTCCATTTGATGAAGTTCTGTACCAATAACTTGTGTGCAAAATTTCAGAGCCCTTATAATGTTTCCAGAAAAATCTCTTTTGAATTGTGCAAAATTATGTCATATTGCAAAGTGTAAAAATGCTTTCATCACATCAAGAGTTTCAAAAAACCTTTTTTAAATTCTTTACAAAAATAAATTTTTCTGTTTATTCCCTTTTTATTTTTAGATTTTAAAATTTTATGTTTAAATACTCAGTGGGGCCCCCTTTAACAACACAAAAAGAAATACTTAAAAAAATATTATCACATTCGGAGACCAAATAAAAATTAATTTAATAATTATTAAAAACCTTTTTTGAATAATTTGGATCAAACAATGATTTTTTTTTTAAGCACTTTCCCTTTAAAAATTGCAAAACCTAAATTTTAACTAAAAAAATTCACACAAAAATAAAAGTAAAAATCATGTTCTTTGGAAAAAGCCAGTAAATGCATACATGTGAACTTTTTTCGATGATCAAGTAGCAAATTTTTCTTCAAAAAAGAGATTTTAGAATTTGCAATAAACAAAGAAGAAAAGTCTAACATCAAAAAGAGGGAGATTTTTTAATTTGAGAAAAATACCCCCTATTTTAAGAAAATTTTTTGAAAATATACCTGCAGAAAGTGGGAGTCTCCCCCTTAAAGTTGGAGAGTTCACATTTATGTACATACAAAACAAAAACACTTTTAAACCTCACATTCGTTGTCATAAAACAAGTTTCTTCTCATATGGCAACTCCTGTGAGATCCTATATATCTGCTATATACAATCTAATTACAAGAAAAATAAAATTAAACTCTATACCAAAAAAGCGGGGTAAAATCTAGTTAATAAAATCGCCCAAATAATTGGAATGGTTTTGGAAAAAAAAACTTCCAAAGGGTTTCACAAAAGGGTCACAGGTTTTATCATAATATTCTAGCATAAAATGCAAAATACATCACAAATATGTGAATTTCCAGTTACTAGTATTTATATTGAAAATATGTTATTATATGCCAAAATTTCAGAACTTATTTTACAGCTTAACTTGACAGTATTATATAAACGGATTAGAACCTACATAACTAGTCATGTAGAAAAACCCAACCATTTATTGCTTATAAAAAAATATTGAAATTTGGAAAAAAACCCTTTTATTTGTTTTGTTTTCTAGTTATAAAATGACTTTAAAAATGAAATTTCTATTTTTAATTCACTTAATGTAAAAAAGATGTTAAAATATGATATCAAAAAAGCATTTAAAAGTTCTAAAAAATGACAGGCAAAAATAGGGAAAATTACTTAAAAAAATGAAAAAAAAAAACAACACATTCAAAAAATGGGTTTAAAAAAAAATACTTCCTCAATACATGTGTATCTTGCTTTTAAATTAACACACTTTACAAATAAGGGAACATTGCATTTTATGCTAGAATCTTTTTTGTTTTTGTTTATACTCCATAAAAAAACAAAAAGCATGAATCATATAGGCCATCAAACACTTATATTGAATTTCATAATTCATTCTTAACACAGCTTTCAAGTTACTTAAACATGTTATCTCAATTATGTATATGTAATATATATGGTAAAAAGATCCCAGTAAGTTGTATTTCATCATATAATATTACATATTACACAAGAAAATTCTGCAATGTAAAGTGTTTTTCAATAAATAAATAAATTAGGCTGAAAATTACTTTACCTCACAGGTAATTCTTCATTGTGCTTTTCAAGATAGAATAAGTATAATATGAGCCGCATCATGACAAAACCAACGTAATGCGTTTGCAACAAGCATGGAACCAGACTAGCCTGTGCATCCGGGCAGTCTGATCAGGATCCATGCTGTTCGCTTACAGACCGTATAACAAGTAGAGAAACTGATAGCGAACAGCATGGATCCTGATCAGACTGCCCGGCTGGATCCATGCTGGTCGCAAACACACTATGTTAGTTTTGTCACGACGCGGCTCAAATATAAAGAACCTGAAACATTATATCTAACATCAAACTAGAATCTTCCACCAACATGTCATAAATACACTTAATAACAATAACAAGTGTCTTTACCACAATAACAAGTGTCAATAACTACATGTTCATACATTTTGTATTTTTTCAGAGTGTTCTCTCCTCTATATTTTGCCATTCAAAACTTATTTCTGAACATAAAATAGTAAAAAATTTCCTTAATTTTGCTTTATTGCTGATAATTATACAATGCATATTTTCATAATGTCTAAAAAGAACAAGTCTGTATCCTTAAATTTGTCATCCAAAAAGATTAGTTTGCATATAAAACAACCTGAATAACGATGCAACAAATAAAGGCATTACATGAAAAAATACACTTTTGAAGAGTGTACCTTGCCTTTTCTTTATTTTTTCATCACAAGGGAGGTCATAATTACAGCTTAAATATACTCTGAACAAGTCATAAAGTCTCCCCAACACATTTTTAAGTATTGAGTTTATTTATACCTTTAAGCAACACTAACAAATGATTACATTTAAAAATTATTGTTTAAAATGCACGTGTTGTCACAGCATACTGAAAGTGATGTACTTTATGAAAATTGGTACAAAAAAAATCTTATTCATATTGTTAATTTTTCTAGCCTGTACAAAATATCACTTATAATCCTGTTTATGTTCAGACTAGCTTATTGAGACGGCATTACTCACTACAATCTTGTATCTCCACCGAAACATCAATACTTCATGTCCTGTTCATACTACAGAGATGCAATTCAGCCCTGTCTAAAAATCCAAACTATTTTTGCATGAACATTTCTTCTTATAGAACATTCTCCAAACAAAATGACCAGAAAGGAGCTGAAGGATTTTTTTTCATGGAAAATGTTAACATGTAAACTTGCTTAACATAACTAGCAAGGATTTTACAAATTAAATCCTGGTCGACATCTGACTGATTTTTTTTTTGCTTTTTAGTTTTGGTTATGGTGTTAAGTTTCACTCCATTTCATTTACTGCCCGGTAGTAATAAATATGATTGGTTCTGTACCAGAGCAAACCTGTTTTTTCTCCACTTCATTGCAACTTCTCTTTATAAATCAACAAGTAATTGACAACTTTCCTACATACAGCAACAGTAAATTGTAAACTTCGCTATTCTTTACATGATTCTACAAGTTATTGTCTACTTCCCTTCTTTAATCAACAAATAACTTTTCATCACACCGGTAGAAGGTGAATATGGTTTTCATATTGTCATCAACTTGTTGTCATCTGGAAATTATTACAGAAGGTTACAACTTCTCTGTCTCAGTAAGTTTGATGCTCGGTGGAGATACAGGACTATCTTCTTGAACTTCTCTTTACTTTTACATTTGAACTTAACTTTAACATACCATAGTGGCCAAAAAGCCATGGCAGCAAAATTCAGATTAATGTAATAGTTGAAATGATTACAATTAAAGCAAACTTCATATCTACATTGTATAATGAAATGATGTAATTAGTTAGTACAGAAAAATATTTTGTTAATATATAATCGTACATCAACATATATCCATCACAATTATAGTGTCAGACTCAAAATAAACTTTGACTGTACAATTTTCAAGCTATATGCATCATTTCAACATTTCGTATAACAATTCAAATATCAGTACAAATTAAGGGTTATATGCACAGCTAGGAAGCCTTGTCTCTTGATTAAGTACAATCACTGTGAATAATTTAACATAAATCCCTTAAAATGCAAGTGAAATCTGCATCCATGAAGCAGATGGTAGTTTTAAATTTCCACTTTTCTTCCTTTTTCAACACTTTCCTTATCCACTTCCTTAACCTGAAATTTCAAGAATTATAAATAAATTACTGATGCAATGGTCTTTGTCTGTTTAAAATAGAAGATATTTCAAGCTTGGGTTTACAGGTTATGTGTAAAAAGGGACTTTGGTAAACTTCAAACATCACAGGTCTTCTACCGAACACAGGCAAACAACCTTTAAATGAATCAAAGCTACTTTTTAAGAAAATGGTTCACTTATTAAAGTTTGACTTTTATGTGTGCTCAGTTCGCGCTACAAAAATTATCATCATTTGAAAATAGTTAATTTATTTCAGACATCTGTAAAACCACTGCCATACCTTGACCACCACCAACTGCCCCTTGAAGTTCTTCTTCCTCCTCCATTTCCATCAATATTCTCATCAGATGCTCAGCTGTGCACCCTATTATAACAGAGAGGTGAACTGATATATTCTTAATAAACAGATTTCAAAATACTGAGCTCATTCATTTACTACATCATGTGAAATTCTATATGTGAACCTATTGTGTCCCATTAATTAAGAGATAAATAACAAACTGATCAAGGAAATCATTCTATGAAATCAATAAACCTAAAATGACATTAAGGAGACATTGCTTGACTTTTTTTACTTTTTTTAAAGCAATTATATAAATGGTTTAAACAAATCTTAAAAAAAAAACAAGAGCTGTCGGTAGGACAGCAATGATTGCCTGTTCTTAGTGCTCGATAGTAAAAGAGCCTTGATAATGTAAAATTTTAATAACAAAAGGACAAATTTTTTCTTTAAATCCATGTTACAGTTATAGGTCTTGGAGAGAGTCCTATTATGCTCTCAAAGAAGAGTATAAAATTTCAACTTGTTTCAATAGAATATGAAAATATCTGAGGTGGTATGCAAACCTAAATGTAAATTCTACGTCAAAATAGGGGCATAATTCTGTCAAAGTGCTTGACACAGTTGCCTCCTCCTGTCTACAGGTTAGGGTCATGATGGTGAACAATTTTGCAAAGTTTCAAAGCCATATGACAATGGATTTTGAAAATATTTGAGGTAGTACAAAAACTTTAACGTAAATTCTATGTTGAAAAAGGGGCATAATTCTGTTAAAATGCTTGATACAGTTACCTCCTCCTGTCTACAGGTTGGGGTCATGATGGTGGACAAGTGTGCAAAGTTTCAAAGCCATATGTCAATGGACTTTGAAAATATTTGAGGTATTACAAAAACTTAAACCTTTTACCCCATGAGCATATTGCGAAAAATGGCCGTTTTCATTGATAAGCCTCCTGTAACAAGTTCAAACTGCTATGAAACTATGAAAAATGCTACAATACTATTGAAACTTGGCACAAATATTGACTACACCATAGCCTCTGTAACAGCATGCTCAATGGTAAATTTCCTGTTACCATGGCAACGGGGGGATATTGTCTCAAAATTGCCAAAAATCACTATTTTGCATTGTTTTTTTCCATAAAAACTGATTTCAAAGTGCTGCAACTTCTCAATGAATTGAAATAGAGTAAAAGGCTTTTCAGCGTCGGTTACTAGTTACTCTAAGATTGACCTGAGGCCATTTTTAGCCTGTCACATGTCCAAAATTTTCTTGGCGATGAGAGGGACTCCGCCCCCCTTCAAACCCCCCAAACAGAAGGGGGCACATCCCCCTTCTGGCAACAACCTGATGTAATATTTGGATGGGGAACAGCGCCGTTAAAGTGGTCACTTTTTTCAACAACATTTCTCAAATGAAAAACAGTGTTTGGGTCCCAAATAGGGCATTCTTTCACCGTTTGAGGCCTCAAAAAAAAAAGGGGGGGGCAAAAAGACGTCGAAAGACGCTTATATTAGGGAAAAGGTTAACATAAGTGGTTACGCCAACGCCGACACCGACGCTTGGGTGACTACAATAGCTCTACTTATTCTTATCGAATAGTCGAGCTAAAAATTGAAGAAAAAAATGTTTTTCCTTTTTTATTTTAATATCAAGTGGTTAAGGAGATGTTGTTTAAAGAAACTTGTAGATAATGATGAATGACTGACAATTACATTGCCATTACAATTCCTATGGAGCAAAAATGTTCATGGGTATTGGCTCTAAAATACCAACAACATATTTTCATCAAACACAAGTGTATGCAATATTCATTAAAATGCTTGTTTATTGTGCCAGACAAGTACATAAACCAATGTTCTTAGGATGCTTGAAGTGGCCAAAGGTGTAAAAAGTATGGATTTTCTATTCTTTGATTTGTTGATCAGTCAGGTATTATCAAACTGATATGATGACCTCACATATTTTTGCTCAGTTATTATACTTATGATGAATTTTGTGCAATATTTAAAGTGAGAAGTAATTTTCTAGAATATAGGAGTATCATATAATAAATAGCATAAAAAATAGCAAAAATTAAAACATCACAAACAAGATTGCATTTGTAAAAAATTCTATGCCACTGCATTAATACAACACTAAATAGTAATATAGGAACATAATTTTTTTGTTTCTATAAAATTGAAGATTGCCATAATGCATAGATCACTGACCTTTCTAATTCTTATTATCAGACTAGTGGTTAAATCTATTGTTATTCAAATAAAAGATCAAAGTAGGAATCTATCAATGCAGTTGAGTCTAGTGAATTTGGTGGTGAAAGTCATATTTCACATGGCAAAAATTCCATGACTGTACATCAAAGGTCAACACAGTAAGACTCTTTGTAAAAATCTAGGCCAGCTGATATCAAAGTTTAGTTTACATCTTAATCTAAGCACATGGTTCAAATTTCATAGCTGCACATGAAGGGACAAAACAGTAGGTCACATCATCAAAATCTACATCACCTGATATCAAAGTTCAATTTTACAACTAAAACTGTGCACATAGTCCAAATTTCATGGCTGTACATCAAAGGACAAGAAAGTAGGTCACTGTCCCCTTTTTTTTTGACCCAAGGGTTTAATTCAAGCAATCTTGATACAGGCCCACCAAACAACATTTCATTTCAAATACCTAAGCTGTAGCTTTCTCCAATTCAAAACACATTTGTTTTAGTTTCTGTTTTTACCATGTGTACATAATGAAAATCAATGCCCCTGGTTAGGGCCAATTTTGACACCAGGGGCAAAATTTGAACAACTTTGGTAGAGTACCTTTAGATTATAATACCCGGTATATACAAAATATCAAAGCACTAAGCCTTGTACCTTCAGACAATAAGATTTTTTAAAATTTTTACAATATGTTCATAGTGAAAATCAATGACCCCCAGGGCTGGGCCAATTTTGACCCCAGGGCAATAATTTGAACAATCTTGCTAGAGGTTCACTACACAATGTTTCATGCAAAATATCTAATCTCTAGCCTTTGTCAATTTTAAAAAGATGATTTTTAAGTTTTTGCTATATACATCAAAAGAAAACCTGTGACCCCCGGGGCGGAGCTAATTTTGAAGCTAGAGGCAAAATTTGAACAACTTTGTTTAGAGTACCTATAGATGATATCATATACCAAATATCAAAGCTCTAAGCCTTGTACCTTCAGACAAGAAGGTATTTTAAGTTTTACTATATGTACATATAGTGAAAATCAATGACCCCCAAGGCGGGGCCAATTATGACCCCAAGGCCATAATTTGAACAATCTTGGTAGAAGTCTACCAGACAATGCCTTAGGCAAAATATCTATGCGCTAGGCCTTGTGGGTCTTTACAATAGAAGATTTTTAAATTCATTCTTATTAACCAGGTTTTCCGAAGGAAAACACTGGTTATTAGATTGAGGTATGTCGGCGGCGGATGGGCGGGCGGACGGGCGGGCGATAACAATTTCTTCTGTGCGCAACTCCTTCTACATTTCTCAACAGATTTTGACCAAACTTTCACAGAAGCTTTGTCATCAAGTTCCCTGGCGCATATTGTCGGGGTTTTGCCATTGGATAATATTTGACCTAATTATGGCCCTTTGTTGTTTTTTCTTATATAGAATATATAGTGAACAATTTCTTCTGTGCGCAACTCCTCAATCATTTCTCAACGGATTTTGACTAAACTTTCACAGAAGCTTTGTCATTAAGTGCCCTGGCACATATTGTAGGGGTTTTGCGATTGGATAATATTTGACCTAATTATGGCCCTTTGTTGTTTTTTCTAATATAGAATATATAGTGAACAATTTCTTCTGTGCGCAACTCCTTCTAAATTTTTCTACGGATTTTGACCAATTATTTACAGAAGCTTTGTCATCAAGTGCCCTGGCACATATTGTCCGGGTTTTGCCATTGGATAATATTTGACCTAATTATGGCCCTTTGTTTTTTTTTCTTATATAGAATATATAGTGAACAATTTCTTCTGTGCGCAACTCCTACATTTCTCAACGGATTTTGACCAAACTTTTACAGAAGCTTTGTCATCAAGTGCCACGGCACTTATTGTCCGGGTTTTGCCATTGGATAATATTTGACTTAATTATGGCCCTTTGTTTTTTTTCCTTATATAGAATATATAGTGAACAATTTCTTCTGTGCGCAACTCCTCCTACATTTCTCAATGGATTTTGACCAAACTTTCACAGAAGCTTTGTTATCAAGTGTCCTTGCACATATTGTCGGGGTTTTGTGATTGGATAATATTTGATGTAATTATGGCCCTTTGTTTTTTTCTTTATACAGAATATATAGTGAACAAATTCTTCTGTGCTTAACTTGTCCTACATTTCTCAACAGAATTTGTTCAAACTTTCACAGAAGCTTTGTTATCAAGTGCCCTGGCGCATATTGTTAGGGTTTTGTGATTGGATAATATTTGACCTAATTATGCCCCTTTGTTTTTTTTTCCTTATACAGAATTATCAATATATAGTGAACAAATTCTTCTGTGCTGAACTAGTCCTACATTTCTCAACAGATTTTTTTCAATTTTTCACAGAAGCTTTGTCATCAGGTGCCCTGGCGCATATTGTAGAGGTTTTGTGATTGGATAATTTTTGACCTAATTATGGCCCTTTGTTTTTTTTCCTTATACAGAATACATTTTTTCCTTATACAGAATATACAGTGAACACTTCTTCTGTGGCAATTCCTCCTACATTATTCATGTTTTACATTGCACATAGTTACATTGTTTATTGCATGCATTTGTATTACAAATACAACATATTTATATACAATGGAGATAATTGAAAACCTGGTTTCGTGGCATTGCCATGTTTCTTGTAATTCCTTTTAGTTGACATGGCAACCAGATTTCTGCAAGGAATGAAATTCTTTGAACAACTTTGGAAGCCCTTCACCCAAGGATCAATCCTGCCAAGTTTGGTTGAAATTGGACTAGTGGTTTTTCACAAGAAGATTTTTAAGTTCGCTTTATAATCTATATAACACACAAACATACATACAAACACACACACAGGTGAATCGCTATATGATATTAAAAATACAGGATTTACAGTGCATATAAGGAAAATCAATGACCCCTGGGGCTGTGCCAATTTTGAACCTAGGGCTTTCATTTGGACAAACTTGGTGGACATCCACTAAAAGATGTTTTAAGCAAAATATATAAGCTCTAGCTCTTTTGGATTTTCACAAGAAGAGCTTTTTAGTTTTAACTATATACATGTTTATATAAGGAAAAGCAATGACCCCCTGTGGCAGGGCTAATTTTGGCCCTAGGGCTTTTATTTGAACAAACATTGTAGACACCATTTGAAGATGTTTCATGCTTAATATCTAAGCCCTTGCTCTTTGGTTTTTTTAAAGGTGATTTTTAAAAGTTTTTATTATAGACATATAAGGAAAATCAAACCCCCTTGGCCAGGCCAATTTAATCCTTGGACTTTTATTTGAACAAATTTGGTAGACACTAACTAGAATATGTTTCATGCTTAATATCTAAGCTCTAGCTCTATGGGTTATTTGAAAGAAGACTTTTTAAGTTTTTACTTGTAAGTTTTTACATATAAGGAAAATCAGTACCTCCGGGGCAGGACCAATTTTGATCCCAGGGCTTTTATTTGAACAAACTTCGTAGACACTCTCCAGAAGATGTTTCATGCTTTATATTTAAGCTCTAGCTCTTTGGGTTTTTCAAAAGAAGAATTTTTAAGTTTTACTATATACATATAAGGAAAATCTATGCCCCCCCCCCCCCCCCCCGGGTGGGACCAATTTTGACCACAGGGATTCATTTGAACAAACTTGATAGACACACACTAGAAGATGTTTCATGCCAAATATCTAAGCTCTAGCTCTTTGGGTTTTTTTAAAAAAAGATTTTTTTATTTTTTTTCCTTTATACATATAAGGAAAAGCAATGACCCCCTAGGGCGGGGCCAATTTTGTCCCAAGGGCTTTTATTTTTAAAAACTTGATAGACACTCACTAGGAGAGGTTTCATGCCAAATATCTAAGCTTTACCTCTTAGAGTTTTTTTAAAAGAAGATATTTTAAGTATATTCTCTTGGTTGCCATGGCAACCAGAGTTCTGCAAGGAATTAAATTCTTTGAACAATTTCTAAAGGTGCCCACCAAAGGACTATTCCTGTACAGTTTGAATGAAGTTGGCTTAGGGGTTTATGAGGAGATGTCGTTTAACGTAAAATTTTACGGACAGACACCGGACGGAAGCTGGACGAAAAGCGATCACAAAAGATCACCATGCCACTTTGGACAGGTTGGCTAACAATAAATTCCTATTATATCACATATATCTGATTGAATTTCACAGCAACACTTCATAATGTGAGTAACACTACACATTATTGTATTCAAAACTTTATAACACACCTTGTCTTTCATGAAAAATCTGTGAAGCTCTCATCACATTCTCATGGCTATATCCCATCTTGATACAAGCAGAAACAGCAACAGTTCTTGGCTCTAACTAATAAGTGATAAAATACATTGGTAAGGTACAAATCTGTCTTCATATCTTCAAGTAGTATGCCAGCTTGTTAAATGGACCAAGTCAGTTTTTATCATTTTTGTACAGAACATTTCAAGGATCATTCTATTATCATTTATCAGAATCTCTAAAGAAGTTAAAGGGGAAGTTATATATAATAACCCTTTACTTCATAGAACCCTGATAAATGCCCTATTTATCTATTCTCTCTCAATACTGTAATATGAAGTGTTAGATGCTTACTTCATAACACCAGCATTAAGTGGGGTTAACTCATTTCCCTGTAACCAGGTACTGATGTGGTCTTATTTATAGTTCAATTTATAAACTATAAATATCATATTTCTCTTGATTAAAATGATTCAGAAAGACAACTATGGTAAACAATTATCACTTGTTAGGTCATTACATGTTTTAAACTAGATTTATCACTAAATGTGATTAATACCCCCTCAAGACTGCCTCGGAAATGAGGAAGTTACAAGTAACAGAATACCTTGTAAAAGAATTGAAATAGAGTTATGGTTGTGGGCATTTAAAGATAGTTGTGGTTCTTGTATGTTGCATTTCCTTTCACTGTGGTAGACCATTGATGAAGTTTTATTAAATTACTCTGTAATAAATCCAGAAAAAGTACTGCACTTCCTCTCATTGCGATTGACCATTGATGAAGTTGCATTGAATTCTAAACATTAGTTTTTAAGTTATACACTGGACAAGGAAAAGGAACAAAGGGCAATAACTCTATAAATACTGAAGATGGAGTTATGGTTATTGTACACTGCACTTCCTCTCATTGCGCTTGATCATTGTATGAAGTTGAATTGAATTCCAACTACTAGTTTTCAAGTTATGCACTGGACAAACTAGAACTGCCACTATGATGGCGTGAATACCCTCGCATACCACTTTGTCAGAATCAACAGTGGCCATTTAGAGCTCAAGGACAACCTCCCTGCCAAATCTGAGGTTACTAAGCCAGTGCATTGCTAAGTTATGTATTCTACATGCTTCAAATGTGATAATGTCAAAATCAATACATTGCGGATAGGACATTCTTAAGCAATTGAGAAGAAAAGCTTTTTTTTTTGTCAAGGTCCCTGTGACCTTGACCTTTGACCCAGTGACCTCAAAATCAATAGGGGTCACCTTATAGTCATGATCAACATCCATGCCAAATATAAAGACTGTGGGTCAAAGGAATCTTAAGTTAATGGGTGGACAAACTTTTTGAAGTCAAAGTCCCTATGACCTTGACCTTTGATCCAGTGACCTCAAAATCAAAAGGGGTCATCAACTAATCATGATCAACATCCATGCCAAATATGAATACTGTGGGTCAAAGGAATCTAAAGTTATTGGGCAGACAAACTTTTTGAAGTCAAAGTCCCTTTGACCTTGACCTTTGACCTGGTGACCTCAAAAACAATAGGGGTCATCTACTAATCATGACTAACCTCCATTCCAAATATGAAGACTGTGGGTCAAAGGAATCTTAAGTTATTGGGCGGACAAGCTTTTTGAAGTCAAGGCCCCTGTGACCTTGACCTTTGACCTGGTGACCTCAAAATCAATAGGGGTCATCTACTTATCATGACTAACCTCCATGCCAAATATGAAGACTGTGGGTCAAAGGAATCTTAAGTTATTGGGCGGACAAGCTTTCTGAAGTCAAGGCCCCTGTGACCTTGACCTTTGACCTGGTGACCTCAAAATCAATAGGGGTCATCTACTAATCATGACTAACCTCCATGCCAAAATATGACGACTGTAGGTCAAAGGAATCTTAAGTTATTGGGTGGACAAGCTTTTTGAAGTCAAGGCCCCTGTGACCTTGACCTTGACCTAGTGACCTCAAAATCAATAGGGGTCATCTACTAATCATGACTAACCTCCATGCCAAATATGAAGACTAAGGGTCAAAGGAATCTTAAGTTATTGGGCGGACAAGCTTTTTGAAGTCAAGGCCCCTGTGACCTTGACCTTTGACCTAAAAATCAAAAGGGGTCATCTTCTAATCATGAATAACCTCCATGCCAAATATGAAGACTAAGGGTCAAAGGAATCTTAAGTTATTGGGGGGACAAGCTTTTTGAAGTCAAGGCCCCTGTGACCTTGACCTTGACCTAGTGACCTCAAAATCAATAGGGGTCATCTACTAATCATGACTAACCTCCATGCCAAATATGAAGACTAAGGGTCAAAGGAATCTTAAGTTATTGGGCGGACAAGCTTTTTGAAGTCAAGGCCCCTGTGACCTTGACCTTTGACCTAATATCAAAAGGGGTCATCTTCTAATCATGAATAACCTCCATGCCAAATATGAAGACTAAGGGTCAAAGGAATCTTAAGTTATTGGGGGGACAAGCTTTTTGAAGTCAAGGCCCCTGTGACCTTGACCTTTGACCTAGTGACCTCAAAATCAATAGGAGTCATCTACTAATCATGACTAACCTCCATGCCAAATATGAAGACTAAGGGTCAAAGGAATCTTAAGTTATTGGGCGGACAAGCTTTTTGAAGTCAAGGCCCCTGTGACCTTGACCTTTGACCTCGTGACCTAAAAATCAATAGGGGTCATCTACTAATCATGACTAACCTCCATGCCAAATATGAAGACTAAGGGTCAAAGGAATCTTAAGTTATTGGGCGGACAAGAAACAAGAGGGCCATGATGGCCCTGAGGTCGCTCACCTGTATATAGGCCCCCACCCCCGGGCCAATTTTTACCCAAGGGCTTTTATTTGTTTATTTAAACAGACTTGGTAGACACCCATAAGAAGATGTTTCATGCTAAACATCTAAGTTCTAGCTCATTGGCTTTTTTAAAAGAAGATTATTAAAGTTTTTACTATACACATATAGTTAAAAACAATGTCACCCCTGGGGCAGGGCCAGTTTTGACCCCCGGGCATTTATTTTAACAAACTTTGTAGATATTTACTTAAAGATGTTTCATGCTTAATATCTAAACTCTAGCTATTTGGGTTTTTCCAAAGAAGATTTTTAAGTTTTTGCTATACACATATAAGGAAAATCAATGACCCCCCCCCCCCCCCGGGGGGGCCAGTTTTGACCCCAGGGCTTTTATTTGAACATACTTGGTAGACACCCATTAGAACTGTTTCAAGTTTTTTTACTATATGCATATAGGGAAAATCAATGACCCCCGGGGCGGGGCAAATTTTGACCCCAGGGCTTTAATTTGAACAAACTTGGTAGACACTCACTAGAAGATGTTTCATGCTTAATATCTTAGCTCTAGCTCTTTGGGTTCTTTAAAAGAAGATTTTTTAAGTTTTTACTATATGCATATAGGGAAAATCAATGACCCCCTGGGACGGGGCCAATTTTGACCCCAGGGCTTTTATTTGAACAAAGTTGGTAGACATTCACTAGAAGATGTTTCATGCCAAATATCTAAGCTCTAGCTCTTACGGTTCTTTAAAAGAAGATTTTTTAAGTTTTTACTATATGCATATAGGGAAAATCAATGACCCCCAGGGGCGGGGCCAATTTTGACCCCATGGCTTTTATTTGAACAAACTTGGTAGACACTCACTAGAAGATGTTTCATGCCAAATATCTAAGCTCTAGCTCTTATGGTTTTTTAAAAGAAGATATTTAAAGTTTTTTCTTTTGGTTGCCATGGCAACCAGAGTTCTGCATGGAATTAAATTCTTTGAACAATTTTTAAAGGTGACCACCAAAGGAACATTCCTGTGAAGTTTGGATGAAATTGGCTCAGTGGTTTATGAGGAGATGTCATTTAAAGCAAAAGTTTACGGCCGGACGGACGGACGGACGACGGACGGACGCCGGACGAAAAGCGATCACAAAAGCTCACCCTGTCACTTTGTGACAGGTGAGCTAAAAACCGACGGACGGACGGCCGGACGTTCTCACAGGACGTGTTTGTGGGGTTATTCCTTTGATCTCTTAACCCCACAAGAGCAAATTTTTTAACCCCATAAGAGCATTTTTAACCCCATAATACATGTCTCTACGGAATGAACCCCATACAGAGTGCCTGTACATAAACCTAAACCTCATAATGTAGCTCTCGTATGCTCGGACAGCCGGACGGACAGCCGGACGGACGGACGGACACGGACGGACAAGCTGATTCCAGTATACCCCCCTTACAACTTTGTTGTGCGGGGGTATAAAAAGTAACAAAGGGCAATAACTGTAATTAGTCCAAATAGAGTTATGGTTCTTGTGCACTGCACTTCTTCTCACTGCCCTTGACCATTGTATAGTTTCATTGGATTCCAACCATTTATTTTCAAGTTACTGTTATGCACTGGACAATAAAAAGTAACACAGGGCAAAACCTCTTAAATGAGTCAAGGAAGAGATAGGGTTTCTGTGCACTGCGCTTCCTCTCAATATACTTGACCATTGTATGAAATTGTATTGAATTCCAACTAGTAGTTTTGAAGTTATGCTGTGGACAAGAAAAAAGCAATGGAAAAGTAACGAAGGGCTCAATAATTACTCTGGACAGAGTTATGGTTCTTGTACACAGCACTTAATCTTAATAAGCTTGACAATTGTATGAAGTTGTATTGAATTCGAACTGGTAGTTCAGGACAAGGAAAAGTAATAAAGGGCAATAACTTTGTAATTTGTCAAGATGGAGTTTTGGTTCTTGTGTGCTGCACTTTCTCTCAATGTGCTTGATCATTGTATGATTTTGTATTGAATTCCAACCATTAGTCTTCCGGTTATGGTCCTGACAAAAAAAGCAATGGAAAAGTAACAAAGAGCAATAACTCTGTAATTTAGATAGAGTTATGATTCTTGTGCACTGCACTTCCCCTTATTGAGCTTGACAATTGTATGAAGTTGTTTTGAATTCCAACCAGAAGTTTTCAAGTTATGCTCTGGACAATGAAAAGTAACAAAGGGCAATAACTCTGTAATCAATGAAGATAGAGTTATGGTTCTTGTGCACTGCACTTCCTCTTATTGTGCTTGACCATTGTACCAAGTTGTTTTGAATTCCAACCAGTAGTTTTCAAGTTATGCTCCGGACAAGGAAAAGTAACAAAGGGCAATAACTCTATAATGAGTCAAGATGGAGTTGTATTGAATTCCAACTGGTAGTTCAGGACAAGGAAAAGTAATAAAGGGCAATAACTCTGTAATTTGTCAAGATGGAGTTTTGGTTCTTGTGCACTGCACTTCCTATTGTGCTTGACCATTGTATGAAGTTATATTGAATTCCAAACATTAGTCTTCAATTTATGGTCCCGACTGAATAAAGCAATGAAAAGTAACAAAAGACAATAACTCTGTAATAACTTAAGACAGAGTTATGATTCTTGTGCATTGCACTTCCCCTTATTGTGCTTGACCATTGTATGATGTTGTTTTGAATTCCAACCAGTAGTTTTCAAGTTATGCTCCGGACAAGGTAAAGTAACAAAGGGCAATAACTGCAATTAATGAAGATAGAGTTATGGTTCTTGTGCACTGCACTTCCTCTCAATGTGCTTGACCATTGTATGAAGTTGTATTGAATTCCATCCATTAGTCTTCAAGCTATGCTCCAGACAAGACCGCTGGACCAACCGATCGACCACCGGGTGACACCTATATACCCCCCAAACTTTGTTTCGGGAGTATAACAAGGCAGTCTGAAGGACAGCTAAATCCCCTTCCGCAGTGAACATGAATGTATACTTCTTGACCTTTTACCAACCATGACCTTGATGTTATGACATGCATATCACAAGCACATAATCTCAAGATGGTGGTTTTTGAGCAAAGTTATTTAAAATCTTCCACAAAGTCAAAAAGTTATTGAGAACTTATAATCTTGACCTTGGTAGTAGCAACCTAGATGTTGAGCTTTGCAGATTGTGTCATGGTGGGGATCCTTTGTGCCAAGTAATTTTAAAACCTTTGAATTGTCAATAAGTTATACAGCAGAAATGAAAAATAGATGTTTTTAAATTGGACCTTTGAGTGTGACCCTGACCTTCAGGGTTTTGACTTTATTATTGTACTTTGCCAATGGTGTCATAATGGTGGTTATTTCTGCAAAGTTATCTTAAAAATATTGCAGCGGTTTAAATGTTATGGACAGACACGAAATGTAGACTTTCTAACATTTGAACTGTGTGACCTTGACCTTGGGGGTAGCAATTCCATTATTGTGCTCTGCACATTGTCTCATAATGGTGATCACTTGTGCCAAGCTATTCAAATTTTTTTAGAGGTTTAAAAGTTATGGAGGGGACATGCAATGTAGACTTTTATACATTTGACCATTAAGTGTGACCTTGACCTTGGGAGTAGCAACCCAATTAATGCGCTCTGCAAATGTTCTTAAAATGGTGATCATTTGTACCAAGTTATCTTTTCAAAATTTCAGCAGATAAAAGGTTATGAAGCGGACTTTTTAACATTTGACCTTTAAGTGTGACCTTGACCTTGGGGATAGCAACCCAATTATTGCGCTCTGCACGTCGTCTCATAATGGTGACAGTTGTGCCAAGTTATTTCAAAAAATTTTCAGGGGTTAAAAAGTTATGGAGCGGACAGGAAATGTAGACTTTTTATTATGAAATGAAGACTTTTTAACATTTGACCTTGACTTTCAGGGTAGCAACCCAATTATTATGTTCTGCACATCGTCTCATTATGGTGATCACTTGTGGGAAGTAATTTCAAAAAATTTTTCAGTGGTTTAAAAGTTATGGAGCGGACACGAAAGTGTTACTGACGGACAGACAGAAGGACGTTCTAACCAGACAGTAATAAGGTGGCTACTCTAATGTTCTCTCTATTGTTCTTTTAGCCACACGCAAATTAGTTTTGTGGTCAGGTTATTATGACTGACTTTTGACCTAGTGACCAAAAAATCAATAGGGTTATCTACTGGTCATGAATAGTCACTAGGTATTTGTGACGTGCAGCAAATTTATGACAAAGTTATCACAAATCTTGCCAAATAATATATGCATAAATTTTATGAATCATGAAGGCCTCTTTAATGACAGCCAATTTGTTATATTACATACAACCTTGAAATGTGTATACCAAAAGCATTTTTAGTTAAAAAAAAAATATCAACCCAAGCAACTTCAGTTGTTGAGTTATTGGTCCGAAACCGTTTTTACCTACAAGGTGAATATACAAGGTGACCCCTTGACCCCAAAATCAATAGGGGTCATCTATTGGTCAAGTACAATCATCAAACCAAGTTTTAAGTTCCTAGGCCTAAGTGTTCTTAAGTTATTGACCGGAAACTGTTTTTCACATACAAGGTCAATGTGACCTTGACCTTTGACCCCTTGACCCAAAAATCAATATGGGTCATCTACTGGTCATGTACAATCATCATACCATGTTTGAAGTTCCTAGGCCTAAGTGTTCTTAAGTTATTGATCGGAAACCATTTTTACCTACAAGGTCAATGTGACCTTGACCTTTCACCGCTTAACCCCAAAATCAATAGGGGTCATCTACTGGTTATGTGTAATCATCATACCAAGTTTGAAGTTTCTAGGCCTAAGCATTCTTTAGTTATTGATCAAAAACCCTTTTTACTTGTGGTCAATGTGACCTTGACCTTTGACCCCTTGACTCTTAAATCAATAGGGGTCAGCTATTGGTCATGTTCAATCATCATACCAAGTTTGAAGTTCCTAGGCCTAAGCATTCTTAAGTTATTGATCGGAAACCGTTTTCACATACAAGGTCAATGTGACCTTGCCCTTTGACCCCTTGACCCCAAAATCTATAGGGGTCATTTACTGCTCATGTACAATCATCATACCAAGTTTGAAGTTCCTAGGCCTTAGCGTTCTTTAGTTATTGAACGGAAACCGTTTTCACATACAAGGTCAATGTGACCTTGACCTTTGACCCCTAGACCCCAAAATCAATAGGGGTCATCTACTGGTCAGGTTCATTCATCATACCAATTTTGAAGTTCCTAGGCCTAAGCATTCTTTAGATATTGATCGGAAACCATTTTCACATACAAGGTCAATGTGACCTTGACCTTTAATCCCTTGACTCTAAAATCAATAGGGGTTATCTAATGGCCATGTACAATCATCATAACAAGTTTGAAGTTCCTAAGCCTAAGCGTTCTTTAGTTATTGATCGGAAACCGTTTGGTCTACGGACCGACCAACCTACAGACAGACAAATGCACCCCACTTCTTTGAAGGGGGGGGGGGGGGATAATAAAAACAGATATCCCCAAGATATAAATTTGATTGGATTATTCAATTATAATTATATTCAAAAAGAATGGTTGACAGGTCCATATGCCAACCCTATGTGATTTACCGAATAAACCCCTTGCTAAACAACATAGATCATCACAGGTCATAACTTACGCAATATTAGGTTTGAATCCCTTGTTCCTAGTCACTATGGGACAAATTATAACATTTTATTACCCTTTTATGCCAGAAATAATTGAGTTTCATGCTGAGAAAGACCATTATATCACTGGCCCAACCACAACATAATCAGAATTTCAAAAATGAAAACTTTGTAAAAGTACCTGGCTTTCCAGTTGCAAAATTTTCCTTTGGTGGACTTCTGTCTGCATTTTCAAAATTTCAACAAGTTTAGCTTTCTCTTGCTTAAGCTTTTCCTTCTCTTCAAATAACCTTGTAGTCTGCACCATCAGTTTGCGTAAGTCTTCCTTGTGATTAGTTGCACTCTTCTTCCAAATATATTTTTCTATCTTTACCAATTCAATGTTCTTGAATTGCTGCAAAAAATAATAAAAAAAGTCAAAATTATGGTCAAATGATGAACAAAACAAGACGTCAGTACATACAGTAACGACCTTACTGTCAAGTTTGATGGCTTTAAAGCAAAGAAAAAGGACCATGATAGCCTCATATAGATTATCAGAGTTATAGGCTTCGTTCAGACAATTCTGATTTTCTGATTTCAGGAGACTTCCAGAAACCAAACTTTTTGGCTTGTCCCAATTGCAAAGGCCTACCAAATTTGACCATTCCTGTATAATTTCATCACTACTGGCGATGCTGTTATGTATAACTAGAATGATCAGTGCAATTATGCAGTTGTTGTAATGGGATGATTGGACATACATAACATTGCTATATACCAAGTTTGATGACAATATCTCATAAAAATTCTACTCTTATGTTTGTAAAACATGTATGCCCTCTATCAACAGCAAATTAGTCATGTGGCCAGGTTATTGTGACTGACAACCAAAATAGGTGTTATCTACTGATCTTGACTAGTCACTAGGTCATTAAGACCATAAATTTTTATCACAAAGTTATCATAAATCTCACCAAATAATATATGCATACATTTTATGAATCATGGAGGCCTTCTGAATGACAGCCAATTCGTTATAATAGAATATACCTTAAAATTTGTATATCAAAATCATTTTTAGTTTAATAAAAAATATCTACCAAGGCAACTTGAGTTCTTGAGTTATTGGCCGGAAACCATATTTACGTACAAGGTCAATGTGGCTTTGACCTTTGACTCTTAAATTAATAAGAGTTTTCTACTTGCCAAGACCAATGCAACAAAGTTTGTAGGTAAAGGACCCATGAGTTGAACTTTATTGAAATATTGATCAGAAACCATTTTAACCTAAAAGGTCAATGTGATCTTGACATCTGACCTAAAGCAATAAGGGTTCATCTACTTACCAAGACCAATGCACCTATGAAGTTTGAGGACTAACAGCCAATGCATTGTAAAGTTATTGACCAGAAACCGTTTTTACCTACAAGGTCAATGTGACCTTGATCTTTGACCCCTTGACCCCAAAATCAATAGAAGTAATCAACTTGCCAAGACCAATGCACCTACAAGGTTTGATGGCCATCAGCCAATGGGTTGTCAAGTTATTGATTGGAAACTGGTTTTACCTACAAGGTCAATGTGACCATAACCTCAGAATCAATAGGTGTCATCTACAGTTCATGAACAATCCCAATACCAAGTTTGAAGTTCCTATGCCTAACTAGAACTATCAATGAATGCGATTCATAACCCCACCAATGTCCTTGACAGAAGACAACTTGGAAAGGTGGTTAACGGAATAAAACTTTAGTGGCACAGATAAATATACATAACATAAAAAGAAATTATCTCTGGTGAAAAAAGGACAAATTGTACAGGTAATAGTATAAATATATATTGTCAAATTATGTTCGAAACAATTACAAATAACCTTTCATTTTCCCAATGTACTAAAACAAACAAAAGCAGTGAAGTTAAGAAAATAGCATAATTATGTCAAAATGTAATTAAGAGTGGAAAAACTTTGCATACTGAGCTTACTTGTGACCCTTCATGTATTATATAGTTTCAAGTGAATATCTGTTCTAGTTTCAGAAACATTTAAGTATTGATGGTTATATCAGAACATTTTCTAAGCCTAAAAGGGGCATCACTTGTGTCATAATTCAATGGAATTTTAGAATTTCTTCATCTGAGCTTGCTTGTAACCATTCATATAAATTTTAAGTTACAAGTAAATATCTGTTCTGGTTTAAGAAATATTATAGTAAATAAATTTAAAGACATAAAAATGGACTTAACTTTGTCAAAATACAATACAAAGTTATCCCCCCACACATTTTTTAGTTATGAAACTTGACACTTTTTATATTTTTGAAGTTTCAAATGATTATCTGTTCTAGTTTAAGAAATATTCAAGTACATGTTAAAATTTAAGAACATTTTCAAAGTCAATTTTTGACCTTCAAGTATGACCTTGACCATAAGCTGGCCCAAGGGTAAGATGGGTTCTTCACATTGCCCAGTCTGGGTGAACATTGAGTCACAAGTTTTGAAGAAATCCTTCCATTAGTACAAAGAATTATAGAGCGAAAGCACAACATATTGTCTAGTATTTGATTGTATGTAAATTTAAAAGACTTATAAAGGGGCATTACTTTTTCAAAATGCAAAACAGAGTTATGAAACTTGACCTGCATCTCGTACTTGTGACACCACATATATCTTTTAAGTTTCAAGCAAATACCTTTGCTTGTTTCAGAAATATTCAAGTACATGTTAAAATTTAAGAACATTTTCTAAGTCAATTTTTGACCTTCAAGTGTGACCTTTACCTTAAGCCAGCACAAAGATAACATGGGTTCTGCACATAGCCTTGTTGAGGTGAACATTTGAGTCAAGTTTGAACAAAACCCTTCCATTAGTATAGGATTTATAGAGCGGACACGATATATTGTCTAGTATTGATTGTATGAAAATTCAGACTTAAAAAGGGGCATAACTTTGTCAAAATGCAAAACAGAGTTATGAAACTTGACCTGCATATCTTAATTGTGACACTCCATATATATTTTAAGTTTTAAGCAAATACCTTTTCTAGTTTCAGAAATATTTAAATAAATGTTAAAATTTAAGAATATTTTCTAAGTCAATTTTTGACCTTCAAGTGTGGCCTTGACCTTAAGCTGGCTCAGGGGTAAGATGCGTTCTTCACATTGCCCAGTAGGGGTGAACATTTGTGTCAAGTTTGAAGAAAACCCTTCCATGGAAGACGGACAAAACCCCACCAGTTAAAACCCCACCACTCAAAATTTTATAGAGTGGACAAAACCCCACCACTAAATTTTATAGAGTGGACAAAACCCCACCACTAAATTTTACAGAGTGGACAAAACCCCACCACTTACCAATTATTGGGCAAGATTTGAATGAATTAAAAAATATATAATATACAGTACACATCTTCACATTTTATTTTTTAATTTCAATTTTAAGAGATTATACAAATAATTTACAAACTGTTAATCAACATCAAAGAGCAGTCATTTATTTGATTCCTGTGCCACATTTATGACCTTGAATATCCATTATTTTTAGTTTCTTCAAATTCATTTCTTCAATTTATTTATATAGAAGATAAACTACTTACTATTAATCAAGAATGAAGCACATTTTCATCAATTAATGATTAAAAAATAGCACATTTTTTATAGCACATTTTTTTAATTTATTCAGTTCAGTCAATTTTCCTTCATTGTACTTCATTTGTTCTTAGTTTAAGTGGATACTGTGGCTGATAGCCTACAGAAACTCGGGTACGGTCTTCTCCTTATTGATGAGTTGTTCACACATTCTTTTGAGTTTTGCTGATGCACAATTGTTAGTTTTTTAACATGTTTACAAGAAAGTTTTGTCCACTCTATAAAACTGAAGTGGTGGGGTTTTGTCCACTGTGTAAAATTAAGTGGTGGGGTTTTGTCCACTCTATAAAATTTAGTGGTGGGGTTTTGTCCACTCTATAAAATTTTGAGTGGTGGGGTTTTAACTGGTGGGGTTTTGTCCTACATTCTCTTCCATTAGTATAGAATTTATAGAGCAGACACAACATATTGTCTAGTATTGATTGTATGAAAATTCAGACTTAAAAAGGGGCATAACTTTGTCAAAATGCAAAACAGAGTTATGAAACTTGACCTGCATCTCGTACTTGTGACACCACATATATCTTTTAAGTTTCAAGCAAATACCTTTGCTTGTTTCAGAAATATCAAGTACATGTTAAAATTTAAGAATATTTTCTAAGTCAATATTTGACATTCAAGTGTGACCTTGACCTTTAGCCGGCACAAAGGTGATATAGATTCTGCACATAGCCTTTTTGAGGTGAACATTTGAGTTAAGTTTGAAGAAAATTCTTCATTAGTATAGGATTTATAGAGCGGACATGACATATTGTCTAATATTTGATTGAATGTAAATTTGAAGACTAAAAACAAGAGGGCCATGATGGCCCTGAGGTCGCTCACCTGTATATAGGCCTTGCCCCTCCCCCTGGCAGGGCCAATTTTAACCCAAGGGCTTTTATTTGAACAAACTTGGTAGACACCCATAAGAAGATGTTTCATGCTAAACATCTAAGCTCTAGCTCATTGGGTTTTTTCAAAGAAGATTTTTTAAGTTTTTACTATACACATATAGTTAAAAAAAAATGACACCCCTGGGGCGGGGCCAGTTTGACCCCAGGGCTTATTTGAACAAACTTTGTAGACACTTACTAGAAGATGTTTCATGCTTAATATCTAAAACTCTAGCTATTCAGGTTTTTTCACAGAAGAGTTTTAAGTTTTTGCAATACACATATAAGGAAAATTAATGACCCCCGGGGGGGGGGGGCCAATTTTGACCCCAGGGCTTTTATTTGAACAAACTTTGTAGACACTCACTAGAAGATGTTTCATGCTTAATATCTAAATTCTAGCTATTTGGGTTTTTTCAAAGAAGATTTTTAAAGTTTTTGCTATACACATATAAGGAAAATCAATGAGCCCCGGGGCGGGGCCAATTTTGACCCCAGGGCTTTTATTTGAACAAACTTTGTAGACACCCATTGGAACATGTTTCATGCTAAATATCTTAGCTCTAGCTCTTTGAGTTCTTTAAAAGAAGATTTTTTAAGTTTTTACTATATGCATATAGGGAAAATCAATGATCCCCTGGGACGGGGCCAATTTTGACCCCAGGGCTTTTATTTGAACAAACTTGGTAGACACTCACTAGAAAATGTTCCATGCCAAATATCTAAGCTCTAGCTCTTAAGAGTTTTTTAAAAGAAGATATTTTTGATGTTTTTTCTTTTGGTTGCCATGGCAACCAGAGTTCTGCATGGAATTAAATTCTTTGAACAATTCTTAAAGGTGACCACCAAAGGAACATTCCTGTGAAGTTTGGATGAAATTGGCTTAGTGGTTTATGAGGAGATGTCATTTAAAGTAAAAGTTTACGGCCGGACGTAAGCAAGCAAATACCTTTTCTAGTTTCTGAAATATTCAAATACATGTTAAAATTTAAGAATATTTTCTAAGTCAAATTTGACCTTCAAGTGTGACCTTGACCTAAAGCCAGCACAAATGTAACATGGGTTCCGCACATAACCTTGTTGAGGTGAACATTTGAGCCAAGATTGAAGAAAATCTTTCAATTAGTGTAGGATTTACAGAGCGGACACGACATACTGTCTAATATTTGATTGTGTGATATTTGACCTTCAATTGTGACCTTGACCTTGAGCTGACACATGGGCAACATGGGTTCTGCACATCCTTCCTCTTGTTGAGGTGAACATTTGAGCCAAGTTTGAAGAAAATCCTACAATTGGTATAGGATTTATTGAGCAGGCACGAAAATGGGGACAGATGGACAGACACAACAAAACACAACAAAGCGAATCCATTATAGCCCCCCCCCCCATTTTGTGGTGGGGGTGAAATTATTTTTTAGCTATTGATCGGAAAACATTTCGAACAGACAAATGCAAAGCAATATACCACCACTTCTATGAACGGGGGACATAATGAAGTACCACCACTTCTATGAATGGGGGACATAATGAAGTAATAAGGAGAAATTTAAGATAAATCCAACTTGCTGGAATAGGTTTACCATACAGGGTCCTATTTTCAAAGTGAAACAAGATTGCATTTGTAAACAAAAGGTGCATTGTCGCTATATAGGCCCGTCACAAAAACTTTTAACAGAGATGTGGCCATTAAAGATATGCATATAGGAGATATGCTCTGGGCAATATCCGGAAAATATCTGGATATTTTATCATCTTGAGTGACCTTGACCTTGCAAATACTAACCTTAATTACATGTGTCACAATTGTAGTTACTAAATCGTCCCCGTTCACAAACTCTCTATGTGACCTTGACTTTGGTAGAAGGGACCTGGATTATGTGTGCAATATGCGTCACAATGGTGGACATTTGTGCCATTACATTATGATTAAGTTACATTGAAATCCCCTGATGAATGTAGAAGTTCGGCTTTGAAAAAGCATTTTTCAATGACCTAAAAGTGTGTCATTAACCTTTAACCTAGAGATCTGGTTCATGCACTTCACACTGCTTCTCATAGGGGTGAACATTTCTATGAAGTTTTATTAGAATGCCACCATGCGTGGAGGAGATACTGTATGTCTAGAAATATTCGCGGGCTTCAAATTTTCGCGATCTTCGCGGTGACATTCGATCCGCGAATTCATGTTCAGCGCGAATATTAATTTTCTACACCAATAATTTCTTAAAAGTCATATTTTCGCGCATCTATAGAACAATGTATATCAGTGTGTTCACGGCTGCTATAAGTCTGGTATCCGTGGCACTTTCAAAGAGTGATTTTACTGTTGTATAAACTGTACATGTAACATTCAGCTCTGTATATAAATCATTTTGCTAGTGTATTATTGTTTGACTGATATGATTATCGGATTTTTGTATAAGTATATACATGTTTGAACAATACCATTGTATCACGCAATTTTTTCATAGTCTGAGTCATAAACGTCTTGACATATGATCAAATTATTTTTTGTTTTTCTAAACAAACAATACAAACAACACAAACATTGACGATTTTTTAAACTGATGAAAACATGGAAAACAAAACACAATTACTCAGTCAACATTTTAGCAAAATTGGTGAAAAGATTATGGTCTCATTCAGTGCTGTTTAAAACTGTGAAAAATCACGCATGTTACCGGACATTCTTTTGTTTGCCATAATCTGTCCGCTAGACAAATTGAAGGTCTTTGTTCTGTACAATAGCCTATTGTTTGACACAAGGTGTTGAAAATAACTGTAAAGTCCCACAATGATTACAGTAAAAAATTATGTAAAATGAAAGAAGGCTGCTTGCGAATTGCCTAATCATGTAAGAGTAATTTCCCTTATTTTTTAACCTGATGGGTGTACGCGAATTTATGATTTTCGGCAGTCACCTCCGCGAATTCAAAATAGCGCGAATATTTGTATATACCCCCAAAATTGACCTTTCCGCGAAAATTTGCTTCCGCGAATTTAAATACACATACAGTATGCTGTGGACAAAATTTCTATATTTTATCATCTTTAGTAACCTTGACCTTACATATATTAACCTAAATTACATGTTTCACACCATTACTTATAATAATGACAATTTGTGTTTCAATCCCTCAATAAACAAGCAATTATCATAGTATTGCAAGCAATCCATAAGTCCCCTACCGGTTAGAACCCCAGCAACATTCTGATTTCAATTTTACCAGTGAATGAATGACACGAATGAACTTAAATCTTTTGAGTTCTAAGTTTGTCTATTTCACAGTAATGTGTTAAGTTTCCCTGCCTAGTAAGGCAATTATGTTTATGCAACCTTGTCATATTATTACGATGTGGGATTTTAAAGTAAATCCTATAAGGAATGAAGAAGTTGGAGTAAAAAAATACCAATTTCTCGAAAAAAGTCTAAGTTCAAGGGGGACATAATTCTGGAAATAGTCTTGCTAGAGTATTTAACCTTCTCAAAAATGTTAAGTGATAATAAGAAACATATATATGAAGTTTGAAGTAGATACAATAGGAAATAAAGAAGTTATTTTAAAAAGACAACATTTTTTTTCATAAAAATTCTAAGTTCAAGGGAGGTAATACTGATAATTTTTGTGCTAGAGTTGTAAACCTTGTCACATTTGATGTGGTTGATGACCAGAAACTTATATTTAAAGTTTGAAGTAAACACCTTAAGAAATAAAGAACTTATAGTGAAAAAGCTTGAAATCCAGGCTATTTGTTGTTATAGCAACCAGAATTTTCAACATAGGAAGTAAAGAAAAAGATGTGCATAATCTGCAGGGGTGATGTGTGGAACTATAATAGGACCTGATTTTCAAACAGGTGTATATAAATGCTATGTCACCGCATTAATACAACACTAAGTAGTAGTGTAGGAACAGAAGATTTTTTGTTTGTTTCTATACATTTTAACATTTTAGTCGAAATGCAGTTGAGATTAGTGTATTTGGTGCTCAGTACATAGTGAAAACCAATGACCCCCGACCACCAAATATCAAAGCTCTAAGCCTTTACCTTCTTTCAAGAAGATTTTATAAGCTTTTACTATAATAATTCACGAACTGAATAGGGCAAGCACTGCACCCTGCCTCTATACCCTCTACCACTGTATGCAGTATAAAAAAAACAAGCAATTATCATAGTATTGCAAGTATTGCTATGGAACGGCCTTCCTCAAAATCTTAGAGATATTCAATCTTCCCACACCTTCAAGCATGCCATCAAAGCCCATTTAATGGCCAGTTAATTTTAGTTTATTTTTCAATAGTATGGAATCTTTTAATAGTCTTAATAGAGTCCCAGATTTTACTTATTCTTAAGTTTAAGCACAACACACATATGTTGTGTCCTTTAGTAATTTACCCATCTTTAGCTTGCACATTTAGCTTGCACATTTAACGTTTTATAATATTTTTATTAAATTTTTACAGTTTGACTGACAATTTCTGTGATGCACTATTTCATGATTTATTGATGTGATACAAACTTGAACTGTGATTTTAATGTGATACAAACTTGGACTGTGATATATTGTGATATCAACTAAATTATTGCAATTTATGTCTTATTAGTAAAAGAATTAACTTCAATTTCATACAAATTAACATGACTTTCTGTGTCATGCCTCCAATATCAGGGACCACAATGGAAATAAGAGGAATCCTTTCCTCTTTTTTGTGTTATCCCTGGTATTGGTGGGCACTACATGGCTCATATATTTATATTTTGTCGTATACTTATGTCATGTGATATTTCTAGTCTCTTTAATATTTTGATTATTGTTATATGTATTGTATCATTATGCATCATTATGTCATTGCCATGTCATGTACACTTTTACCGAATAAAATTATTATTATTATTATTATTATAGTTATCACTGGATTCAGTGCAAGTGTAAAATTTGCCATATTTTCAGTCTATGTGTTGCCATAGCAACCAGAATTTTCAACATAGGAAGAAAAGAAAAAAACGTGCATAATCTCCAGACTGCCATCTACCCATATTACAAGTTTCATAAAAATATTTCTATTACTTTTTGCGTTAACACAGGATCCAGTTTATGTGTAAAATTTGCCATATTTTCAGTCTATTTGTTGCCATAGCAACCAGAATTTTCAACATAGGAAGAAAAGAAAAAGACGTGCATAATCTCCATACTGCCATCTATCCATATATCAAGTTTCATAAAAATATTTCCAGTACTTTTTGTGTTATCACTGGATCCAGTTTATGTGTAAAATTTGCCATATTTTAAGCCCATTTGTTGCCATAGCAACCAGAATTTTCAACATAGGAAGAAAAGAAAAAGACGTGCATAATCTCCATACTGCCATCTATCCATATATCAAGTTTCATAAAAATATTTTCAGTACTTTTCAAGTTATCGCGGGATCCAGTTTTGTGGACGCACGGACTGACGGACTGACAGACAGACAGACGGACAGACGGACAGACAGACAGACAGACAGACGGACAGACAGTCAGACGGACGGAGGGTAAACCTAAAGTCCCCTCTGGTAAACTGGTAGGGGACTAATTATCTCCAAGGGTTTTCAAATTATGCTCTGGACAAGCACAGCGGATGACAGATAGACAGACAGACGGGATAAGGTGGCAACACTATGCTCTCCTTCAGGGAGCATAAAAAATCCATCTTGTGTTTTAGGTTAACCACGAACGGACAGACAGTTCAATTACTACATGCCTGGGGGCATAATAAAGTATTTTGTATATCTTCAATAAAATTGTTCTTGTAATGCTAAAAAAAACTTCCTTATCAAGGCAAAAACAATTCTTAGCTGTATATTACACAGTTAATGTAACAAAACAGAACATAAGAACTACCTGCTCAAGAACCTGCCTATTCTGCTCGTTAGAATCTTGCAACTCTGCCTCCAGAGTACCAATACGCCTCTCATAGTTAGATACCTAAAATGAACAAGCAATTATCATAGTATTGCAAGCAATCCATAAGTCCCCTACCGGTTAGAACCCCATCAACATTCTGAAGGGCCATTGGCCATTCACTAATGTTTCAATTTTTCTCTATTTTAAGTAAATTTGTTGGAAAAGTTCTTTAAAAGTGATCACAGGAAACAGTTTTTATGAACAGACAGACGGACTGAGGACACTCTAAAGTTAATATTTGAAACATCCCTGTTACCAAAATATAACATTTTAAAAGCAAAATTCTTAAAGAGGAGATAACTCTTGAATTAAAGATGCAATTTCATAAAAATTTTCAGCTCTTTTTGACTAATCACAAATATATTGTTATATTTGCCATGTTTTAAGCCTATTTGTTGCCAAGGCAACTGATATTTTAATCAAAATAGGAAAGACAGATAAGACATGCATAATCTCAAGACTGCTATCTACCCATATGTCAAGTTTCATAAAAATATTTCCAGTACTTTTTGAGTTATCACTGGATTCAGTTTATGTGTAAAATTTGCCAAATTTTCAGTCTATGTGTTGCCATAGCAACCAGAATTTTCAACATAGAAGAAAAGAAAAAAGACGTGCATAATCTCAAGACTGCCATCTACCCATATGTCAAGTTTCATAAAAATATTTCCAGTACTTTTTGCGTTATCACTGGATCCAGTTTATGTGTAAAATTTGCCATCTTTTCAGCCTATTTGTTGCCATAGCAACCAGAATTTTCACCATAGGAAGAAAAGAAAAAGACGTGCATAATCTCCATACTGCCATCTATCCACATACCAAATTTCATAAAAATGTTTTCAGTACTTTTCAAGTTATCGCGGGATCCAGTTTTGTGGACGGACGGACTGACGGACGGCCGCATAAACACCACCTGGACCAACGTCCATAAGCAAAATAAGCTCATAAAAACAAAAAAATAGCTCTTAATTTGAATTTTATGAGTTTTTGTTCTTTATTTATCTACGGAATGAAGCTCATAATAATCAAATGTTTGCTCGGACAGACAAACGGACGGACAGACGGACGGAGGGTAAACCTAAAGTCCCCTCCGGTAAACCGGCAAACAAGTTCTCAAAATATAAATAAACTGTGTAATATACAGCTAAGAATCAAATTATTTTTGCCTTTATAAGGAAGTTCTTTTTTAGCATTAGAAGAACAGTTTTCCTAAAGTTTAAAAAAAATTTTTTTTGTTTTTAAGTTGCAAGAGAATATATTTGATTGTCCTATTCATTTGATTGCAAAAGAGTTGATAAAGCATTTAAAAGCATAACAATCCATATATGCACTCTATTCTACTTTCTTAATTGTCATTGTGCAAATTTTGCACCAGGTAATAAAACAAGAGCTGTCGGTAGGACAGCACGCTCGACTATTCTAATTGCTTGATAGTAAAAGAGCCTTGATAATGTTAAATTTTTTAAGTTCACAAAAGGGCTAATTTTTTTTTATAAATTCATGTTATAGGTCTTAGAGAGAGTCTAATTATACAGTATTGGCTTGACTATTTGGAAGGTAATGTCACAAGGGTGCTTTATTGAGTATAATAATACTAATTACCTATGAATACATAAAATTGACAGAAAAGGTACAAAGGCTTGTTATTATGATGTTTTATCAAGTAAATCACTGCTTTATTATTACGAATGCATAAAATTGTCCCAAAAAAGGCACAAACCCTTCAGTAGTTATGGAGATAACAGCTTACAAGCAAAACTTTACCATGAATTTTTTAAGTTGAAAAAGGGAAGAAAAATCAGCCTAAATGCAAGATAGAATTATGGATCTTTGTCAGTGACCTACAATTCTGACCCTAAATGCATATGTGAAGTTTTAAATAAATATCTTTAATAGTTATTGAGATATGTAAAACTTGCATGTAAACATTAACCAAGAGACTACGTAGAAAAGGGGATATGAATCAGCCTTAATGCAAGATAGAGTTATGGAACTTGGTCAGTGACATACAATTATGACCCTCAAAATTATAACCCTAAGTACATGTGTAAAGTTTCAAGTAAATATCTTTGAAGACCTTTAACCTTTAACCAAAATCTCTAAGTTTCAAAGGGGCAAATAATTCTGCAAATATTGCAGACAGAGATATGCAATTTAGCAAAATGATGTACATTGTTACTATAAAAAAAGTATTGTAAATTTCAAATGAATATCTCAAGCAATAATTGAGATATTTGACTTTACAAAAAAAACTTTAACCAAAATTTCTAAGTTTCAAAGGGGCAAATAAATTCTGTCAATATTGTACGCAGAGTTATCCAACTTGTCAATCTGATGTACCTTGTTACTATAAATAAGTATTGTAAGTTTCAATTGAATATCTCAAGCAATAATTGAGATATTTGTCTTTACAAAAACTTTAACCAAAATTTCTAAGTTAAAAAGGGGCATAATTCTGTCAATATTGTAGGCAGAGTTATCCAACTTGTCAATCTGATGTACCTTATTACTATTAATAAGTATTGTAAGTTTCAATTGAATATCTCAAACAATAATTGAGATATTTGTCTTTATAAAAAACTTTAACCAAAATTTCTAAGTTAAAAAGGGGCATAATTCTGACAATATTGTAGATAGAGTTATCCAACTTGTCAATCAGATGTACCTTGTTACTATAAATAAGTATTGAAAGTTTCAATTGAATATCTCAAGCAATAATTGAGATATTTGACTTTACAAAAAACTTTAACCAACGCAGACGCCGACGCGGACGCTGACGCCGACGCCGACGCCGGGGCGACTACAATAGCTCTCATATTCTTCGAATAGTCGAGCTAAAAAGGTTTTCATCAATAGTTTTATCTAAATCGATTTAAATTAATCTGCTTGAATACAGCTAGCCAGAGTGTTTGATGTTAAGTGCATTTTTGTGATGAAACTCAAATTTGTTGCATATTTGCCGAAAATTGAATTTATTTTTTTTAGGTACACCAAATGTTGCATGTTCATGTCATTCTCAAAATAATAACAACAATTGTAGGGAAAAAAATCCCCTTAATAAGAGCCAAGCTTGAACTTGGTGATGCTCCCAAAATAAGTTTTAGACACAGAAAAGTGCACCTCTTGTAGTTTCAGAGTTATGTCCCTGGACAAAATTCAAAGTGCAATAAATCCAAAATAAGGGAAGGCAGAGTTACTGTTCTTTGCACTGCTCTGGACATCTAATCAATAAAGGTCTATCTACCGGACTCAGTTTTCTTGTTCATACCTCTTGTAGTCTCACAGTAATGTCCCGGACAAAGGTTCAAAGTGTAAAATGAACAACAACAATAACATCAAAATTTGGAAAGGCAGAGTAATGGTTCTTGTGCACTGCATATCTACCTATTTAGATATATCTACCTACAAAGTTTCATGTTGAGTTATGTCTCGGACAAGACATTCTAAAAGGTGAGATAATTCAACAAGAGGGCCATGATGGCTCTGAGGTCGCTCACCTGTATATAGGCCCCCCACCCCCGGGCCAATTTTTACCCAAGGGCTTTTATTTGTTTATTTGAACAGACTTGGTAGACACCCATAAGAAGATGTTTCATGCTAAACATCTAAGTTCTAGCTCATTGGCATTTGTAAAAGAAGATTTTTAAAGTTTTTTACTATACACATATAGTTAAAAAAACAATGTCACCCCTGGGGCAGGGGCCAGTTTTGACCCCGGGCGTTTATTTTAACAAACTTTGTAGATATTTACTTAAAGATGTTTCATGATTAATATCTAAACTCTAGCTATTTGGGTTTTTCCAAAGAAGATTTTTAAGTTTTTGCTATTACACTATATAAGGAAAATCAATGACCCCCCCCCCGGGCGGGGCCAGTTTTGACCCCAGGGCTTTTTATTTGAACATACTTGGTAGACACCCATTAGAAACATGTTTCATGCCTAAATATCTTAGCTCTAGCTCTTTGAGTTCTTTAAAAGAAGATTTTTAAGTTTTTTACTATATGCATATAGGGAAAATCAATGACCCCCCTGGGGCGGGGCCAATTTTGACCCCAGAGCTTTTATTTGAACAAACTTGGTAGACACTCATTAGAAGATGTTTCATGCTAAATATCTTAGCTCTAGCTCTTTGGGTTCTTTAAAAGAAGATTTTTTAAGTTTTTACTATATGCATATAGGGAAAATCTATGACCCCCTGGGGCGGGGTCAATTTTGACCCCAGGGCTTTTATTTGAACAAACTTGGTAGACACTCACTAGAAGATGTTTCATGCCAAATATCTAAGCTCTAGCTCTTATGGTTCTTTAAAAGAAGATTTTTTAAGTTTTTACTATATGCATATAGGGAAAATCAATGACCCCCGGGGCGGGGCCAATTTTGACCCTAGGGCTTTAATTTGAACAAACTTGGTAGACACTCACTAGAAGATGTTTCATGCTTAATATCTTAGCTCTAGCTCTTTGGGTTCTTTAAAAGAGGATTTTTTAAGTTTTTACTATATGCATATAGGGAAAATCAATGACCCCCTGGGTCGGGGCAATTTTGACCCCAGGGCCTTTATTTGAACAAACTTCGTAGACATTCACTAGAAGATGTTTCATGCCAAAATATCTAAGCTCTAGCTCTTACGGTTCTTTAAAAGAAGATTTTTTAAGTTTTTACTATATGATATAGGGAAAATCAATGACCCCCAGGGGCGGGGCCAATTTTGACCCCAGGGCTTTTATTTGAACAAACTTGGTAGAAACTCATTAGAAGGTGTTTCATACCAAATATCTAAGCTCTAGCTCTTAGGCTTTTTTAAAAGAAGATATTTAAAGTTTTTTCTTTCGGTTGCCATGGCAACCAGAGTTCTGCATGGAATTAAATTTCTTTGAACAATTTTTAAAGGTGACCACCAAAGGAACATTCCTGTGAAGTTTGGATGAAATTGGCTCAGTGGTTTATGAGGAGATGTCATTTAAAGCAAAAGTTTACGGACGGACGGACGGACGACGGACGGCCGGACGCCGGACGAAAAGCGATCACAAAAGCTCACCCTGTCACTTTGTGACAGGTGAGCTAAAAATGGGGCAAAACAGAGTTATGGTTCTTTGACACTGCACTCCGCATCAATGTCCTCTACCACTGTGTGAAGTTTAAACAAATTATCTCCCAAGGGTTTTCAAGTTATGCTCCGAACAATCACAATGGACAGGTAGACAGACAGATGGACAGACGGACAAGGCAGCAACTATATGCTCTCCCTTCGGGGAGCATAAAACCATTATATTCATTAACAAAACATAAAACTACCTGCTCAAGAACCTGCCTATTCTGCTCGTTAGAATCTTTGCAACTCTGCCTCCAGAGTACCAATACGCCTCTCATAGTTAGATACCTAAAATGGGAAAAAATATTCAATTAAAATTTTGGATATCCCTTTACAATCAAACCCAATATCTGTTTTTTGGTAAAATTCACAAAAAATGAAGAACCATTTCAAGATGTCATGAGACATACATGTAAAACTAATATTTTATAAATTCTTATATAACAAATCATATTATCAAATATCATTAATTATTTTATTTTCTTTTATTTTATTTTCCATCTCCCAACTTTAGCCTCTTAGCCGTTTGCTAGACTCAACACTTTAAACATGTACATACACTTTGACATGTTGCCAAAAACAAGTTTATATAACATGTTAAAATATACAGCCCAAAAACTTAAAAAGTTTATTCAAAGAACTTTCTCATTTATTTTCTTTGATTCTTTTTTTATCAATAATGAGGACTATACAGAAGTTACAATGGGCAGGAAACACATTATGCCGCAGTGGCAGACTGGTAATAAATGCAAACAAGTTCTCAAAATATAAATAAACTGTGTAATATACAGCTAAGAATCAAATTATTTTTGCCTTTATAAGGAAGTTCTTTTTTAGCATTAGAAGAACAGTTTTCCTAAAGTTTAAAAAAAATTGTTTAACTCCGCATTTTTTTTGTTTTTAAGTTGCAAGAGAATATATTTGATTGTCCTATTCATTTGATTGCAAAAGAGTTGATAAAGCATTTAAAAGCATAACAATCCATATATGCACTCTATTCTACTTTCTTAATTGCCATTGTGCAAATTTTGCACCAGGTAATAAAAAAAGGTTTTAATCAATAGTTTTATCTAAATCGATTTAAATTAATCTGCTTGAATTCAGCTAGCCAGAGTGTTTGATGTTAAGTGCATTTTTGTGATAAAACTCAAATTTGTTGCATATTTGCCAAAAATTGAATTTATTTTTTTTTAGGAACACCAAATGTTGCATGTTCATGTCATTCTCAAAATAATAACAACAATTGTAGGGAAAAAAATCTCCTTAATAAGAGCCAAGCTTGAACTGGGTGATGCTCCCAAAATAAGTTTTAGACACAGAAAAGTGCACCTCTTGTAGTTTCAGAGTTATGTCCCTGGACAAAATTCAAAGTGCAATAAATCCAAAATAAGGGAAGGCAGAGTTACTGTTCTTTGCACTGCTCTGGACATCTAATCAATAAGGTCTATCTACCGACTCAGTTTCTTGTTCATACCTCTTGTAGTTTCACAGTAATGTCCCGGACAAAGTTCAAAGTGTAAAATGAACAACAACAATAACATCAAAATTTGGAAAGGCAGAGTAATGGTTCTTGTGCACTGCATATCTACCTATTTAGATATATCTACCTACAAAGTTTCATGTTGAGTTATGTCTCGGACAAGACATTCTAAAAGGTGAGATAATTCAAAAATGGGGCAAAACAGAGTTATGGTTCTTTGACACTGCACTCCGCATCAATGTCCTCTACCACTGTGTGAAGTTTAAACAAATTATCTCCCAAGGGTTTTCAAGTTATGCTCCGAACAATCACAATGGACAGGTAGACAGACCGATGGACAGACGGACAAGGCAGCAACTATATGCTCTCCCTTCGGGGAGCATAAAACCATTATATTCATTAACAAAACATAAGAACTACCTGCTCAAGAACCTGCCTATTCTGCTCGTTAGAATCTTGCAACTCTGCCTCCAGAGTACCAATACGCCTCTCATAGTTAGATACCTAAAATGAAAAATATTCAATTAAAATTTGATATCCCTTTACAATCAAAACCCCAATATCTGTTTGGTAAAACTTCACAAAAAAATGAAGAACCATTTCAAGATGTCATGAGACATACATGTAAAACTAATATTTTATAAATTCTTATATAACAAATCATATTATCAAATATCATTAATTATTTTATTTTCTTTTATTTTATTTTCCATCTCCCAACTTTAGCCTCTTAGCCGTTTGCTAGACTCAACACTTAAACATGTACATACACTTTGACATGTTGCCAAAAACAAGTTATATAACATGTTAAAATATACAGCCCAAAAACTTAAAAAGTTTATTCAAAGAACTTCTCATTTATTTTCTTTGATTCTTTTTTATCAATAATGAGACTATACAGAAGTTACAATGGGCAGGAAACACATTATGCCGCAGTGGCAGACTGGTAATAAATGCAAACAAGTTCTCAAAATATAAATAAACTGTGTAATATACAGCTAAGAATCAAATTATTTTTGCCTTTATAAGGAAGTTCTTTTTTAGCATTAGAAGAACAGTTTTCCTAAAGTTTAAAAAAAATTGTTTAACTCCGCATTTTTTTTGTTTTTGCTTTTGAAAAGTGCACCTCTTGTAGTTTCAGAGTTATGTCCCTGGACAAAATTCAAAGTGCAATAAATCCAAAATAAGGGAAGGCAGAGTTACTGTTCTTTGCACTGCTCTGGACATCTAATCAATAAGGTCTATCTACCGACTCAGTTTCTTGTTCATACCTCTAGTAGTTTCAAAGTAATGTCCCGGACAAAGTTCAAAGTGTAAAATGAACAACAACAATAACATCAAAATTTGGAAAGGCAGAGTAATGGTTCTTGTGCACTGCACATCTACCTATTTAGATCTATCTACCTACAAAGTTTCATGTTGATATCTCCTATAGTTTTAGAGTTATGTCCCAGACAAGATTTTTCTAAAAGGTGAGATAATTCAAAAATGGGGCAAAACAGAGTTATGGTTCTTTGACACTGCACTCTGCCTCAATGTCCTATACCACTGTGTGAAGTTTAAACAAATTATCTTCAAGGGTTTTCAAGTTATGCTCCGGACAATCACAATGGACAGGTAGACAGACAGATGGACAAGGCAGCAACTATATGCTCTCCCTTCGGGGAGCATAAAACCATTATATTCATTAACAAAACATAAGAACTACCTGCTCAAGAACCTGCCTATTCTGCTCGTTAGAATCTTGCAACTCCGCCTCCAGAGAACATATACCTCTCTCATAGTGAGATACCTAAAATGAAAATTATTCAATTAAAATTTGATATCCCTTTTCAATCAAAACCCCAATATCTATGTTTGGTAAAACTTCACAAAACTAGAAATGTGTCCATAGGACACGGGTGCCCCCACCGCGCCACTGTTCTGTCAATCTTTTTACTAAGTCAACGGAAATAACTTTACAAATACTGGAAAAATCCAGAAGCGAAACCCCAGGTGCAAATCTAAATATGCTGAGCAACCTGCCCATAAGGTTTAATGACTCTATGTCAAATTTTTTTTGAGTAACTTGCGACACAAGTTGAAAATTGCAAAAATTTTCTAAGTCAAGGGCAATAACTCTAAAAATACTAAATAAATCCAGACGAAAATACCTGGTGCACAACTACACATGCTGAGCAACATTCTTGTAAGTTTTCATGACTCTAGGTCAAATATTTTTTGAGTTACGTGCAACACAAGTTGAAAATTGCAAATTTTTACTAAGTCAAGGGCAATAACTTCACATGCAGATGAACATTCCTGTAAGGTTTTATGACTGTAGGTCAATTACTTTTTGAGCTACGTGCGACACAAAAAGAGATCAGACGGACGGACGGATGTTCTCACAGGAAAGTAATTATGTGGCTACTCTATTGTTCTCTCTATTGTTCTTTTTAGCCACACAAAAGAAAATAGCCACATAATGGAATGAATGACATCAAAGATAAAGAACAGTTATCTATTGTCCCTCTAGCCACATTATTAGTCCTGCGAGTGCGGACAGACGGACATAGGGAAGGACAGACAGACAAGGGTAAATCTAAATGCCCCCCCCCCCTACCTATAGTGGGGGCACAAAAATGTGACCACTAGAGTGTTAACAAGGTTTTTCTACTTTTAGCTCCTGTGACCTAGTTTTTCATCCGAGATGACCCATGTTCGAACTCATACGAGCTATTAACTAGATAAGCATCCTGACAAAGTTTGATTATGATTGAGGCAAAAATGTGATTGCTAGAGTGTTAATGAACAAGTGTGGACGGACAACGGATGACGGACATTTCACGATCCTAAAAGCACACCCTGAGCTAGCTCAGGTGAGCTGAAAAGGTTTTAATCAATAGTTTTATCTAAATTGATTTCAATTAATCTGCTTAGGTCTAATCAAAAGGCTAATTTATTGATCGTGGCATGTACTTTAAAAATGTAAAACTTATAAAGGCAAATATGTGTAGCATGATATAGCCAGCTGTGCACTTCACAAATTTATATTGCAAGATGTATATTTAACTTTATTAAGATTTATTATTATGAGTGGACAAGATTTTTCTAAAAGGTGAGATAATTCAAAAATGGGGCAAAACAGAGTTATGGTTCTTTGACACTGCACTCTGCCTCAATGTCCTATACCACTGTGTGAAGTTTAAACAAATTATCTTCAAGGGTTTTCAAGTTATGCTCCGGACAATCACAATGGACAGGTAGACAGACAGATGGACAAGGCAGCAACTATATGCTCACCCTTCAGGGAACATAAAAACATCATATTCATTAACAGAACATAAGAACTACCTGCTCAAGAACCTGCCTATTCTGCTCCTTAGAATCTTGCAACTCCGCCTCCAGAGGACGTATACCCCTCTGATAGCGAGATACCTAAAAAGAAAAATATTCAATTAAAATTTGATATCCCTTTACAATCAAAACCACAATATCTATGTTTGGTAAAACTTCACAAAACAAGAGCCACTGCTGGACAGGATAAGGCCTGACTTTATACTTTTTCTAAAAGCAAACAAAGAAATTTTTAAATAAATCTTAATGTTTCCTTTTTATAAATTTAATTGGTCCGTCTTGTCACATTAGTTTTGTAAAAGTATAAATCCTTCCCATATATATCCGCATGTGTATTACAGAAGAAACTAGAACTGCCACTGTCATGGGGTGAATACGCCCGCATGCTTCAAATGTGAAAATGTCAAAATCAATACACTGCGGACAGGCATTCTTAAGCATTTGAGCAGACAACCTTATTATAGTAAAATCCCTGTGACCTTGACTTTTGACATAGTCACCTTAAAATCAAAAGGGGTCATCTTCTAGTCATAAATAACCTCAATACTAAATATGAAGACTGTTGACCAAAGCATTCTTAAGCAATTGAGCTGACAAGCTTTTTTTAGTCAAGGCCCCTGTGACCTTTGACCCAGTGACCTCAAAATCAATAGGAATCATCTACTAACCATCACTAAACTACATGCCAAATATGAAGACTTCTGGTCAAAGGAATCTTAAGTTATTGGGCGGACAAGTTTTTTTTAGTAAAGGCCCCTGTGACCTTTATTTTAACCCAGTGACCTCAAAATCAAAATGGGTCATCTATTAATCATGGCTTACCTCCATGCCAAATATGAAGACTGTGGGTCAAAGGAATCTTCTTAAGTTATTGAGCGGACAAGCTTTTTGAAGTCAAGGCCCCTGTGACCTTGACCTTTGACCTGGTGACCTAAAAATCTAATGGGGTCCTCTACTAATCATAACCAATCTAAAGTCCAAATATCAAGACTGTTATTCAAAGGAATCTTAAGTTATTGGGCAGACAAGCTTTTTGAAGTCAAGGACCCTGTGACCTTTGACCCAGTAATCTTCAAATAATGAAGTTATGGACCGGACACGATTTTGCTGCAAGGTCATGCTGTGACCTTGACCTTCAAGGTAGCGACCCAAATGTTGCGCACGACATGTCGTCTCAATATGGTGATCATTTCTGTGAAACAGTTTTAAAATCTGACTTCAAATAACAAAGTTATGGACCGGACATGATTTTGCTGCAAGGTCATGCTGTGACCTTGACCTTCAAGGTAGCGACCAAAACGTGCTTGTGACACATCGTCTCAATATGGTGATCATTTCTGTGAAATAGTTTTAAAATACAACTTCAAATAATGAAGTTATGGACCAGACACGATTTTGCTGCAAGGTCATGCTGTGCCCTTGACCTTGAAGGTAGCGACCCAAATGTTGCGCACGACATGTCGTCTCAATATGGTGATCATTTCTGTGAAACAGTTTTAAAATCTGACTTCAAATAACAAAGTTATGGGCCGGACATGATTTTGCTGCAAGGTCATGCTGTGACCTTGACCTTCAAGGTAGCGACCCAAATGTTGCTCGCGACACGTCGTCTCAATATGGTGATCATTTCTGTGAAATAGTTTTAAATTGCAACTTCAAATAATGAAGTTATGGACCGGACACAATTTTGCTGCAAGGTCATGCGGTGACCTTGACCTTCAAGGTAGTGCTCCAAATGTTGCGTGCAACACGTCATTTTAGTATGGTGATCATTTCTGTGAAATAGTTTTAAAATGGGACTCCAAATAACAAAGTTATGGGCCGAACACGAATTGGGGACGTACGTACGGACGGACGGAGTGACGGACAACCCGATGACTATTTGCTCCCCCGAAATTTTTTCGGGGAGCATAATAAAAATAGTATATAATACCTAAGATATACAGAAAAGAACAAACAATTTAGTAAACATGAGTTACTTCCCCTTAAAATTACGAAAACTAGAAACCCAAAAGAACACCATAAACAACAAAATTATGAAATTTTGAAAATGGAACAGATATGAATAAGTATGCAAAAACACAAAGAGCAATAACTCTTCAAAAAGAAAATTGATAGACTGAAATATTATGGTTCCTTAAAGGGTATAAATCTTATCATATCTTATGAAATATTTTCATGAAATATAAACAGTAAAATTATATTGGCTTCATTATTATATGGTTGATTCCCTACAAAGTTGTAACATAGAATATCTCTGTTATTTAACACACATGAATAATGTACATAAACAGAATAAAACGTTCCGGAACAAAATAATATTTTGCTATTTTAAGTAGGGTTTCATTCGTTTAGCAATGATTTTGTGCAAGCGCCACTCGCTTTAAGGTAATTACCATATTTATTTCATACAAGCACTTTGGCAGTGTTATTTTTTTTAATCCAACAATAATTTTTGTATCAGATATATAGCTTTATACACTTTAATATTACTTCATTGCAAGAAACCTTGCTTTAGAAATCTGTTGTTCTCTCATAAATCGATGTTTATCTTAGAAATCAATGTGTTGTTCTCTCATAAATCGGTGTTTATTATAGAAATCAATTTGTTGTTCTCTCATAAATCGATGTTTATCTTAGAAATCAATGTGTTGTTCTCTCATAAATCGATGTTTATCTTAGAAATCAATGTGTTGTTCTCTCATAAATCGATGTTTATCTTAGAAATCAATGTGTTGTTCTCTCATAAATCGATGTTTATTTGAGAAATCTGTTGTTCTCTCATAAATCGATGTTTATCTTAGAAATCAATGTGTTGTTCTCTCATAAATCAATGTTTATCTTAGAAATCAATGTGTTGTTCTCTCATAAATCGATGTTTATCTTAGAAATCAATGTGTTGTTCTCTCACAAATCCATGTTTATTTTAGAAATCAATGTGTTGTTCTCTCATAAATCGATGTTTATTTTAGAAATCAATTTGTTGTTCTCTCATAAATCGATGTTTATTTTAGAAATCTGTTGTTCTCTCATAAATCGATGTTTATCTTAGAAATCAATGTGTTGTTCTCTCATAAATCGATGTTTATCTTAGAAATCAATGTGTTGTTCTCTCATAAATCGATGTTTATCTTAGAAATCAATGTGTTGTTCTCTCATAAATCGATGTTTATCTTAGAAATCAATGTGTTGTTCTCTCATAAATCGATGTTTATCTTAAAAATCAATGTGTTGATCTCTCATAAATCGATGTTTATCTTAGAAATCAATGTGTTGTTCTCTCATAAATCGATGTTTATTTTAGAAATCTGTTGTTCTCTAATAAATCGATGTTTATTTTAGAAATCTGTTGTTCTCTCATAAATCGATGTTTATTTGAGAAATCAATGTGTTGTTCTCTCATAAATCGATGTTTATTTTAGAAATCTGTTGTTCTCTAATAAATCGATGTTTATTTTAGAAATGTGTTGTTCTCTAATAAATCGATGTTTATTTAAGAAATTAATCTGTTGTTTTCTAATAAATATAGGAACATAGATTTATGAGAAGACTTACTTTTAAAACTTCTTTATGATCTAAGTGAGTGTGACTCAGACAAAAACTCTTTTATGCATCCAATAGTAGGGTACTACTAAACATGATTACCTGTTGTTGTGCTTCCATTGTTTTCTGATGGATCTCTTTCTTTAACTTGTCCATCTTTTTCTCTAAATCTCTGCAGTAGTCATACAAGCTATTTATTTCACGATCTTTCTATAAAGGAAAAAAGTAAAACAACATTTAATTTTCAACAACACTCTTCCACATCTACTATGCAAACAAAGCAGTGGTCCAAGAAACTGGAAACTATTTTTAAGGGCTGATATTATAAAATTTCAATTAAGAAAATATATGAAACAAAAACGTTTTGTCACAGTCATACAATTTGAAATAACAAAAGCATGCTTCTATTGAACACATTTGGGCTTATTGGAGGGACTAGTGGTTGTTGAATACAAGTCATCAGGGCTTCAGATAATTTTTAGGGCAATGAGTATTTACTCATTGATTTTTTTGTGAAAGAGTAAAACTTGAAATCTGAAATTTGGCAGGAGTATTTTTACTCCTTAAAATGTATGTAAAAGAGTAAAACATTTATTATGCTTCCATGTTTATTGCATTATCATACTTGTAATACAAGATATGTCAAAGTCATTTCTTTTGCTTTTTGGACACCCTTGGTTTATAATCTTGCATTTCCAAACGGCATACGTCTTATCTGAACCTGAGGCATGTTTCTGTTGCTCATACGTGGCAGCCCTAATTATTTCATTAATTATAACTTTCACAATTTCTTTTGGGTCGATTTTTTTTTGGCTGAAAATACGAGTCAATCGTTTTAACTTTTGACATCGACATTGTACCAGATGTTTATGAAATTGCGTTAATTCCACCACCTTACTATACATACGATAACAACCGATGATAGACGGCACTACAGGAAGTTACCGTTAGACGTTGCAAAGCATTCATACGAAGTTAATTCCACCACCATACTATACATACGATAACAACCAATGATGGTCGGAACTACAGGAAGATACCGGTAGACCCTTGCAAAGCATTCATACGAAGTTAATTCCACCACCATACTATACATACGATAACAACCAATGATGGTCGGAACTACAGGAAGTTACCGGTAGACCCTTGCAAAGCGTTCAGACAAAATTAAAAATAAGATAATCACCGAGTTTACTTTCGGTTACGTTTACGCGAAAGAAATGTTGCTCAATGCATAACCTGAATTTTGAGTGCGTTTTCATATGCTTAAATTTTGTTTTAAATGCGTAAACGTGTTATTTCCATGTGTAATTTACACATATACGCATCTTATCTCGAGTACTGAGTCATTATCATTTTCCTATGAAGATCTGAATGATCATTCCTTTTTGGTTTGAAAGCTATCCAGATAATAGAGGGTATAAATGGTTATATAGAGGATATTTGTTTGTTTTGCATGTAAGATTGAAATATAATTTCACTGAGTGAACACCAGATGCAATATTTTCATAGCTGGTGTTCACGAATGAAATATATTTCAATCATATATGTAAAACAAATAAATTTTATTTTTATTTCATGCGTTTTAAGTGATTTTAAGAAATTTTTACTGGTATTGCCGCGTAACGTCGCGCATTCTCCTTTGTGACGTCATCACATCATGACGTCACATCATCAATTTTGAAATATAGTTCTGTTAAATTTCTCTAATTTTGTTACATTTTTAACATGATGTATGGTGACATCGACTTTCTTTTCCTAAAGAAGCAAAATGTACGCATGATGGCATTTATTTCTGCCTGTTATTCCATCTAGTTATTGTTTTCTTTTCATCCACATTCAGATATAGTCCAGCTACAGTGAAAATTATATTTTATAAATTTCACTAGTGGTTTATCAGAATATAATCATCTGATATATTACAATAAAACACTGGAAAGCATGAAATAAAAATGCGTAATCTTCTTCTGATTAGTGTAAGAGGCATATTTGTTCTTTTGTTCCACTTGAAAAACTGAACATGTCACTAAAGATTTTTGTAGTGTTATAGCAACTTATGCAATCTAAGAAAAAATTATTTTTACCTCTTTAATGATATCATCTTTCTCTTTCAACATACCAACCATACGTTCGATGTACTTCGTCAGTAGTTCAATTTCTGTTTTCTTTCATTAAAAATAAGAATATAAACATAATAGATGACCATTATTTCTAAACATAACAGATGACCATTTATTTCTAAACATAAACATCAATAAAAAGACGTATAAAGAGAAATCTAAGATTAAAGAAAACTGTCAATTTTCAACAATACAGTCAGCAATCATTGTGATCATATAAATTTTAGGATGTGACTATTTCTTAAAATTTGAAAATTACTAAAATAAACTAGAACTGCCACTGTCATTACGTGAATACCCCCGCATTACACTTTGTCAGAATCAACAGTGGCCATTTAGAGCTCAAGGACAACCTCCCTGCCAAATCTGAGGTTACTAAGCCAGTGTATTTCTAAGTTATGTATTCTCCACGCTTCAAATGTGAAAATGTCAAAATCAATACACTGCGGACAGGTATTCTTAAGCATTTGAGCAGACAAGCTTATTATAGTAAAAATCCCTGTGACCTTGACCTTTGACACAGGGATCATCTACTAGTCATAAACAACATCAATATCAAATATAAAGACTGTTGACCAAAACATTCTTAATCAATTCAGCAGAAAAGCTTTTTTAGTCAAGGCCCCTGTGACCCGGTGACCTCAAAATCAATAGGGGTCATCTACTAATCATGACTAAACTACATGCCAAATATGAAGACTGTGGGTCAAAGGAATCTCAAGTTATTGGGTGGACAAGCTGTTTTTAGTCAAAGCCCCTGTGACCTTGACCTTTGACCCACTGACCTCAAAATCAATAGGGGTCATCTACTAATCATAACTAACCTCCATGCCAAATATGAAGAATGTGGGTCATAGGAATCTCAAGTGATTGGGTGGACAAGCTTTTTTTAAGTCAAGGCCCCTGTGACCTTGACTTTTGACCCAGTGACCTCAAAATCAATAGGGGTCATCTACTAATCATGACTAACCTCCATGCCAAATATGAGACTGTGGGTCAAAGGAATCTCAAGTTATTGGGTGGACAAGTTTTTTTAGTTAAGGCCCCTGTGACCTTGACCTTTGACCCAGTGACCTCAAAATCAATAGGGGTGATTTACTAATCATGACTAACCTCCATGCCAAATATGAAGAATGTGGGTCATAGGAATCTCAAGTGATTGGGTGGACAAGCTTTTTTTAGTCAAGGCCCCTGTGACCTTGACCCAGTGACCTCAAAATCAATAGGGGTCATCTACTTATCATGACTAACCTCCATGCCAAATATGAAGACTGTGGGTCAAAGGAATCTCAAGTTATTGGGTGGACAAGCTTTTTTAGTCAAGACCCCAGTGACCTTGACCTTTGACCCACTGACCTCAAAATCAATAGGGGTCATCTACTAATCATAACTAACCTCCATGCCAAATATGAAGAATGTGGGTCATAGGAATCTCAAGTGATTGGGTGGACAAGCTTTTTTTAAGTCAAGGCCCCTGTGACCTTGACTTTTGACCCAGTGACCTCAAAATCAATAGGGGTCATCTACTTATCATGACTAACCTCCATGCCAAATATGAGACTGTGGGTCAAAGGAATCTCAAGTTATTGGTGGACAAGTTTTTTTAGTTAAGGCCCCTGTGACCTTGACCTTTGACCCAGTGACCTCAAAATCAATAGGGGTGATTTTACTAATCATGACTAACCTCCATGCCAAATATGAAGAATGTGGGTCATAGGAATCTCAAGTGATTGGGTGGACAAGCTTTTTTTAGTCAAGGCCCCTGTGACCTTGACCCAGTGACCTCAAAATCAATAGGGGTCATCTACTTATCATGACTAACCTCCATGCCAAATATGAAGACTGTGGGTCAAAGGAATCTCAAGTTATTGGGCGGACAAGCTTTTTTAGTCAAGACCCCAGTGACCTTGACCTTTGACCCAGTGACCTCAAAATCAATAGGGGTCATCTACTAATCATGACTAACCTCCATGCCAAATATGAAGACTGTGGGTCAAAGGAATCTCAAGTTATTTGGTGGACAAGCTTTTTAAGTCTAGGCCCCTGTGACCTTGAACTTTCACCCAGTGACCTCAAAATCAATAGGGGTCATCTACTAATCATGACTAACCTTCATGCCAAATATGAAGACTGTGGGTCAAAGGAAAAATCGCCCGACGGCCTGACGGGGAGACTACCAGACGCACAAGCTGATTCCAGTATACCCCCCTTACAACTTTGTTGTGCGGGGGGTATAATAATACTTTTTTTAAGTATATTCATTAAACATAACAGCTCATCTGTGAAAACTTTTGTTTCAAAATAAGCTTAAAAGAATAATGAAATTGATACTTACATCATCCAGAGTCTGGTCCAGTAACCGGTTCACCGTCATTGTCCCTGCTTGAATCTGGTGTCTTATCTTTATCACTTTTTCATGCTGTTAAGTAAAACAAAATATAAATATCTTAACACTATGATTCAAATTCTTTGATGCTGTACTAAAATGTAAAACAATGGGTCCATCATGAGAAGTTGCCAAGTCAATTTATAGGAACAATAACTAGAAATGTGTCCATAGGACACGGGTGCCCCCACCGCGCCACTGTTCAGTCAATCTTTTTACTAAGTCAAGGGAAATAACTCTACAAATACTGGATAAATCCACAAGCGAAACCCCAGGTGCAAATCTAAATATGCTGAGCAACCTGCCCATTAGGTTTAATGACTATGTCAAATCCTTTTTGAGAAGCATGCGACACAAGTTGAAAATTGCAAAAAAGTGAAGGGCAATAACTCTAAAAATACTAAATAAATCCAGACAAAAATACCTGGTGCACAACTGCACATGCTGATCAATATTCCTGTAAAGTTACATGACTCTAGGTCAAATACTTTTTGAGTTACATGCGACACAATTTGAAAATTGCAAAATTTTACTAAGTCAAGGGCAATAACTCTGAAAATAGTAAAAATATCCAGACAAAAATACCCAGGTGCACAACTACACATGCTGATCAACATTCCTGTAAAGTTTCATGACTCTAGGTCAAATACTTTTTGAGTTACGTGCGACACAAAAGTGAACGGACGGACGGATAGACGGACGGACGGACAAGGGTAAATCTAAATGCCCGCCACTATCGTGGGGGCACAAAAATCAGAATCTTCATAATTGGTATCACTCTGTTTGTAGCAAATATTGGGGCATAAGCAAAAATTGTGCTGGTACAAAAACCAGGTTTTAACTGAAAAAGAAACCAGGTTAGTTTGTCTTCAGAAACAAGGTAAGAATTTAGATATAAATATAGTACAGGACAGAAACCAGGTTAATACTGGGACAGAAACTAAATACGTACTTAATATACAGAAACAAAGTTAGTACTGTTAGTACTCTAAAAGAAACTAGGCTAGTACTTGGGCAGAAACTAAATTATTTCTAGTAAAATTCAAATAAAGTCTAATTAATACTAGTGCAGAACAGTGTAAAAGCTGGTTAAGAATTTAATAGAATTCTATTTTTAGTAACACTGACATCCAGGGGGTTAAAAACTGGTTCTTCATAAAGCTTGCTTTATACCAAATTTCATTACGATATTCCAATCCTAACTCTAGTTATTGTCCAGAAACTATTTATCTATTTTTAGTAATAGTGACCTTGGCATTGGTCCCAGGTGGCCCAAAGCTATTCCATCCTAGGTCTCCATATTATAAGCTTGCTATATAATAAGTTTGAATACAATATCTGATTGATAACTCTAATTATTGTCAATAAACCATTTTTCTATCTTTATAACAGTGACCTTGATCTTGATCAAAGGGGGTCCAAAAGTAATCCCAAACTGGATCTTCATATAAGCTTGCTATATACCAAGGTTGATAATAACATTTCATTCCTAACTCGAGTTATTGCCCAGAAACCATTTTTCTATTTTTAGTAACAGCAACCTTGACCTTGACCCAGAGGTCCAAAAGATATCCCAAGCAGGGTTTCCATATACAAATAAAGTTGCTATATACGAAGTTTGATCACAATAACTCTGTTTAAACGATAGTTATCATCTGGAAACCATGCAGTGGACCTGCTGACCGACAAATTCAAGGCCCTTAAACTATTCAATATTAACATAAACCATTTTTATACAAAGTTCAAGGCCCTTTAAAACTATTCAGTGTTAACCTTTTGCAAATTATATATTGCAAATTTGTAGCTGAGATAATGATTAGAAATTGTGAATTTTCAAATCTTTTCCCAGTTCAAGGGGATTACAATCTAATAACATCTGACCATGACCAAATAAAACCCGACTTGTATTTTCTTGTAAAATAGCAGCACTCGTCAACCTCGGACATACATTCCTACAAAAGCTGAAACTGAAAATTTCAATTTGAGTTGAAAGTGTACAACTGTTAGGGAGATAACAAACAGAAACTGAAAATTTCATCTTTTTTTCAAAGTTAAAGGGGCAAAACTCTACCAAAGATCATCAAACCTTGACCAAATTCGAACTTAACCTGCATATCTATATGTCAATTTGAGTTGAATATGTGCAACTATTGGGGAGATTATAAATGAAGGGAAACTGAAAAATTCTTTTTTTTATTCAAAGTTAAAGGGGCATATCTCTGTCAAAAATCATCAAACCATGACCAAATTTCAATGACCTGGGCATTTTATAGCGGGGGCATTAAAAGCGTACAGAATAAATGACATCATAAAACAAGTACAGTTACCTATTGTTCCTATAGCCACCCATGTACCCAAATGTATTTACGTATATATTCATGGCAGGCTTCTCAATAACTTTCAGCTCAGCAGGCCAAATTTGTATTCTAGCAGGCCTCCTAGGGGGTCCGTGGGCATGCTCCCCCGGAAAATTTTGAAATTAAGCGCTTGATTTTCTGCATTCTAGGCCATATTTTGGCAGTTTAAAACTATTACAGAAGACCAAATGTAAAGGCATAATTTGAAAAAAGCTATATAAAATTTCTCACACTATTAAATTATAAAAAATGTGTTACATTATGAGTAATCCAGTATTAAGAGTGTTGTCAAATATATTTTGTGTGATTAATTGGAAAAAAAGTGCAGTTTTGCCTTAAATACTGTTTTTTAATTCATTTTAAACTTAATGAAACACCATATCCTGCAATTCATTTTAAAATACTTGACCAATACAGTTATGTCAGGCATTAATTGCAGACAGGAGAAAAATATAAGAAAATTACTGCATAAAAAATACTCTTATTCAATAATAAAATATCATGTGCCAGATGCCAATCATTGTTTCATTTTTTAGGAATTAACGCTTTCATCGAACAGTCTGGCAATTTAAAATGACAGTTATTATGAACTACTCAATTACTTTATTCCTTTATGTAACAGGCATAAAAATCTTTGAGTTACAATCCTACTTACTGAGTGATCTCCCACTGAAATTGAGCTTTTGCCTGTTGTTTTTTTTTGTTTTGTTTTTTTTTTTATCAAAAAAATTATTACACTTATGATCTCTTTCGTTATGCAAAGTTGAGTTAATTCTGTCCACTTAAGTTTAAAACTTAAACTTCTTGGCCAATAAACTACAGGAAATGTCTTTAATGCAATACTTCCTACAAAAGAAATTTATTATACCTTTGCAGCATCACATTCTTTGTCAACAACCACATCACCTTTGAGCAGACGTAAAAAGCCACATTCTCCATTTTCTCTTGCATGCTTTTTCCAAATATCTTCATCTCCTTTCAATCTTTTTAGGGACTTAAAGGGCCACTCTATTCCACATGTATAACATTCCACTGTATGGTCTATAAAATAATAATGATTTCAAGTTTTAATTGATTTTAATCTAATTTTTCCAGGATACAAAAGACTCTTATATACCAAAAATAATTACATATTTATTGGAATTAACTTGCAAAATGACCTTCAATGTTTTACCATATACATTGTAGCAAATACCAAGAGCTAAAGTTAAAACAGGGAAGGAAGTGTTAAGTGTTATGTGCCGATAAATTTTTCTAAGATGATATTAACCTGTCAACTTTTGATGAATTTTCAAGCAACAAGAAATAATTGATAAAATTATAGAATTATTTGTGTAAATAATCTTTATCAAATGCACCCACGCGGCCAACAAAAGTATCCCCTATAAATTATGATAAAATGTGACCACTAGAGTGTTAACAAGGTTTTTCCATGTTTGGGCAGTGTGACCTAGTTTTTGACCCCAGTGGACCCATATTCGAACTTGACCTAGAAATCATCAAAACAAACTTACAGACCAATTTCCAGGATATTTGAATCAAAACAGTAAGCCACTAGAGTGTTAACAAGATTTTTCTATTTTTAGCTCATGTGACCTAGATTTTCATCCAAAATGACTTATGTTCAAACTCATCCCAGCAATTACCTAGACAAGCATCCTGACAAAGTTTGATAATAATTGAGGCAAAAATGTGACCACTAGAGTGTTAACGAACAAATGTGGACGGACAACGGAGATTCAATCCTAAAAGCACACCCTGAGTTAGCTCAGATGAGCTAAAAATCACATATTCATAGCTAACTAAATACTGCCAGTATGCATGTAACCCGAGTAGACAGATAATGGGAAGTAAAGGACATAGTGAAAATTTACAGTAATCATTTTCTTTGTGCATCATACATTACAAACAGAGGCAAATGAATTATTAGCAAAGTATGGAACTGAATCATTATCATCACTTTAAGCCTATATGAAATCAAATTTTCCTTTAGATCGTGATGAAATATATACTATCAGGCAGGAAATTGATTATTCTCATAATTTAAAATTTACACTCATGTAGGGATTTAATATGGCAATTACAAGGCTATTTACCGAGGTTTGTTATAAATAATGCTGCAAAAATGGGCAAGTAATCTGCTTAAAGAAGTAGAGTCTACAAAACTAATCATAGAAACACTTGGGTGACTTTTTCATCGATTAAGCTATATTATCCAAAGCAGCAATGCCAGCAAATGTTATTTTCAGTCACAGTAGACTCACTCTTGATGTGTTGGTGATTTTTGCTTTACTCAGCACAAATCAATACCAAAATCTTAAGACCAATTTAGTCATGTAAATAACATTGTTTTTTTAATACATGTATTTCCATACTGTTGATATATTACAAATCCTTCTTTGATGCGCACTTTTCCAACTTTTGTCATAAATTCCCATTTTTAAACAAGAGCTGTCTGTAGGACAGCAGGCACGAGTGCTTGATAGTTAAATAGCCTTGATAATGTAAAATTATTTAAGTTAACAATACTAAATAGTAGGGGTGTAACAATACAGTAAAAACCGTATTGCAATATATTGCCATTTTGGTTAAGCGTATTGCAATATATTGCAATACGTATTGTCGTGTATATGTTTTGATGTAAAGATGGAGTACATTAAAAAAATTTTATATATTATTATTATTATATGTATATATTTTTAGTAGAAACTTAATAAAAATGTATGGAATAAATAGAAAGTAGTGTCACACAATTTGATAAACAAAACTAGTCGCGTGTGACCTTTCACATCTGGGCCGCTTATGTAAATTATGCGGCCGCTTATTGACTTTTAAGTGTACTAGTTGTCGGATACTTTTATCTTACGTTGGTGCCAACAAAATTTGCCAATTAAAGATTTTATGTGAAATTTGTACAAAATTAGAAGGCAATTAATTGAAAATTATGATTTTTATAAAATACCGGTTCTCCAAAAATCGTACCGCGGTTCAAAATTTATTTTTTCATATTGCAATATATCGGTATACCGGTAAACCGTTAAACCCTTACTAAATAGGACCAAATTTTTCTTTAAAACTATGTAACAGTTAAAGCCTGGAGAGAGTCCTATTATGCTCTCCAAGAAGTGTATAAATTTCAACTTGTTTCAAAGTCAGATGTCAATGGAATATGAATTTACCTGAGGTGGTATGCAAACTTTAATGCAAATTCTATGTCAAACAAGAGCACCGCTAGGCAGAGCATTATATGCCCAAAAGTGTATTTTTTTTTAGTAAGGATAAAGCATTTGTAACACATGGGAATTAAATAAAGTATTACCTCCTTCAAAAAGTACTCTTCCCTTTTCAGTTTTAAAGGAAATATTGACCTTGACCTTTGACCTTGTCACCCCAAAATCAATAGGGATCTTCTACTCAATATGGACAATCATCCTATGAAGTTTGAATATTGTGGGCCAAATACCACTTGAGTAATGCTCCGGAAAATGTTTTCAGCTTTAAGTTAATAGTGACCTTGACCTTTGACTTTGTGACCCCAAAATCAATAGGGGTCTTCTACCCAATATGGACAATCATCCTATGAAGTCTGAATATTGTGGGCCAAATGGAACTTGTTATGCTCCAGAAACCAAATTGCTTATGGAAGGACGGACGCCAGGGGGTATAACATAATATGCCTGAAACTCTTTCAGGCATATAAAAAAGGGGCATTATTCTGTCAAAATGCTTGATAGAGTTACCTCCTCTTGTCTACAGATTAGGGGCATGAGGGTTAACAAGTGTGCAAAGTTTCAAAGCCATATGTCAATGGACTTTGCAAATATTTAAGGTGTTACAAAAACTTTAATGCAGTCGAAAAAGGGACATAATTCTGTCAATATGCTTGACAGGACAGAATTACCTCCTCCTGTGTACAGGTTGGGGTCATGATGGTGAACAAGTGTGCAAACTTTAAAAGCCATATGTCAATGGACTTTGAAAATATTTTAGGTGTTATAAAAACTTTAACATAAATTCTAAGTCGAAAAAGGGGCATAATTCTGTCCAACTGCTTGATAGTTACCTCCTCCTGTCTACAGGTTGCGGTGAACAAGTATGCAAAGTTTCAAAATCATATGGCAATGGCCTTTGAAAATAATTGAGGTGTAAGAAAAACTTTAACGTAAGTGGTTAAGCCAACGCTGACACTTGGGTGCCTAGGATAGCTCTACTTATTCTTATCGAATAGTCTAGCTAAAAAGGTCAATAAGCCAGGCAATTTCTATTGCCAGCTACACATCTTGAAAAAACACATTATCATAAATACATAGTTACAGCAGGCAGTTTCAGAGAGCATTTTGCAGTAGTAATAAGAAAATATAGCATGCTTAATTAAATGTAAACCAGAAGTTTTGTTTAGTTCACAGAGGCCTATATTTCCATCAAAACCCATGAAGTACCCTGAAGCAGTGATCCCAAATGAATATGTAAATTTCCCAGTGAAAATCTTCAGTAGTAGTACAGGGAAAACATTTCCCAGTGCACAGCTTTTGAGCTTTTAATTAAGTCAAAACCTAAGCTAGAATTACAGGCCTTGTACCTTTTACTACAAGAGAATACTTTGAGTAGTTGTACATGTATATTACTCATCTTGCTTGCAAATCATGAATTTTCTAACTTCCAATGGCCAAGTTATTGCTAGCATTGTCTATCTTGGAAAGTTAGCACAGATTATGACAAAGACAAATTTGAAGTTTCAAATGTGTCAAAATTCAAGCAAAGATCTAAAGGCTAAAGTTGTGATCTAGGCAAAATTCACAATGACTTTGTTCAATCAATCTCTAAGCAAGAGAGAATAAGAATCCCTAAAGAAAGCCCAACACGGCAAAATTGAATATGTTGCAGGCTACCGTCCACACCCCCTAGCACCGGCTTAAGCAGAATTCAACATTTAACATGAACTGGTACAATTTTGAATTTTGAAACATCCGCAGATGTGTTCATATGGCGATTATCAATTGGAACCTTCAATGTGACACATAAGCGCCATTCCATGAAAAGCCCAATTAAAACAAGAGGGCCATGATGGCCCTAGATCGCTCACCTGACTTATCAAACTCATCCAAACAATTACCTAGACAAGCATTCTGACCAAGTCTCATGACAGGTGAGTCAAAAATGTGACCACTACAGTGTTAACAAGGATTATCCATATTTGAGCAGTGCGACCTAGTTTTTTACCCAGGTGACACATATTCAAACTTGACCTAGAAATCATCAAAACAAACTTTCAGACCAATTTCCAGGATACTTGGATCAAAACAGTAGCAACTAGAGTGTAAACAAGATTTTTCTATTTTTAGCTCCGGTGACCTAGTTTCACATGCGATTTCGAACTCATCCAAGCAATTACCTAGACAAGCATCCTGACCAAGTTTGATGATAATTGAGTCGAAAATGTGACCACTAGAATGTAAACAAGGTTTTTCCATATTTGGGCGGTGTGACCTAGTTTTTCATCCAAGATGACCCATGTTCGATCTTGACTTAGAAATCATCAAAACAAACTTTCAGACCAATTAACAGAATATTTGGATCACAACAGTAGCTACTAGAGTGTTAACAAGAGTTTTCTATTTTTAGCTCCTGTGACCTAATTTTTCATCCGAGATGTCCCATGTTCGATTTCTTCCCAGCAATGACCTAGACAAGTTTCCTGACCAAGTCTGATGACAATTGAGTCAAAATTGTGACCACTAGAGTGTTAACAAGGTTTTTCTATTTTTCAGCTCCTGAGACCTAGTTTTTCATCCGAGATGACCCATGTTCGAACTCATCCGAGCTATCACCTAGACAAGCATCTTGATCAAGTTTGATGATGATTGATGCAAAAATGTGACCGTTAGAGTGTTAACAAGGTTTTTCTATTTTTAGCTCCGGTGACCTACTTTTTCATCCGAGATGACCCATGTTCAAACTCATCCGAGCTATCACCTAGACAAACATCTTGACCAAGTTTGATGATGACTGATGCAAAAATGTGACCGCTAGAGTGTTAACAAGGTTTTTCTATTTTTAGCTCCGGTGACCTACTTTTTCATCCGAGATGACCCATGTTCGAACTCATCCAAGCTATCAACTAGATAAGCATCCTGACCAAGTTTGATGATGATTGATGCAAAAATGTGACCGCTAGAGTGTTAACAAGGTTTTTCTATTTATAGCTCCGGTGACCTAGTTTTTCATCCGAGATGACCCATATTCAAACTCATCCGAGCTGTTATCTAAACAAGGATCCTGACAAAGCTTGATGATGATTGAGTCAAAAATGTGACCACTAGAGTGTTCACAAGGTTTTTCTTTTTTTAGCTCCTGTGACCTAGTTTTTCATCAGAGATGACCCATGTTCGAACTCATCCAAGCAATTGACTAGACAAGCATTCTGACCAAGTTTGATGATGATTGGTTCAAAAATGTGACCACTAGTGTTCACAAGGTTTTTCTATTTATAGCTCCTGTGACCTACTTTTTCATCCGAGATGACCCATGTTCGAACTCATCCGAGCTATCACCTAGACAAACATCCTGACCAAGTTTGATGATGATTGGGTCAAAAATGTGACCTCTAGAGTGTTCACAAGGTTTTTCTATTTTTAGCTCTTGTGACCTAGTTTTTCATCCCAGATGAGCCATGTTCGAACTCATCCGAGCTTTCAACTAGATAAGCATCCTGACCAAGTTTGATGATGATTGAGGCAAAAATGCGACCGCTAGAGTGTTCACAAGCAATTGTGGACGTACTACGGACGACGGACATTCACCGATCCTAAAAGCTCACCCTGAGCAAGCTCAGGTGAGCTAAAAACACACTTGTTTTAAGAAATAATATCAGTACCAAGGAAGTTAATGCTCTTAATTCCAACAATATTATCAAAAATATATCGTCTGACAACAATTTTTTAAGATTATACACCGTTAACTGGGTAACTATAATAATAAATCAAATTGACAAATACCTTCATTACAAAAGAATCCATTCCCTGTCAGAAGTTGTTTTACATGTTGCAGTTCCTGTGGCCAGTTCTTATTTTCAAAAGAACTACCTCTCTCTTTCAAATTTGCATATTTTGAACTAGAATGAACTCTTGTCAATGGCTGGTTATTACTTCTTGAATTTATTGCCCCACCAGTTGGACCAGCTTCAACCACACGAGGGGCTGCTAAATCGTACTTGTCAATAATCTCCTGCATGATTATCTGTAAAGTTGAAAATGTCATGATATGTTAAATGATATGTTAGTGTTATCAATCTTGAAAAATTGAACAATTTAACATGTATGTGTTTCTAAAGAAACCTGTTGTGTTTTGGTAAGTGAATACCAATATCTACATTGTCAGTAGGCAATTATTTTCATAAATACTTGATTAATAATGCAAAAATATATCAAAATGATAAACATATATCAATTGAACAATAATCATATTATGTATTACGCACTTATTGAACATCATTAATTTAGGGTACCTGATAAGTTCTGATATTATTCTTGGACAAAATTTAAAACTCAGATGTTATTTAAAATAAAGTTAGTAAGTTCTTACGTAAAACAGAAAATGTAATGAGATCTGAAAGCAGAGAAATTGTTTTGTGGGAGGAAGTACAGTTAAACAGAACTTAAATTTCTGAGTAATTTAACCTGTTAAACTATTAGTTTAGAACTTACTTGTACATTTTATTTTTGAACTTATAATCCTGTACATTTTAGTTTAGAGCTATCTTAGAATGACAAGAACTATCCTTTACATTTTATTTTAAAATGGCCAATGAGATGCACAGATTTGTTTTGTAATTTTAAAATGACTGATGAAAAAGTTTGTTATATTCAGTTCTTCCCTGTAAATTATTCAGGAAGTCAAACTGATGTAGACCGACCTTCGGCAGGAAAAATTTTACTAATTTATTAATTTGGCATGGGTTAGTTAAAGAACGCTGGAATAAACATATTTTATATATATTTTCCACTAACAGAGAAAAACCATCTACCAAGCAAATAAAAACCATCAACCAAGCCGGTTTTTTGCGAAAGGTTTTAAACAAGAGCTGTCACAGAAGTTGAAAATTGGAAATTTTTACTTATTCAAGGGCAATAACTTTTTTAAATACTAAAAATATCCACACAAAAATACCCAGGTTGCTAAACCAAATTGCTAACAGACGGACGGATGCCAGGGGTATTGTCATGTATGCAACATATTACATGTATATAATTTATATCTGACCGGTTGGTATTTCCAATATTATCATTGTTCTATTTTTAGAACATTAACTACATGCATGTCAACAAGAAGTTTCTTACCTGTTGTAGAAAATTCTAGATTATGATTCATGCATTATATTTAGATAGAAACTTCCGGAATGTTCTTTATTGTTGAAGTTGCTAGATTATGATTACTGTAGAACATAATAGACTTTTCTGGAATTTTCTTAGTTAATATATATAAAGGGACATTTTTCATTACTTTTACCTTTTAAGTCATCAGTGATCTTTTAAGTCATCAGTTACCTTTTAAGTCATCAATATATTTGGAGTATTATTCAACTTGGATATTAAGTGATTTATTGGAGCTTGGATTATTTTAAAATAGTTAAAATTATTCTTGTGGATTTTATTGTGGGAATTTATTCTAAAGTGTTCTTGGATTTTACTTGGATTTAAATGTGCTATTCAAAAAAGGATCATTCCAGGATCAGACTAGACATTTGAGATTTCATTTTTTATTTGGACTTCAGGTATTTGTAAACATAATTTGTTATTTAATTTTTCTTTATGTCACAGGGTGAGAAAAATGTGCAGCCTGACCGGGACTCGAACCCGGGACCCTCGGAATACCGTTCCGCGGCTCTACCGACTGAGCTATCCGGCCGCTTACACATCTTCTCCCCTAAATAGTGAACAGTTCTGAACCGTGACATACTTCACCACAATATTGAAATTCGTCCTCGAATTTCACAAAGCTACAGAGCAATGCTAATTGAACTCTGAGCTATAAGCAGTCACGGTCCCCCGTTGAGCGCCAAATGTCACAGGGTGAGAAAAATGTGCAGCCTGACCGGGACTCGAACCCGGGACCCTCGGAATACCGTTCCGCGGCTCTACCGACTGAGCTATCCGGCCACTTACACATCTTCTCCCCTAAATAGTGAACAGTTCTGAACCGTGACATTTAATAATTTCTCTGTAATAAATTTGTTATTGTTACAAGTTTGTTGCTGGCTTTTCTTTCTCGTTACGCCTAGCTCGTAACAGAATAACATAATATGTCCGAAATTCTTTCGGGCGTATAAAAAAGACACATTTAAATAAATGAGACATCAATTTATAAAGAGAACTACTTATACTGTGCTCCCTCTTAGCAAGGTACTTAACAAAAGAAAGCAACAAATGAAACTTATGGTATAAACATTTTTCATAAGCTATAACATGTAGGTATTTTCTGCTGTATGCAGACCTGGGGATAATCATTAAATTGATTAATTGTAATCATTGATTTTTTAATCAATTACATGATTACACTGTAATCATCATGTAATTGATTACCTTGCCCAAACTTGATTAAATTAATTGTAATTAATCAATTACAGCTAAAATTCAGTCAGTAATTTATAATGATTACAATTTGATTGACATTTATTACTGAAACTGTTTTAACTCAAAGGATGCCTTTATTTTACATGATAACAGTTTAACTATTGTTTTACATTTATACAGTAAAAACCCTTAATAAAGAACATCATCTGGACTGGACCAAAGTGGTCTTAATTGTGGGTGGTCTTAATTGTGAATATTTTTATCATCGCTTACATACTTTAATGCATGGTCTGTTTTAGTCATTTTGTATGGGAAAAAAACAGTTTGCATTTTAAGCTACAAATACAGTCAATATAAAAGACACTATAAAAGTATGCTTTGATATCTGATGAGAGGAAAATATATTTCAAAGAAATTTAACATTAAATTCTCTTTGGTCAGATTTTAATATCAATTATTATATGATGTACAATCACCTATCAAATAAAAATTAATTCTTCACAAAAGAAATTTGCTGAAAGCAACATTAAACCAGTGGAACATTTACCTTCTCACCTTATTTCATACAGTAACCCAATAATAACAGTTTTTGACACCTTGTGAAATTAAGTGTCATGCAAAGCATTCAAGTACATCATAACAACAAATTTAAGATCCAGATAGGTGTTGACTTTAATATCAGTGGTCTCAAATAAAGTTGGGTCAAATTAAGAATACAGCAAAGAATTTGGACTGAATCAGGTGGTCTTAAAAGTGGATAAGGGGTTGTTCTTAATTCTGAATCATGTAACAAATTATAAACTTATTACCTAAATACTTTGAAGATCTATATTTATATTAGAATCAATAATAAAGATCTAAAAATGCACGTAAAAAAGATGTTATTTTATCAATAATTCTATTTCAATCAAATTCATTAAGATTTTACATAAAAGAACTATTTAAAGACATTGATTTAACAACATAATAGTGACAGTTAATCAAAAGTAAGGGACGAGTTGATGATTTATTGTGTTTCCGTCGAACTACCGGTGCGGCAAACTTAATTTATGAAGAGGTGTGAAAGTGGTTTCCTCGATCTTATGTTTATATATATATTTGTGTTACTAAGTCGTGGCCATGAGATAGCTAAGGCGTGGCCACGAGATACTGTGTCGTGGGAACGAGATAGCTAAGTCATGGCCACGAGTTAATTAACCAATCAGAATACACTATATATAATATGAATTTTTTAAACTCAACAACTTACTTTTACATGCAACATTAATCTTTGAAAATACTGAAGATATTCACTTTGAACTTGTCTAGAAAGTCACCTTTCAAGGCCCATCAGACATTAATTTTGACTATAGCTCTTTGTTGGGCAAGTTTGTGATCCAATTGGTCAGTTTGTATGTACTACGGCCTGTTAACCTTGTTTAGAAGGAATCAGTCCTGTTTTATTTTGTTTGTAAGGGACATTGCCCATGGACAGTAATTAATAGCCTATAAGGTAAAATCCTTGTCTGAAGAATAATTTTAGAAAGGATAAACCATGGTTATCATTGCACCTGATCAGTAGATGACATCTAATAATTTCGAGGTCATTGGGTCAAAAAACAGGGTCACAATGACGCTAAATGTAAAATTATTGACAAGTCAATAAGTTGTATAAATGACACTTTTACAGGCTAGTGAAATACGGGCATCCTTGTACTACAGCACGTCATGTCTAGTTAATTAGGGAAATTCACGTAAATGGTGTAATCTGATTGGTTATTTATCTCGTGGCCACAACTTAGCTATCTCGTGGCCACAACTTAGAAACTCGTGGCCACGACTTGGCTATCTCGTGGCCACGATTAAGTAACTCATGGCCACGACATAGTATCTCATGGCCACAACTTAGCTATCTCGTGGCCACGACTAAGTAACTCGTGGCCACAGCTAAGTAACTCGTGGCCACAACATAGTATCTCGTGGCCACAAGATAAATAAAAACACACACATGTCATTGTCACCTTTGTGCCACCGTAAAAACCTGAAAATGAATAATGATTTAAAATTTATAACAAAATATTGATGATTAAAAAACTTTACATATGAACCATGCCTACTTTGCCTTTAATTACTACATAAAATAAGATCGACGAAACCACTATCGCACCTCTTCATGAATTAAGTTCGCCGAACCGGTTGTTCGACGGAAACAGGACGTTTCGGCCCCAAACCAATTCGGCCCCTGTCAAAAAATCGGCCCCTGGACGTTTCGGCCCTTTTCCGCGAGACGTTTCGGCCCCACTTTAGTATATTGCTTGATATGTTAAGAAAAACGGCTTGCAATCATCTCATGATAATATTTTTAATTATTATTGTTATTAGATAATGATAAATGCTAGATGTAATAAAACTGATTGAAAAAACTGAAACCCAATTATATTAAAATGCTATGTACCTGCTATAGATAAGTTATAACATTCAAAAATAAAGTGTTTGTGCGTATAATTGTTGGAATAATTGCATTATATATAAAATTAAATTAGAGAAATTATTTGCTTGATATTAATACTTACAATCGGATTTTAAGTGTAAATATTATGAAATGTCCGATATAGGTATGCGATACAGGTAGGTCAGTTTTTAATATATTATCCTGGGAAAACCAATATTCAATCAGTTAAGCTGTTTTTAGCCAATTATAAATGGAAGGGGAAATTATATTTTAAATTTATTTTAGCTATTAATGCATCTATGAACACTTATTCATTTTCAGGTTGGTACATTTTCAACAAGTCTTGATCTTTCTTAGAAATTCAATAAAAACAATATGACCCACTCTGGTTACTCCCAGGAATATTTTAACCTAAATTCAAACAGCAGGGTAATCACCATGGAAAATTTGTTAAAGATAAATCAGGGCCACTAAAAATTGTAGAAAACTTCACAATAGTCTATTCAACAATTTTCAACAGTTTTTTCAAGATTTTAAAAAACTTACACTAAATGTTATAACATATGTACAGCACAATGCATTGGTATGACTACTGTTAATGTGTTTAAAAAGGCAGTTAAAGGTGTCACTTCTTAGTACGCTATTTGGGGTGCAAAATGATAAATGCATCCAATCTTTACAGCCATTTTACCTTCCCCACTTTAAAATATTAGCAAATATGGAAACTTGTCTAGATCTGCCAGCTGGTATCGCTTACAAAACAATTATTCTACAATCATCACATGAAAAAATTTGATAACAATATAAGATTTTATTAATAAGGACCCCCATGTAAAGTCTGATGAATTTTTAGTGGTACATCATATAAATAAATGTTTTAAATACACCTTGGACTGAGGTAAATGGTAAAACTCTTTTGCCAATACTTTATAAAAAATTAACTTGCTTAGAAAAAATGTTACCACTATTTTAAACAAGTGACTATATTGATGTAGTGAAAGTTGGACAATTTATATTGTGTCACTTAAAACAAACAGTTTCTTATTGTTTTTCTGAAAACATCTGACAATTAATCAAGTGTGGCATTTCTGCAAGTTTTGAAGTTAAAACAACATGTGACTTTATGCAATTTAGTCAGGCATGACATCCGTGCCACAGAATTAAGAATGTGTTTGAATTTAGGTTGTGATTGAAAATTGGTTGTTTCGGGATAATTTAGAAAGGATTTCCCAAAAATTAATATATTGCACCGATAGTTCATTTGTTATTGTTTTCGCTTCATCAAACTCGTCGCTGTTAAATAGTTGTTGATGATAATTTAATGTCTGTCTCGTGTATTGTTTTGTGCCTTGCTTCTTAATCTTTCAAATTAAATATTATCTATATATGTTGTAAATAATTGTTTGTTAATTTGTGTATTATATTTTTTCAAATAAAGTTAATGTTCTGTTCTGTTCTGTTTGTATTGATTACTTTTGGAACCCTACTACTATTATAATCTAGTTTTTATACAAAATGATTAAATATATATATTAATTGATTCATTTATTTATTGAAATGCTATTAATTTATCGGTTTAAAATACAGTACTTATTCTGGGGCCGATTTGGTAAAGGGCCGAAACGTCTGGGGCCGAAACGTCTTGGGTAGTTTGGGGCCGATACGTCTTGGGGCCGAAACGTCTCGAAATCTGTTCGACGAAACCACCATAAATCGTCTATGTCCCTGATATTATTCAAAACAATGAGCATTTTATATGTACGATACTCACTAAACACTTAGATGATGTATCGATAGTACTAAGCCAATCTTGTAAAAAATGATCATGTAGTCTAAGCTTCACAATATTTTTAAAGTGATTAATATTATCTGGCCTACCTTCTGTAAAAGTAAATTACCCCCCTTTGAAGTATCTGTCAGCCCATAAAACGTCATCAAAGTATGTGTACGCAATGGCGAATAGGGTGGAAAAAATCCTAGGAACTAACTAGCCTTTAATTTAGGTATATTTCAATGTTAACGTGAATTAAGGTTACAGTAAAACAATGTAAAGCTTACGAAATATATTGCACATGAATATGCAGTCTTTTCTTACTGCAGGCGTCACACTGTCCCGAATTTGGCATCAGATGCCCACACGAATAAGGAAATGTTCAAAATTATTCGGATCTGATCGTAATCGTATCGATTTATTCAGGGAATAGACATATAAACATATAATGTTATTAGATATATCAACTTGCATATATATAAAAACACACACGTAAATGCAACAAGAATGATTATAAGATTAATTAATGAGTATGTTCTATGTATAACCCTAGGATTGCCCATTTCCTAAGCTAAAAGCTTATTTCCAATCTGTAAAATTATTATACACTTAATAAATGAATTAATATGAAATTAGGCAAAGCCTATGAACGGGGAAGTCGGTAAAAAAATCCTTTCATTTTTCCGTTTTAAAGGTGTCCTTCGGTATTATAATACCCACTTCCGTTTTCACTCGGAACACTTGACGATTATTATTAATCCAGAGCTCCAGATAGCGTGCGTATAAGCGTAAAATACGCATAGAAAATCTAAAATACGCATCACTTTCAAAATTCGTGCGTCACAGTTACGCACAACAAAATGAAAATACGCTCGTATGTCAAAATTTATGCGTAAAAGAATAGAAGTGTAAACATTTGATATGTAGAAAGAAAATGTTTTGAGCATAAAATACAATATATTTCCATTTAATTGCATTGAAAACTAAAAATTCTGTTGTCAACAACGCATGTTAAAAACGAAAGTAGCAGGAAATACAGAAGGGAGGTAACTCCCGTAGATCTATCAACCTGTGAAATTATTGATGAAATTTGTGCCAGATAATCATCGTAGGAGTTAACACAGTATTAAGTTAGTTTAGGCATCTATTGACATACTCAATATAACCAAAAATATATTCTAATTTCTTTAACTTTAGTTGTTGGAACAAAATAACATGTTATTCACCTGCAGTTTTGTACTCAATATTTTCGTACCCAGTCTACAGTTACGGACAATTTTCTCTCAGACAAATAATTTTTTTAAGGAAAGATAAAAAAAATCTTGTTTATGTTTGTAATTGTAAAGGTTTTTCTAGGGCTTTGGCTTGGCCGGCTATAGACTACACGTGTATATTTAAATAAAAATTCAAATTAAAAAAATATATAGAATTCTATACCTATCAATGAAATTTTCAGTGTCAGTTCTAGTTAGGCGCCGCCATTTACAATGTAACTCAATGATAAAAGGCGGTGTATTCCGATAACACTACAAATCTCAACTTTTCGGATTAACAGAGCTCCAGATAATTTTTTTGGCCAAGGGGTTTTTACCCCTCAAAATTTAGAGTGAGGGGTAACAGGGCCAAAACACCATTTTTGGGGAAGGGGCCTCAGCCTTTTTCTTGGGGAAAATATGCGTGATTTTTGCATACTTTGGGAAAAGGGGTCTCAAATTTAAAACAAACTTTTAACAAGTTCTTTAAAATAGAAAAGCAAAAAGCACTGGGAAATACTAATAAGACCTTAATTCAACACCATCATTTAATTTTGTTCAAAATTCTATGGGAAATTTCAAAAGACTTGGGAATTTTGAGGACCAAACTGGGGAAAAAAGAGGCTAGTTTGGTTGGGGAAGCAGCCTATATTCGGCCTCTACAAAGAAGGGTTTTTTGGCCCTGGGTAAAATGCAAATTCTGAAAAACTTAAGGGGTAAAAATCTGTCAAAAAGCATTTTGCATTTTTTATAAACAAATTAAACTTATTGTTGTGTTTGTTTGTTTGTTTATTTTCTTTTTTTAGAAAAACCTTTACAATTACAAACATAAACAAGATTTTTTTTATCTTTCCTTAAAAAAATTATTTGTCTGAGAGAAAATTGTCCGTAACTGTAGACTGGGTACGAAAATATTGAGTACAAAACTGCAGGTGAATAACATGTTATTTTGTTCCAACAACTAAAGTTAAAGAAATTAGAATATATTTTTGGTTATATTGAGTATGTCAATAGATGCCTAAACTAACTTAATACTGTGTTAACTCCTACGATGATTATCTGGCACAAATTTCATCAATAATTTCACAGGTTGATAGATCTACGGGAGTTACCTCCCTTCTGTATTTCCTGCTACTTTCGTTTTTAACATGCGTTGTTGACAACAGAATTTTTAGTTTTCAATGCAATTAAATGGAAATATATTGTATTTTATGCTCAAAACATTTTCTTTCTACATATCAAATGTTTACACTTCTATTCTTTTACGCATAAATTTTGACATACGAGCGTATTTTCATTTTGTTGTGCGTAACTGTGACGCACGAATTTTGAAAGTGATGCGTATTTTAGATTTTCTATGCGTATTTTACGCTTATACGCATGCTATCTGGAGCTCTGTGTTTAAGAATACTAATAAATCATAAAAATGTATATCACAGTCAAATCTTGAGTTAATGATACTCCTGTTTACAGCTAGGATTTAAAACACATTGCTAAAATTGTAATAAGATAAATGGCAGACAATTTAAAATCCTGAGCCGAAATATGTAAAAACATGTTTAAAAAAAAATATTTTAAATACTGTTCATAAGATGACTTTTGATGGCAACCTTAAAACTTTGTAACCTGTTGATCTCCGTTAACTTTACAGGTAAATCATTCCATAATTTAATACCAGAGAAAGCAAATGATTTAGAACCCTGGCCTTTGACCTTAGGTAGACAATATCCACCCTTTTGACTAAGTCTTGTACTATAATTATGAATGGAATCTTGTGAAATAAAGTGTTCAGACATGTAATCTGGAGATAGGCCATTTTTTATCTTAAAAACATGACACAACATTATCTGTTCAACTCTTTTGTGGACCGGTAACCAGTTAAGGGACTTAAAGTGGGATGGGTCAATGTGGGCTCTAGAGTCCAAGTCAAGTACAAATCTCATTATTTTGTTTTGACAAGTTTGTAACTTATTTTTTAAAGACTGTGTCAAGCTATTATACCAAACAGAGCATGCGTAATCATAGTGACACTGAATAAGAGACATAACCAGAAGTTTCTTGGTATGCTGAGTAAGAAACTCTTTCTTGCGGTAAAGAAATTTTAACCGAGAGTTGGCCTTCTTAAGAACAGACTCGGCCATGGCGCAAAATGACAGATTTTGGTCGATAGTAATCCCAAGATACTTGATAGATGAAGTTGATTCAATGGATGTACCAGAACAGGTTATATGCAGGTTAGATTGTGACCTAAGTTTTTGCCTGGACCCAAATAAAATTGACTTGGTTTTACCCAAATGCAATGACAACTTATTGTCCACTAACCATTGGCTGACCAATTCCATATCATCTGTCAATGCCTTTTCAACAACAGAATGAGATAAACTTTTACCAGATACAAGGATACCAGAATCATCAGCATACAAAAGCAATTTATTTTTGACCACAGCTGACATATCATTTACATAAGTTAAAAAGAGAAGGGGTCCAAGGATTGAGCCCTGAGGAACACCACATGTTATTTTGGAATTGGAAGAATAAGTACCAGAGACATCTACAAGCTGCTGTCTATCTGATAAATATGATTTGAACCAATTTAGGACGTCAATACTAAGACCTGATGCTTGCAGTTTCATTAAAAGAATGGAATGGTCGACTGTGTCAAACGCTTTCTGCAAATCCAGCAGCACCATACCAACAACATTACCTTTATCATTTTCATACCTGATAAAGTCTGTAAGGTGAATCAGACAAGTATCAGTAGAGAAGCCACTCCTGAAACCTGATTGAAATTTATACAGCAGATCTTTATCCTTAAAATAAGCCTCAACCTGGTCATAAACCACCTTTTCAAGGATTTTAGATACAACATTTAAAATGGACACAGGCCGGTAATTACCAACAGACAATTTGTCGTTCTTTTTATAGAGGGGAACAACTCTTGCAGATTTAAGGTCATCAGGGACTTGACCTTGGATAAGGGATAAGTTTATGATATGAGCTAATGGACTAGCAATAACTGGGGATCCATCTCTGATAAAACGTGAGGGTATACCATCTAAGCCAGTAGCTTTTTTGACACCTAATGAAGTTAAGTATTTAAGAACTTTACTTTCAGAAACAATGGAAAAAGAAAAACTGTTTGCAAAAACACCCTTGTTTGTATAAAAAGTATTAACAAAATTCGTACCAAATTTATGCATACTTTCTGGCAACTTTTCAACAAGTTTACATGCAACTGTTGTATAAAATTTGTTAAATGATTCAGCAATAAGTTTCTTTTCAAAACACACATTATCATCAATATTTAAACAAATATTTGAACTGGTTGAAGATGAACCCTTCTTGGAAGGCAAACCAAGATTTTTAACAGTTTTCCATAAAGAGGTTGAGTCATTTTGGTTCTCATCCAGTGTATTAGTAAAATATTCCTTTTTTGCTTTGGCAACAAGATACTGAACTTTGTTCTTGAGAGTCTGAAATGATTCATAATTATCACAGTTTCTATCACATTTATATTTATGTTATATGTTATCTATGTGGTCATTTGCTGTAAATGCATGGATTATTGCACGCGGCATGACCTGCAGATTTCCTCAACAGGATTTTTGTAGCATTTTAAGATTTAAAAAAAGACCACATATTAAAATCTAAAACATGATAAACATGATGCATATGCCAATAAGTGAATTATCTGATATGTAAATAAAGAAGTAAGTCATTTTGCCTGCTGCACAGTAAATGGGCCAATTTTTCAAAAATACATGTAAATTAATGCAGGCTTTTTCAAAAAATATATTGCATTTTCTATTATTTTTTTGTGTATTTACAAAAGACTTACTATAAAGCAAATGTGCCCAAAATTTTTTTGGGTTAGCATTACCCAAAATAAAAATACAGACATTTTTATACCCTAAAAATGTCCAATTTTACATGTAATGTGTTAGCATCTGTTTTTTTGGTGTTTTTAGAATTAACACCACTATTATCTGTTTTAATTTATCACTTAAATCTTTTTATATGCACATAGAAAATTTAATAACCTTTCCAGTGATATATAAATTATAATACTTGGTATACATCATCCAGGTTTTTATCGTTAAGATGATTTTAGTAAAATCAGACTTATGTAATGCATCAGTTTTTTCAAAATTCAAATTATTGTTAAGTAACAGGGCCAAAAAACCCTTCTTTGTAGAGGCCGAATATAGGCTACTTCCCCAACCAAACTAGCCTCTTTTTTTCCCCAGTTTGGTCCTCTAAATTCCCCAGTCTTTTGAAATTTCCCATAGAATTTAGAACAAAATTAAATGATGGTGTTGAATTAAGGATTTTGACTGCCTTTTTTGTATTTCCCAGTGCTTTTTGCTTTTCTATTTTAAAGAACTTTTTAAAAGTTTGTGTTAAATTTGCAACCCCTTTTCCCAAAGTATGCCAAAATCATGCATATTTTCCCCAAGAAAAAGGCTGAGGCCCCTTCCCCAAAAATGGTGTTTTGGCCCTGAGTAAACAAGTACACCTTTAAGCAATTACAAATAAAATAGTACTTTATTGTCTCAATCTAATGAAATATGAATTAAAAGCATATGTTAAGTGTTTTCAATTCAAATTTTCAAACATTTTTACCAGAGTAGGCATTATAGTGGAAAAAAAAATTTGTGATGAAAAAGCTGTAACATCCGTCCCCCTCTCATATAATATCCATTTATAAAACAATACTCATAAAAAACAATGTTTCTGGTGCTTAATGATAGCCTTACTATGAAAATGTTACAAAAATTGCCAATTTCTATGTTTATAAGAAGAAAAATACAATAATGTAAAAGTTGTCTGTAACATCCGTCCCCGTAACATCCGTCCCCTATATAAGGTGCTTATTAAATCTCACATAAACTGTAACTGAAAAGGGAATTTTACTCTAAAACACCAAAGTTACATTGAAAAATGAAGAAATGACAGAAATAAAGCACTGAAATGATGTATTTATGAAAAAAAAAATATTTGTGAACACTAAATTCCTTAATTTTGAAAAAAAATCAGTTTTTTTTTGCTCTGAAAACAAAATAATTTACTTTGAAATAAAATTTGTATGTTATTTTTTAACATCAAGTGGACCAATGAGTTTAATAAGATAATATTTAAGCTTATATGAATTTATAACAAATATAATCTTTTGTTATTCTGTGTTTACAAACTAAGGGTACAGAAGGGGACGGACGTGTACAGACATAATCCCCTTAGGACAAAATCCCCTTCATGTATTTTTGTATATCTGGACATAATCCCCTCCATGGGTGGACATAATCCCCTTCATGTGTGAAATTTTGAAGTGGACAAAATCCCCCTCATAAAATTGCTACCTAGGACAAAAACCCCCTCGGAATAATTTTTAGCTCGACTTTTCTATGAAAAGGGGAGCTATCCTACTCGCCCCGGCGTCGGCGTCGGCGTCGGCGTTGGCGTCACACCTTGGTTAAGTTTTTCGTACCACCCCACTTTATTTCAGAAGTATTACAAGTATGGCTTTGAAACTTACCATACTTGTTCACCATCATAACCTCCATCTACAGACAAGAGTACATAACTCTGTCAAGGTTTTTGACAGAATTATGGCCCTTTTTTGACTTAGAAAGTGTATTGAGCTTGGTTAAGTTTTTTGTACCACCTCACTTTATTTCAAAACCATTGGAGGTATTGCTTTGAAACTGACCATACTTGTTTTACCATCACGACCTTCATCAACAGACAAGAGGACATAACTCTGTCAAGGTTTTTGACAGAATTATGCCCCTTTTTGACTTAGAAAATACATTGAATATGGGTAAAATCCACTTATTGCCTTAACCCTTTGAGATATTGCTTTGAAACTTTTAATGCTATTTCACATCATTACCCCCATCTGTACGCAAGAGAAGGTAACTCTGTCAAGGATTTGTTTTAAAAATTAAGGCCTTTTATCGACTTAGAATCTTGGTTAAGTTTTTTAGTACCAGTCCACTTTTTGACTGAACTGTTTGAGATATTAATTTGAAAGTTGGAATACTTGTTTACAATCATGATTCCCAAACATGTCCAGGAGAAGGTAATTCTGTCAAAGATTTTATTTGAATTATGGCCCTTAACTGTCAATGTTTTGTATTATAGGCAAGCACTAAAAAACTTAAAAAATCTAAAAAAATTCATTCCTATCCACTTGTTCACTTTACCATAAATTATGTCATATAAACATTGCTGTAATATTCAAGGGTATCAAACAACTAGTTTTTTTTTCTTTCTTACCAGCCCTCTTTTGACTTAAACATTTCAAACTTTGCTGCAGTGTTCAAGGGTATCACACAATTCAGTAAAATAATTCTTCACTAAATATCTTAATGCTCATGGCCATTGTTCACTTTAAAAATACAGAGATTCTTGTATTGCCTTTTACTGCAAAAACTTTTTTTATTGGCAAGCAATAAAAAAGTCGAGCGCGCTGTCTTACGGACAGCTCTTGTTGGTTTATAAAGTGGGTATGAGAGCGACATACTGCATTATGCTGTGTGGTAAATCATGCATAAAAAAGTAGAAAGTATTTCAGCAGAAAAGCACATTCAATTAGCACATTTTAATCACATTAAAATTGCTTTATTAAAGCATTTATAACAATCAAGTACCTTAGAAGAACGGTGCAGTTCATCACTGCATCGGGACTTTAAGTGTAAAGGCCGTACAGAAGGTGGAACGCATAAATAAATAAATTAAATCAAGTAGGGCAGTGATCTTGGTTTGATTAAATTATAACTCTTTCATCAATAGAAATTGTAACAATGGATAGTATATACCAATTAGAATTATCAACTTATACAATCAATGAAACAATTATTGGCTAATAAAAATGTTTTTCATACTAATCAATTTAAAACAATGAAAGAAATTGCCTAATCAAAAATGTGTTATGCAGTTGATAATTTACCATAATTTTAATGAAAACATCTAAACTAAATAAAGGTTAACTATTGTTACATAATGATAAATAAAAAAACAAAAGTTCATTATTTATCAACTTTTATGCCCCCACAATGTGGGAGCATATAGCGTTGCACTTGTCCGTCCATCCGTCCGAGCAAACATTTGATATTTATGAGCTTCATTCCGTAGCTAAATAAAGAACAAAAGCTCATAAAATTCAAATTAAGAGCTATTTTTTTTATTTTTTGAGCTGATTTTGCTTATGGACTTTGGTCCAGGTGTAGTTTATGAGCTGATTTACCTCTTAAATATCAAAAGTTGGTACGTCCGTCCGTCCGTCTGTCCCGAAATCTTGTGAACGCAACTCCTCTTAAACCGGATGGCAGATTTTGCTTAAACTTACTGGGATGAACAACCTTAATGTGTAGATGGTAATAAAGGAAGGAATTTTCGCTGCGACCAAATTTAACAGAATTATGGCCCTTTGTTGATTTTTTCACTAGATGAATTGACATATTTTATTCATACACCTAAACGACAAAGTTTTTGTGCAAAAAAATTTAAATGTCTAGATCTAGATTTTTATGTAAAACAGAACAACATTTTACAAATTTCTGCAAAAAGCAACAATAGTCCATTAAATTTGTGTGTACGTCTGAAATAATCATCATTTTCTAAATGTTCTTGTTTGTTGAAAAAATAAATTTAAGTAACAAAGTAAGGATAGTTTTAATATTTAATATCACACAAAATAACATAAGAAATTTTAACTGAGACATAAAAAAAACTGAAATGTAACACCATTACCATGATTTAAATGATGACATACTGTTTTCAAAATGGCAAAGATATGGGCTACGTTTGGTCCATTAAAATTGACCTTGACTGAATATATTGTTTCCTTGTGTCATACAGCAGAAAATACCAAAATGTTATAGCTTATGGCATTTTTTGTACCATAAATTTCATTAGTTGTTTCTTTCTGGTTTCAAAGTGTTAAGTACCGTGAACTACGAGGAGCACAGTATATATTATGATAATTATTACGAGTATTAAGGAAAATAGATATAATAATATAATAATAATAATGTATATAATTATACTTTTTTTTATTTCAGGAAAGATCAAATACTCTGTAACCAAATGCCCATGATGAGTAACCAGCCATTCAATATCCCCAGCATAGCTGAGGAGCTTCGCCGGGATGAGACTATTCACCAGATTGTAGATTCCCTTGAATACCTCGACAAGATTGCCGATGAAATCTTCACTCGTATTCACACCAGAGTGGCAAACAACCAAGCTAACTTACAAAAATTAAATGACAGAGTGAGTCTCGCTGAAGCAAAAATAAGTAAGATTAGCGGAAGTAAAAAAGCAACAAATGTCTTCGCTTCTGCTAAATATCCTGCACCAGACACAACAGAATTTTATGAAACCGTATTTAAACCAGAAAATAAATTGAAAAGTCCAAAGAGACAGAGTTATCATGTACAGGATAAACATAAGACTGTAGATGAGAGTGTGTTGAAGGAGAAGCTACAGTATTATCATGTTAAAGGAGGTAGAAAGAAAAAGAACGACCAAAATCGTGGAGAGGGTCTCGGTGGACTGCCCAGAGAAATACCATCAGTCAGTGCCTTACTTCTATTTAATACTTCTGAAAATCCGTAAGTCATGGCATTTTTTCATTTTTATGCCACCGCAGCATCTGCGATGCGGTGGCATATAGCGATTCACCTGTGTGTATGTATGTATGTGTGTGTGTGTGTGTGTTATATAGATTATATAGTGAACTTAAAAAATCTTCTTGTGAAAAACCAGTAGTCCAATTTCAACCAAACTTGGCAGGATTGTTCCTTGGGTGAAGGGCTTCCAAAGTTGTTCAAAGAATTTCATTCCATGCAGAAATCTGGTTGCCATGGCAACCAAAAGGAATTATAAGAATGAATTTAAAAAATCTTCTTGTAAAGACCCAAAAGGCCTAGAGCTTAGATATTTTGCATAAGGCATTGTCTGGTAGACCTCTAACAAGATTGTTCAAATTATAGCCCTGGGGTCAAAATTGGCCCCGCCCCGGGGGTCATTGATTTTCACTATATGTACATATAGTAAAAACTTAAAATACCTTCTTGTAAAAACCCAAAAGGCCTAGAGCTTAGATATTTTGCAAAAGGCATCATCTGGTAGACCCTTACCAAGATTGTTCAAATTATAGCCCTTGGGTCAAAATCGGCCCCGCCCCGGGGTCATTGATTTTCACTATATGTACATATAGTAAAAACTTAAAACACCTTCTTGTAAAGACCCAAAAGGCCTAGAGCTTAGATATTTTGCATAAGGCATTGTCTGGTAGACCTCTACCCAGATTGTTCAAATTATAGCCCTGGGGTCAAAATCGGCCCCGCCCCGGGGGTCATTGATTTTCACTATATGTACATATAGTAAAAACTTAAAATACCTTCTTGTAAAAACCCAAAAGGCCTAGAGCTTAGATATTTTGCATAAGGCATCATCTGGTAGACCCTTACCAAGATTGTTCAAATTATAGCCCTTGGGTCAAAATCGGCCCCGCCCCGGGGTCATTGATTTTCACTATATGTACATATAGTAAAAACTTAAAACACCTTCTTGTAAAGACCCAAAAGGCCTAGAGCTTAGATATTTTGCATAAGGCATTGTCTGGTAGACCTCTACCCAGATTATTCAAATTATAGCCCTGGGGTCAAAATCGGCCCCGCCCCAGGGGTCATTGGTTTTCCTTATATGTATATAGTAAAAACTTAAAAAAAATTCTTCTAGCAATTGACAAATGCTAGAGGTTAGATATTTTGCATGAAACATTGTGTTGTAAACCTCTAGCAAGATTGTTCAAATTATAGCCTTGGGGTCGAAATTGCCCCCGCCCTGGGGGTCATTGATTTCAATATATACATATAGTAAAAAATAAAAAAATGTTATTTAATCTGAAGGTACAAGGCTTAGAGCTTTAATAATTGTTAAATAATATCATCTAAAGGTACTCTACCAAAGTTGTTCAAATTTTGCCTCTTGTGTCAAAGTTAGCCCCGCCCTTGGGAGCCATAGGTATATCTTATATGTATATAGTTAAAACTTAAAAAATCATCTTCTCTAAATTTACAAAGGATAGAGTTAAGATATTTTGCATGAAACATTGTGTAGTGAACCTCTAGCAAGATTGTTCAAATTATAGCCCTGGGGTCAAAATTGGTTCCGCCCCGGGGGTCATTGATTTTCATTATGTACATATAGTGAGAAAAAAAAATATTTGTCTGAAGGTTCAAGGCATAGAGCTTTGATGTTTGATATATGATATCATCTATAGGTCCTCTACCAAAGTTGTTCAAATGTCAAAAATTGGCCCTGCCCGGGGGCAGTGATTCTCATTATGTACATGTAGTAAAAACAGAAAATAAAACAAATATTTTCTGAATGGGAGAAAGCTATAGCTTAGATATTTGACTTGAAATGTTGTTTGGTGGACCTGTATCAAGATTGTTATTAAACCCTTGGGTTAAAATTATGCTTTGCCCAAGGGGACAGTGACCTACTTTCTTGTCCTTTGATGTACAGCAATGACATTTTGACCATGTGCACAGTTTTAGTTGTAAAATTGAACTTTGACCTAGATTTTGATGATGTGACCTACTTTCTTGTCCTTTGATGTACAGCTATGAAATTTGAGCCAGGCGGTGGCATAGCATTTTTCTCAAATGCAATCTTGTTTTAAATTTCTTTAAAATCTAATTATAAGTTCATTTATGAAAAAAATTTGTAATGAAATTTAAAAAAAAGAACTAGCAAGCACTTTAGAAAAAGTTTTCATTCCTTATTACATTGAAGACATAATATATTTAGATTGTTCAAACATGTTTATTTAATTTTGCTTGTGAACAGATTGCTTGCAAATTCTTTTAATATGTTCATGAACCTTACACAAGTTACTGTCATGAAAGGGAAAACAATTTGAAGGTAACAGAAGATCCTATAAGTCAGTTTTGAAATTTAGCGTAAAAATCTGTTAATGAAAATTTATGGTAAAAAAGTAACGTTAAATATGTAAATTTAAATTTTCAATTTTCATTAAAAAAAATACTTAGTTAAGAATTATTCATCAAAAAGCATTGATAATCTTTTGAATACGGTATATAATGCTGTTTTGTTTACAGGTATAAGAAATATGTAATCAAGGATCCTCTAGGTGTGGTCACAAAGACTCGAACAGCGTTAGAAGAGGAGGATTTTGGGATGGCAGATGCACCAAACACAATCAAAACAAATGAAGAGCTGCAGCATTTACAAGCAGATAACTATTTCTATGTTCCAGGAATTGGAGATGTTCCAGAGCTTGATTTGCCTATAGCACTGCCAAATCTATTAGGTAAATTAGTTTCGATTATGTTTACCTAGTTTAATATAAATATGAGCCGCGTCACGACAAAACCAACATAGTGCGTTTATGACCAGCATGGATCCAGATGCGCAACTGGTCTGGATCCATGCTGGTCGCAAACCCATTATGTTGGTATTGTCGTGATGCGGCTCATATATATTTGAATTCTCCTGTGCAGTTTTTAGCTCACCTGTCACAAAGTGACAGGGTGAGCTTTTGTGATCGCTTTTCGTCCGGCGTCCGTCCGTCCGTCGTCCGTCCGTCGTCCGTCCGTAAACTTTTGCTTTAAATGACATCTCCTCATAAACCACTGAGCCAATTTCATCCAAACTTCACAGGAATGTTCCTTTGGTGGTCACCTTTAAAAATTGTTCAAAGAATTTAATTCCATGCAGAACTCTGGTTGCCATGGCAACCGAAAGAAAAATCTTTAAATATCTTCTTTTAAACAACCCTAAGAGCTAGAGCTTAGATATTTGGCATGAAACATCTTCTAATGAGTGTCTACCAAGTTTGTTCAAATAAAAGCCCTGGGGTCAAAATTGGCCCCGCCCCGGGGGGTCATTGATTTTCCCTATATGCATATAGTAAAAACTTAAAAAATCTTCTTTTAAAGAACTGTAAGAGCTAGAGCTTAGATATTTGGCATGGAACATCTTCTAGTGAGTGTCTACCAAGTTTGTTCAAATAAAAGCCCTGGGGTCAAAATTGGCCCTGCCCCAGGGGGTCATTGAATTTCCCTATATGCATAAAGTAAAAACTTAAAAAATCTTCTTTTAAAGAACTGTAAGAGCTAGAGCTTAGATATTTGGCATGAAACATCTTCTAGTGAATGTCTACCAAGTATGTTCAAATAAAAGCCCTGGGGTCAAAATTGGCCCCGCCCCAGGGGGTCATTGATTTTCCCTATATGCATATAGTAAAAACTTAAAAATCTTCTTTTAAAGAACCCAAAGAGCTAGAGCTAAGATATATGGCATGAAACATCTTCTAGTGAATGTCTACCAAGTTTGTTCAAATAAAAGCCCTGGGGTCAAAATTGGCCCCGCCCTGGGGGGTAACTGATTTTCCCTATATGCATATAGTAAAAACTTAAAAATCTTCTTTTAAAGAACCGTAAGAGCTAGAGCTTAGATATTTGGCATAAAACATCTTCTAGTGAATGTCTACCAAGTTTGTTCAAATAAAAGCCCTGGGGTCAAAATTGGCCCTGCCCCAGGGGGTCATTGATTTTCCCTATATGCATATAGTAAAAACTTAAAAAATCTTCTTTTAAAGAACTGTAAGAGCTAGAGCTTAGATATTTGGCATGAAACATCTTCTAGTGAATGTCTACCAAGTTTGTTCAAATAAAAGCCCTGGGGTCCAATTTGGCCCCGCCCCAGGGGGTCATTGATTTTCCCTATATGCATAAAGTAAAAACTTAAAAAATCTTCTTTTAAAGAACCCAAGGAGCTAGAGCTAAGATATTTGGCATGAAACATCTTCTAGTGAATTTCTACCAAGTTTGTTCAAATAAAAGCCCTGGGGTCAAAATTGGCCCCGCCCCGGGGGGTCATTGATTTTCCCTATATGCATATAGTAAAAACTTAAAAAATCTTCTTTTAAAGAACCGTAAGAGCTAGAGCTTAGATATTTGGCATGAAACATCTTCTAGTGAATGTCTACCAAGTTTGTTCAAATAAAAGCCCTGGGGTCAAAATTGGCCCCGCCCCAGGGGGTCATTGATTTTCCTTATATGCATATAGTAAAAACTTAAAAAATCTTCTTTTAAAGAACCCAAAGAGCTAGAGCTAAGATATTTAGCATGAGACATGTTCTAATGGGTGTCTACCAAGTATGTTCAAATAAAAGCCCTGGGGTCAAAACTGGCCCCGCCCCGGGGGTCATTGATTTTCCTTATATACATAGCAAAAACTTAAAATTCTTCTTTGAAAAAACCCAAATAACTAGAGTTTAGATATTAAGCATGAAACATCTTTAAGTAAATATCTACAAAGTTTGTTCAAATAAAAGCCCAGGGGTCAAAACTGGCCCTGCCCGAGGGGTGTCATTGTTTTTAACTATATGTGTATAGTAAAAACTTAAAAAATCTTCTTTTAAAAAACCCAATGAGCTAGAACTTAGATGTTTTGCATGAAACATCTTCTTATGGGTGTCTACCAAGTCTGTTCAAATAAAAGCCCTTGGGTAAAAATTGGGCCGGGGGGGGGCTATATACAGGTGAGCGACCTCAGGGCCATCATGGCCCTCTTGTTATTCAATCTGAAAAAGTTGTATGAACATGTAGGTCATATATACATGTAGTTGATGAATATTTTAGTGGCTCGGGTTGTATATGAAAACAATATTTCTATACAACCTTTCAAGTATTATTATAAAAATTTATTATTCAACATATTTCCTTTTTTAGAGAAAAAAATGAGATTTCTTCATAAATTGACTTCAGCTGTGCATATAAAACTACATAAACATCACAGTTAGCCAATGAAAAGATCTGTTACAAATGTACAGTATTAAAATTTACTATATATATGGTTGTATCTAAGTTTGTTAAAGAAAGTTAATGTAAAGAAGATACATGTAAGTTTAGAAATTGTACTTCAAAATGATACTGCCAGTAACTTTTTTGCAAATCTGATTCTCCCACCATTAATTTCTTTAACATGTTGATACTAATATGAAATGATACCACCAGCAATATTCGGATTATTCCATAAAACTTAAAGGTTTAGTTGGAAATTTTGTACATGTATATAAGTATATATTAAGGGAAATATTGTAGATATAAATGATACTATTTCTTGTTATAGGAGTTGCTGATGATGTAACATTCAGTGCTGACCAAGATAGCTCTATTGCACCAACTGTGATGGGTGGTAACATTCCAGACTTGCCTTCAGTTGTACCAACAACTGAACCTCTACCAGCAGGTCCAGCATCAGAGGGTGGACCACCGCCCCCACCGTCTGGACCTCCCCCGCCGGAACCACCACCACCTCCACCCCCTTCTGGGGCTCCACCCCCACCACCACCGCCACCACCACCAGGTATGCTCTCTTATAGAAAATAATACACAGTTACAGTCATGTAAATATAACTCAAAATTAAGCATTTCTTAATAGAGACAGTATTTGAACATTTATTTAATTTGAATGGCTAGATTACTGTCAGATGATTTGGTGTAAGTTTTCTGAAATATAGATATTTAATATCATCTATTTATTGTGTTGTTTGAATACATTGCGTATTGATTCCATGTAGTTTCATACTGCCTTTAAAAAAGTTTATGTCAATTGTGCATGTGGTAAGAATTATCCCTTAACTCTTTCATGGATTTTGACTGAATTATACCCATTTGTAAACTTGATAATGCCTAGTTTTGTGTAGATTTGCATGCAAGTTCTGTCTCCCAAACCTCATATCTTCACACCAATATTCAGAGTCGTAGGTGGCTGTCAAAGATTTAAACAAATAATGTGAAACTCCCACAATGTATGCAAATTTAAGTGTAAAAATGCTATAAATATACACTATTACTTGATTACAATTAAGAACACATATGCATGCCGTATGTAAACAATTTAGTGTATTTATTTAAGCTTGATGGCAAAACAAGTTCTTGCATTAATTACTGCTGGGTCCGCTTCCTGGAACCAACCTGCAGTACTCAACCAGGGTTGAGAGGCAGGCACCTTAACCACTAGACCACCGATATGTCTTAAAGTAAACCATATTGATAGAGGAAATAACTTCTTAAATATAAATTTGTTCTGTAATGTGCCCAATATCACTACACAATTTGTTTAGTTGGATTTTCATAATATTTCAGGTCCTCCTCCACCTGGTGCCCCACCTCCACCCCCACCCAGTGTGGCTGGAGCTCCGCCTCCACCTCCACCTACTGATGTTCCACCTACAGTAAGCGGTGGAGATGGAGGGCGCACAAGTTTAATGGATGCCATAAGAAAAGCTGGAGGAACAAAAGGGGCAGGGCTTAAGAATGCAAAGGACAAACATGATGAAAAGAAAAAGAAGAAAAAGGAGGAGAAACAGAGCTCAGGCGGTGCTAGTAAAGGAGGAGGAGATTTAATGGGTGATCTATTTGCTAAGTTGACTATGAGAAGAAAAGGTATATCTGGATCAGGCAAAACTGGGGACGGAGGAGGGGGAGGTGGAAAGAGCGAGGGTGCGGGAGTCGGTGATGCCATGGACAAAATATCATCAATGATTCCCGCACCACCAAAACCTGCGGAGAGTAGCAGTCCAACGGGTGGTGATGAAGAAGAGGACTGGGAATGATAAGTTAAAATAGATAGTGATAATTTGTGCAATATGTGATATTGAATTGTGCTAAATTTTAATTAATGTATGAAAGTTTGTTTTGTTTGTTTATTAAGGTAAACCAAATAATTAATGATTTTCTTTTTTTAATCAGAATGGTAAGCTTGCTATCTTGATGGTAACTTAGTTTTTACAGATATTGGTCTGGACAGATTACAATAATAAAATCTTTGTTGTTAGGGATATGAACTCAACCTGAAAGTGCGTAATTTATTTTGAAATTTATGTAAAAACCGGTAGTTTATTAAAGCCAATTACCAGTATAAACATACACTCTTTGACTAGCACTTTAAGGCTCACAATGATCAGTTTTTCATACTATTACTTGACATATACATTTGTATAAAATGTTGCTAAATAATGTGAAAAATATTCTGACTTACAATATACAAAACTGTAATTTACTTGGTAAGTTTGAGTCTTTATCAGTATGTTCTGTAGAATAATAAATATTTATCATGATTAAGAATGATTTTTTTTGAAATTGTTTAATAATTCTTATTATGATATAAATGATTATTTATATGTAAATTAATGGGGGAAAAATATTGAAACATTCCATAATGATTAAGTTATTTTTTGTTAACAAAAAGGATTACATTTTGATGGGTCATTGCGAAAGGAATGTTACTCATTCTTTATTAGCTCACCAGAGCCGAAGACTCAGGGTGAGCTATTAGTATCAAAGGGGGATACTCCGGCGTCATGCGTCAACAATCGTCTTTTTCTCTGAAACTGCTGGGCAGATTTACTTCAAATTTGGTCTGTAGCATCCTTGTGACAGTCACACTTGAATTTGCTCATGTCATTTCAATTAGCCCCTTTTAGGGGTCAACAGAGCTAAAAATAGAAAAACCTTTAAACATCTTCTTCTACAGAACTAATTGATGGATGATCACCAAACTTTGTCTGTAGCATTCTTGGGCAGTCTTTTATCAAATTTGCTCATATTAATTTGATTGGCCCCTTTTAGGGGTCTCTAGGGCTAAAAATAGAAAAACCTTTAAACGTCTATTTCTACAGAACTAATTGATGGATGATCACCAAACTTTGTCTGTAGCATTCTTGGTTAGTCTGTTATTAAATTTGCTCATATTAATTAACCCTTGAATGTATATTAATCATTAACGTCTACCTTGAGCCAAGTTTTTGTGATTTGTCTGCAGACATACATACAAAACAGCTTAATATAGGCAAGACATACAGTAGCCATTTGAAATGATTTTTTATGTAGCTATACAGGTTATGTCGCATAACATAATTATGATGTTGGAGCATGGGTCACATTGCCTCACCAGGTAGTCTTATCATTTGTTCTGTGTAATCAAATTAAATAATATCATGCTTGATTTTTACATGTACAGGCAGCAATGGGGTGTTAAATATTGGTTAAAAAATTTATAAGTTTGTTGAGTATTCAGTATTTAAATGCTATTGTCCATGACGTATTGTCATGACAGTATTCATATTTATATAAATTTCGGCAGCTGGCAGAGTGAGCCCTTGATTGTACATATAGTTCACAGATATTAATTAAACACATAGAGTTAAAAAACGTCAGTTACATATACTGTCTACAAACATTGATAACACATACAGTTCGCAAAAAAAGACAGTTACATATACTGTCTACATTGATTAAAAACATCAATTCCATTTTATACCGTTTACAAACATTGATTACACTTACGGTTCAAAAACATCAGTTACATTTATGACCTTCAGGTTGAACACAGTTGCACCAACTCTATGGCCACCATGAGAAAGTTACTATAAAGTTTCTATGAACTGTTGGTATATTTGATTGATTTCTGTCCTACTTAGTAGCATAAGGGAGAGCATCACATTTGTAATCAATGGGTCACTGGCTGAGACACAGGAAAGAAACCTTTGCAATAATATTAACTTAATATTTTAATGCTCTTATTATTTTACTCTGACAAATTCCACATTCAAATAAATTTCACACTCATCTTTGTATACTTCAGCTTGAGTTAAAGTTAATCCTGCAAAATTGCTTGACTTTATGGTGAAAATATTTTCATACCGTAATAAAGTGCACTTAGAGAAAAAACTTTTTTTTTCAAATTAAGGACAATAGAAATGGCACCCTATATTTGCCTTGTATATTGCTAATTATCAGAGACTTATGCTCTTTTATTTTACAAGGCACAAATTATCATTTACACTTCAGATACATCAGAAATATGGAAGAGACATCTTATATATATCATAATTATATGAAATATACAATACCATTGGATTTTACTGGTGCTAAAATGTACTGTATGTACATATATGTGGTTGACTGATTTTTATGTCCTGAATGATTTTATGTTGTTATGTTATTTATTTATTATGCCATTTCAAACTGAAAACAAAGAATACATCATGATAATAAAATTGTTATGTAAATTAGAAGTCAAATGAATTAATCCTGTTCTCTGTTAATAATGTATCACCATCTTTTGATCAGGACATTTTACACAAACAGATATGTTTAATTATTGGATATATCGTTATTGAAGAACAGTCTGGGTACCTAAATGGGTAACCTGATTTTGAAATTCTATCTAATCTCTTACACTGACTATAATTTTTATTAGCAACAGACAGTTAAGATTTGTGTTGTATGATACATTGTAATATCAATTTATGTTGCTGTACTGTTAACAAATCTGCTCCAAGGCGAATTATCTGTTGAACTTTGTATAACTGGGATAATAAATTAAGAAAAAATTTATACATGTACATGTGTATTCTTTGAAATCTAGACATGGAAATAAGATTTTCTCTGCGTATAACTCGTACCTTGCTGAAACTACATTTAAAAGTGACAAACCTTTGCCACTGTTACAGAGCCAGGCCAGTCTGTACAATGAGTTTGATTAGGCTTTAAAATGTACCAAAGGAATAGCTATAACGTTGTGTATTTCTATACTGAAATAATGAATAAAATGCTCAAAATTTCAGGTCAACTCCATTATACAAATTTAGCAGGTTATGGATTATGTACAATGCTTTTTAAAGAAACTGGTCAGAAATAAATATGTTTGTACTTTTCATTTTGCTGCCATTGTAGGTAATGAAATAAGTTTACAAGGGATACAACTCTTTCAAAGTACTTAAGATAATTTACTAAAAGTAAGGACTTTTAATTCATTATCTTTTCACTCTTTATTTCTGACAATTCCATTATATTTTTTTCAATCTCAGTAGTTTCAAACATAAAAATAAATGTAAGCAGCTTGTAGAGTCAGACTGCATGGATATGTTGCTTCATACTTGTTGCAAATGTAGTTCTGTAGCTTTGTTCTGTTGCTTTATTGTTTACTGACCTGTGATAAATACTCGTTCATGGACCTGATTAAAAGTTGATCAAATTAATAAATGTTTCAAGTATATATTATAAATGATGTATATGTTTTATTGAAAATAAAGAATTTTATTATTTGATATGTACATGTATTTGTTAATTCATACACTGTTGTAACTGAAATTGAGAAGCATAGAGCCAGGACGCTAATACTGCCGGTGTAGTCAGACTGCCTTTGCCATCAATTCAATATTTTATTTGGCATTAAACTACAAATAGCATATAGCCATTATTACATAACATAGGTTGCCAGGGAACAGTTGTCTACAGTTAAAAACAGCCCCCTCGTCTGTATAGGACTGGGACGCCTTTTTCACCAGTAAATGGCCAGGATGCCTTTGCCTCCAGTATTTGACAAAGACCCTTGCCTCCATTGTAGAATTGAATAACCATGCAGAGTCCAAGCTGTATTTTGTTAACTGATTTACCTGGCTATCCCCAAATTTGATAATTGACAGTTCCAAACATGGAAGCTGGTGAGGTTTAAGAAATCAGGTTCAGGACATTTATCTGCATTTGGAACACCTTGATGAATAAAGGTAGCTATGTGCTTTAGTTCTCTTAGTCCTGCCAGGGAAGATGAATTATTTCATCTGAGGAAGGTACTCAACCAGGTTATTGCAGGTTGTTCTACTCGAGAGTCGACAAATGACACACGGTTTATCTGCTGTCTTACGTAACCCCCATCCAGCCTTTATAATCTGGAATTTTGGGTCTTATGATGTTGCAAAAATTACCCCGTAATACTGTTGGCACGAATCTTTCAACCTAGCTAAAGGAATGTTAGTTCTTCTATTCTTGTACCGACCTGGCTGTGCCTGTGATACTTAAGAGATGTGTAGTTTAGGTATGCCTTGTTTGTATAGCTGAGTAGTTGCCACATCCTAATTATATCAGTATTTTAACCCAACAAAATAAAATGTAAATAAACATGTAACCACTGTTTATGTAAATATTTCCATTGATATTATGTTATACGGCTGTGGTTTATCTAACATAGAATATCTGCAATGAAATATTAAGAGTATATCATGGTAATATATACGACAAGTTATCATTTTTGAAAAAAGAACAGTACAAATGTACCTGTATAACCACTTTTGTTTCTTTCATCCAGCTAGCTTACGGAACGTCGGTTGTTCTACTGAAATAATGCACAGAAGGGCACCTGAGGTCTTCCTCCACCAGTAAAGCTTGAAAGTCGCCATATGACCTATATTGTGTTGGTGCGACGTAAAACCCAACCATTTCAGTCATTTACCGGGAAATCGTGATCATACGGAAGTATCTATATATTTGTGTGGTGCCATGCCACTAGCAATACTTTCTCGTAGTTTGAGAGTCCCATTTTCCAGACGGGAACTACAATATGGCATAGGATAACCGTAAGGGGGCTTTCAGTAGATTTTTGAAACTTAAATTCAATTTTTTACTCTTGCGTATCCTTTATTATACCCCCACCACAAAGTTTTGTCGCGTTCGTGGTCGCTCCTATACCAATTGGCGGATTTTCTTCAAACTTGGCTCAAATGTTCACCTCAACAAGGGGATGTGCAGAACCCATGTTGCCCATGTGTCAGCACAAGGTCACAATTGAAGGTCAAATATCAAACACAATCAAATATTAGACAGTATGTCCTGTCCGCTCTGTAAGTCCTACACTAATTGAAAGATTTTCTTCAAACTTGGCTCAAATATTCACCTCAACAAGGGGATGTGCAGAACCCATGTTGCCCATGTGTCAGCTTACGATCAAGGTCACAATTGAAGGTCAAATATCACACAATCAAATATAAGACAGTATGTCGTGTCCGCTCTGTAAGTCCTACACTAATTGAAAGATTTTCTTCAAGCTTAGCTCAAATGTTCACCTCAACAAGGGGATGTGCAGAACCCATGTTGCCCATGTGTCAGCTTACGATCAAGGTCACAATTGAAGATCAAATATCAGACAATCAAATATTACACAGTATGTCATGTCCGCTCTGTAAGTCCTTCACTAGTTGAAAGATTTTCTTCAAACTTGGCTCAAATGTTCACCTCAACAAGGGGATGTGCAAGACCCATGTTGCCCATGTGTCAGCTCAAGGTCAAGGTCACAATTGAAGGTCAAATATCAAACAATCCTAATATTAGACAGTATATCGTGTCCGCTCTGTAAGTCCTACACTAATTGAAGTACTTTCTTCAAACTTGGCTCAAATGTTCACCTCAACAAGGGGATGTGCAGAACCCGTGTTGCCCATGTGTCAGCTCAAGGTCAAGGTCACAAATGAAGGTCAAATATCAAACACAATCAAATATAAGACAGTATGTCGTGTCCGCTCTGTAAGTCCTACACTAATTGAAAGATTTTCTTCAAGCTTAGCTCAAATGTTCACCTCAACAAGGGGATGTGCAGAACCCATGTTGCCCATGTGTCAGCTTACGATCAAGGTCACAATTGAAGGTCAAATATCAGACAATCAAATATTACACAGTATGTCGTGTCCGCTCTGTAAATCCTTCACTAGTTGAAAGATTTTCTTCAAACTTGGCTCAAATGTTCACCTCAACAAGGGGATGTGCAAAACCCATGTTGCCCATGTGTCAGCTCAAGGTCAAGGTCACAATTGAAGGTCAAATATCAAACAATCCTAATATTAGACAGTATGTCGTGTCCGCTCTGTAAGTCCTACACTAATTGAAAGATTTTCTTCAATCTTGGCTCAAATGTTCACCTCAACAAGGTTATATGCAGAATCCATGTCACCTTTGTGCAGGCTAAAGGTCAAGGTCACACTTGAAGGTCAAAACTTGACTTAGAAAATGTTCTCAAATTTTAACATGTACTTGAATATTTCTGAAACTAGCACATGTATTTGCTTGAAACTTAAAAGATATATGAGGTGTCACAAATAAGATATGCAGGTCCAGTTTCATAACTCTGTATTGCATTTTGACAAAGTTATGCCCCTTTTTAAGTCTTTAAATTTACATACAATCAATACTAGACAAAATGTTGTGTCCGCTCTATTAATTCTATACTAATGGAAGGATTTTCTTCAAATTTTACTCAAATGCTCACCCCAACTGGGCGATGTGCAAAACCCATCTTACCCTTGTGCCAGCTTAAGGTCAAGGCCACACTTGAAAGTCAAAAATTGACTTATAAAATGTTTAGTACATTGGGAAAATGAAAGCTTATTTGTAACTGCTTCGAACATGATTTGACAATATATATTTATACTATAACCTGTACAATTAGTCTTTTTTTTCACCAGAGATAATTTCTTTTTATGTATATGTATTTGTGCCACTAAAGCTATTCCCTTAACCACCTTTCCAAGTCGTCTTCTGTCAAGGACATTAGTGGGGGTATGAATCGCATTCAGCGATAGTTCTAGTTTGAAATTAAATCCAATCAGTTCCACATAAATTGATAAGTGATATCTTAAAACGTGATATCATCATTTTAAAACTACATATTGTACATATGAGTAACTTGGAGTATATTGTACATGTATAGTGTTGATCCATCGATATTTCAGTCCATTGTCATATTATTAGCTTAGTTCTCAGATGTTTCTTTTATTGTATTAAGCATCTGTTTTTAAATTTCTGTCCCCGGGACAGTTACCTATAACAAATGATTTTGTTAAGATATTTCTTCTCCCCCTTTCCGTTAAACTTCGAATAATCTTTTAGGTGTTTCGATTGATTATCTTGATAAATAATAGTGAGTTCATTAGCTATATAGAGTTTCATTAGTTTACTATTTTGCCCAGCGAACGAATTTACATTTAAATGATAGTAATTTTGTTTCAAAAACGGACTTCGATCTCAGCGCTGTATGGATATTAAAATGTAAATTTTTTGAGATAAAAGGTGAAGTAGAAGTTCAATTTAAAATGACGAAGATTTGTTTGAGAACGCCGATAACACTGTGAACAAAATATTGATCACCATTTTGTACCACTTCCTTGCTGATAAGGCCACTCCAAGTATTGTTACCGCTTTTAATAACACATCCAATCAATCGCAACTTTTCGGCCATTTCCGTCAGTCAATTATTGATAATAGCCGAGATGTTGCGATTGACATTAAATTCCCCGTCATACGATATCTTGCTTAAATGCTGGCTTTAAAACTTCGTCATATGAAAGGTTTCATTTCTTGTGATTTGAAACAATTTCTAATGGATCACTCTAAATGAAGAACTTTTACTTATGTTTGATAATGATTATGTTTTCAAGGCCGTGTTCGACCAAATATTGTAACGTCTTATAGAACACACTTATTAATCATTGTACCATATATAAAAGATAATATTCGCACATTTTGTATAAAAAACGTGAATTCTAAATGTAGAGCCCGGCCTCCGCATGACTCATTTTGTTAAAATGTAGAAAATTGAATGTATATACCAGGTCTACGTTTTAGAGAATGCGAAAAATCATGACACGTTATCTTTTGCAAACACTATACCCGTGTCATTTCAATGATTAAAATAAACTAAGGGATATGTTAACTAGTAACAACTAAAAAGAAAAAAAGAAACATAATAACAAACATGGAGGTGAAAGACACCAGAACAATTTCAGTGATATTATTTGTGGCCTTATTCTGTGGATGTAATTCGAGCGTTCTTTCTGGTTTGGCTGGGTAAGATATATTATTTCAACAATTCTATATTATGAGATCCATTGTTGAGTAAAATACTGAGTTCTTTTGGACAGGTACACAGCTTACAAAACTATATTGGACAAGGCGCTCGGTTTTGTGTTGTACGAGTCTAATAGAATCAGTATTGTTCTCAGCCATGTTTATAATGACCTCTTTATTTCACACCACCATTTTCTGAACTTAGTTACTTCAATAAGAATTTGATAGTCTGGAGTCTAGATGGAGTATGAAATGCATTTGATAAAGATATTTTGGACTCTTATTATTACGATATAGAAACGGACGAATTAGAATCTGTTTGGTTGGAAATTATTTACCCAAATTGCAAACCTTTTCTTTTAAATTTTATATATCGCCCACCAAATGTACACCAATCTTGGATTGACGATTATGAAAAACAACTAAGTATAATAGATATATCAAATATAGAATATCATATTCTAGGAGATGTCAATATAAACTTTTATCCAATGAATAAAAAGAAAAAATATGACAATACAAAATGGGGGGATTTGATAACGAAATATGGTTTGAAACAGCTTATCACAGATCCTACTAGGATAACAAAACGTACCCAAAAGATTATAGATCATGTTTATACAAACAGTAGCAGATATATTATTGAATCGTTTGTTTCTGATACCTCATTAAGTGATCATTATCCGATAGGTATTTCAAGATCAACGAAAGCATGTAGTACCCGATTGATTAATGAACATAATTCGATTAAATATAGATGTTTTAAAAACTTCAATGAAATTGATTTTCAGGCAGACCTTGTTTTATCCGATCTTGAATTAGTCGAGCACATAATAAATCCGAATGAATCCCTTAGCTTATTTTACTCCATTTTAAATACTATCTTGAAAAAGCATGCACCAATAAAAGAAAAACGTATCAAACGTGAACACCGCCCGGAATGGTTTACTGATGAGATAAAATATCTTATACATGAACGCGATTACTATCATAAAGTAGGGAAACATGAACAATACAAATTGCTCAGAAATAAAATAACATCAATGATTAAAAAAAGTAAAAGAGATTTCTTTAACAATGCTATTAAAAATAACAAAGACCCGGCATTTTTATGGAAAAATTTAAAGGACGTTTCAAATCTAAATAAAAAAGGTTGTATTACAATGCCAGACAGACTAGTGACAGGTAATAAAGAAATTTACGGAACTGTTAATATTATAAATGAATTAAATAAGTATTTTGTCAATATCTCGAATGTCATACATAAAACAAAGTTTTCAAATACAAATTTTTCAAAATTGAAAGAAACTTTAGACCAAAAGCTAATACATCATGAATTTAATATTGAATTAATTACACCGTTTGAAGTAAAACTTATTATTGAAAAACTGAATATTAAAAAATCTACAGGATTAGATGGAATTGGACCAAACATCATCAAATATTGTGGAGATTATATTACACCAATAATTGCATCAATTATCAATAATAGTATTAAATCTAATATTTTCCCAGATGATTTAAAAAGAGCTCGAGTTATACCTATTTTTAAATCGGGGGATAAGAATGAAGCAAATAACTATCGACCGATATCAATTTTGTCAACTATATCCAAAATATTTGAGCGCCATATTGCCAAACAAATACACTCATTCTTTGAAAAAACAAACATTATTCATAATAAACAATCAGGATTTCGTAAAAATCATTCATGTAATACTGCACTCATAAGTTTAATAGATACTTGGTTAAAAGATGTTGACAGTGGAAAAATTATAGGGACTGTATTCTTAGACTTAAAGAAAGCCTTTGATTTGGTTGACCATGAAATACTTTTGCATAAACTTAAACTTTATCATTTTTCTGAAAATGCCGTTAAGTTTTTTATGTCATATCTTTCTAACAGAATACAACTGGTTAAGATAGGTGATCTACAATCTCAGACAATGAAAATAATTTCCGGTGTTCCACAAGGCTCAATATTAGGACCTTTATTATTTCTAATATACATAAATGACATAGCTTTCATTGGTAATGATATGAAAATTGATTTATACGCAGACGATTCTACTCTTTATGAGTCCGGAGAAAATATATCAAAAGTAGAAATAAAACTTCAAGATCATTTAAATAACATTGACAAATGGTGCAAAATAAATAATATGACCTTAAATCCAGATAAATCAAAATGTATGGTAATAGGCACAAGACAAAAAGTAAATATTATGAGAAAATTAATTCTTAAGATAAATGAAATAGCTCTTGAAAATGTAACTGATCAAAAAGTCTTGGGTATTTGCATAGATAACAACCTAAAATGGCACTTGCAAATTGACAATGTTTGTAAAAAACTTAACGGAAAAATTGCCTTATTGAAAAAAATATCGTATTTTTTGCACTTTGATATGAAATTATTATTTTACAATGCATATATATTGCCCATTATGGACTATTGTTGTATTATATGGGGTAAAGGAAACACAAACTACATAAATAATGTTTGTAAGTTACAAAAACGTATTGCTAAAATCATTTTACAGCAACCTCAAAGATCTCCGTCAACAAATCTATTCGAAACTCTTAATTGGTTACCGTTCCTTGACAGATGTAAATACCACACGGCGGTGCTTGTTTTTAAAACTTTAAATAACATGGCACCGACATATATGACAGAACTGATGACTTTATCCGACAACAAAATATATAACTTAAGATCTAGGTCACGGAAAGATATTGTATTATGGAAAAGACCTAAAACAAATTATATTAAAGACACATTTTCTTATTATGGCATAAACATTTGGAACAATATACCTTTAAATATTCGTAATGTTAATAACCTTAAATGTTTTAAAGAAAAATACAAAGCATATCTTGATGTTCATATGAATGAATGAGTGAGTGAATGAATGAATGAATAAATATATGAACGAATGAACGAACGAACAAATGATGCAATATACATATATGTTTAAACAAAAAATGTTGAGTGCCTGTCGAAAGTTTATGAGTTGTATTATTCTAAAAATTACATATTATACATTCATTTTTCTACCTATGCATGTCCTGTTGTTGTTGTTTTCTTTTTCAGAAGGCCACTTTGGAAATAAGATATATATGATTGTTATTGTATGTTCTTAATGTGTAACCTTCTTTAAATAAAGATATTATTATTATTATTATTACTCTTTAATGAAAATGAGGCTATATGAGATGTGATATAGAATTGATATGGAATTTTTTGACTCTTGAAATGAAAACGGGGCTAAATCGATAAGATTTGATCCAATAATTATTTATATTGGAACATCAAGTATAGCAACTGCTGAAAGTGCATTGGTTATATTTTATAAGGTGTGAAATAAATCATTTTATTATATACTTATAAATGAAATATTGAGAAATATTGATGAAATAAAATGCGTATTTTTATTTTCCGTATTTTCACTGTAAAAATTTATTTTTCACTGCAGTGAAACATATTTTCCGTATTTTCACTGGTATCTTGCCGGACTACTTTCTTTTAAATTCTGCCAGTACACAAAATTTAAGGAAAAGTCTTTTCAATTTTAATGTCAAAAAAGAGAAAAATGTATATAATAAACAGAAAATTCAAGTTTTTTCTATAAATACATGATTTATTTTCATCTTGTGGCATGAAAATTACCATATTTCACTCGTGGCTACCGCCACTCATGAAATATTTATTTTCATACCACTCGATGAAAATAAATCATGTATTTATAGAAAAAGCTTGAATATCCTCTATAAATTCACAAATTAAATATGTATGAACCCATTTAAAGTAACTTAATTGTAACGAAGGTCAGATCTTATTTGAACTGCGTTTGCTTTTCGGACTCGCAACTAAATATTGGTGAAATATAGGAAAACACACATGTATATACCTAACACCCGAGACCATAGCACTGAGAAATTTATTATCCGGATTCAACGGAATAAATTAAGCTGGTATACTTGATTTTTTGTTCCTGACATTATGTTCATAATCACGATATGTTCATATTTGATAACTATGTTACTAATTGACATATCTGCATGCCACAGTATACTTAACAAAGTTCATACGTCATTGTCAAAATTTTTCAGACATAATCCTATTTGTGAAAAATAACTACCATGGCATACTTAATTAGCCCATAGGTATATAGTTTCGGGATATAGAACCTATTGCCTGTTGACTTATCAGTATAGAATTTGATTTGGCCATATCCGGTCACATTTCGGTTGCAGGGTGACATAGAGGAAGAAAATCAGTCTTCCTTTTGTTAAGCTGAAAAATGGCAGCATGGCCTTTACATAAAATAAAAAGCACTTTTAGAATTTTACGTGTAGTCAAAAATAGTGTAAAGGAAGCACAATAGACAAACTATCTTATTTATTCCGGTGACATGAAGCTTATTTTCTCACATTTACACGGAAGCTAAATACTTTACTTCTTTACTTTTGCTTAATTTTACTTTACTTTACCTTTTTACTTTGCTTTGCTGTGCTTTACTTATCTTTTACTTTACTTAACTTTTTGCTTTACTTTTACTTTACTTGGCCTTTTTAACTTTACTTTACTTTTCTTTACTTTTACTTTACTTTACTTTACCTTACTTTGCTTTACTTTACTTTACTCGTGTCCCTTTCGCAAGATGTCGTTAATGTCTTCTATATCCGCCTCTACGTAGTTCTGTATACTTTGCTGCTCCCATGGAGTATTCACAACTTACATCTGGCTAATGATTCATGTCCTAAATAACACGAAGGGAAAAGAGATATGCTTTCTCGTGATCTTTCTTCATGATTTTACTTTCACTTTATACCGTTGTCATTGGCATTGTCATTCATTTCAAAGAACACCGTGTACGTAATCAATATCTTCTTTCCCATGATGCAAATTAACTTCATGTCACCTATGAATTAACTATAGGCTAGATAAATTTAGGGGACTCCAGGACTCCACTGAGGTATTTTGATATGACCGGACGCCTAAATTATGATGAAGATCTGGCAGAGGTAACGCCAATTCTTCTGTTTGTGAGTGTGATCACTTGATTTGAACCGCTGTTATATTTATATATCTCTGATGAATTATAAAACATGAATTACATGAACGATATCTAGATAGCCAAATAGGGTCAGTAAGTTTTCTCATTTCGAAACAGTGCACACATATGTATGTACTTAAGGTATGTTGTATTTAAATAAGCTCTCTGTAACTTATAAATATCCAAAACAGGAATGTATTAAAGTTAAGAGAGAGGGATTAATCAGTCCCAATCCTATATTTACCAATCGGTGAGGTTGTCAGATCTAAAATGGTGGTTATTTATCTAGTTTGAAGGAATGTTATCAACAGAAAATGGTAACAAAAGATTGTCAATATTCCTTTATAGATGAAATAACTTTAATATCAGGTATATTACATTTACTTATACGTGCATTATCATAAAGTAAACATGAATTCTACATTGCTCGGTTAGAAAATGGGTTACATTATCACAGGACAATCTTGTGTTGTTCGTGGCCAGTTAAATGAATGTTTGTTAGTGTTTCTTTATTCATTTGCGGGTGGGATGGTAGCCTGGGATTCAGGCGTTATGAACATAACATACGCTCTGTTTCTTACTCGATCGTGTATTGATAATAATCAACAATTTGCCGAACAGAAGCACATAAAAAAATCGACAGATTGGAACCCAGGCTAGTGGGATGGGTATATAAGTTATCTTAGGATTGACGATGTTTCATCATTAATTGACGATTTTATTGTTTCAGAACAAAGTTTTTATTATTTTTTAAATAATTTAAAAGTTGCAAACTTTTTTTATTTTCGCATGTACTAGACCTAAATAAACTTATAGTTCTGCTATTTAAAATTATGGTGAATTCCGCCGCTCTTATATCACGATGATGGGAAGAACTATACTGACTAGCCAAAGTAGTGGAAGCTTTATACAGTTCTATTAATGTTTCATTTGCAAATTCGATTACAGGGTATACGAACTGATTAAAATCAGCTCCTAAATAACGTTTACATGTAAGAAATAAATAGATCTGAACTTTAATCAAAATAACAGGATATGGTACCAAGAAGATTAATATAGATACTATAACATGCCATATCCCACGCTGATTCATATGACTAATTTTCAGTTTTTATGCAAATAGCAGAATAATAATTTAAAACAAATAAAAATTACCCATACATACACATAGAATACATACTTCTCAATTTTCTATGTCAAGTTCAGCTGAGTCAAAAGATTGGGTGTATCGTTATTATGGACTGACCAACAGTTGATACTCTGGAAAATGTTAAGGACAAAATATAAATCGGACTAATGTATATATACATGTATACATGTATATATTTATAATTATTATAACTGTCCTTCTATATATTAAACGGAACAGGAAAAATCCCAAGGATGATAACAGAAATTTCCTTGGATCACGTAAATTAGTAATCATTCCTCTGAAGTGCATTATAAAATTGAATGGAAATCTTATTTGGATTTTCCCCTGTTCACTCAATATATACGCTTTGATGGAAATATTGTTACTTTAAAGGCACATTATGCATCAGAAATTCATATTTTCAACTCTTTAGAAATGTCAAACATGTATTTAATAATGTTTAAATAATGGATTTAGAGCATGCTACATAATTAAGAGCTGAGGAAAGTAGCTTTGAATGTGCAGTACTGCGTCGTAAAGGTAGCAATTCAAAAATTTAAGAATTTGAATTTGTATTATAAAGGCAAATCGCTGGAAATGGTTAAAAAGTCTACATATCTAGACAATTTTTCCTGTAGGCAGATCTTTTTATATGACTTTCGACAAGCATTGTATGCATTGTATAACTTGAAAAAGAGCTAATATGATTTTCTTGTATGTCAGTCAAACATAAACTGGGTGTGTTTGATAAATTTATTTTACCAATTCTAAACTATGGAGCACAAGTATATGGGATTACTTGATAGTCATATGTTAGATAAAAACATATAAATTATTGTAAGAAGTTGTGAGGAGATAAAAGACAACCACAAAATAATTTTATCTATGGTGAACTAGGAAGAATATCTTTAAAAACAATGCTGGCTGTTAACGTTATGATATACTGGTTAAAAGTTGTTCAGTCAAGTAATACAAAATATGACAAAGTTGTATTATGATCTTATGTGTAGAGATTTAGAACTTAAACCAAATTCAATGTCCTGGGCTAAGTCTGTTATGTTTTTATTACAATATTTAGGTTTCAATGAAGTATGGATTAATTAGGGTGTTGGAGATGTAAATATATTTTCGTAGTAGTAAAGCAAAGATTAACAGATACATTTATACAAAATTTGTATACAACACTAAGAGACTCATCAAGAGCAAGAAGTTATGTATTATTTTGTAATTTTTGCTTTCAATCATATCTGTCAATGGTTAATATTGAAAAGTTTAGGAAATCTTTATCACGTTTCAGGACCTCTTCGCATAAATTAAAAGTAGAAACTGGTAGATGACATAAACCTGAAGCAATTCCTTATAAAGAAAGAAAATGTAATATTTGCTCTAAATTAGAAGGTGAATTTCATGTCTTCTTAGGATGTCCACTGTACAATGTTGTGAGAAAACAGCTTATTAATAAACATATTTGGAAAAGACCAAATATACCAAAATTTATTGAATTGTTATAACATCTCAAAATGAAAATGTTATAAGAAAACTACCGATGTTTATCTTTAAAATGTTCGAATTAAGAACAATTGTTTAATACTTGTAAATTAAATTTGGAATTAATGTCATTATGTGAAACTTGTGCTTCAATTACACCAAGCTATAATATGGTTATTCTGTTCATATTAAACCAAACTTAGTCTCAATTATACATGTTAAATAGATGTTGTATATGTTTAATGACCTTGATATAACGTTTCAGTATGTTCTGTATGTATGTATTTATGTATACTGTGTACTCATAGGTATATAACCCACATGTATATTGTAATAAAATCTTTAAAAAATATACAAAATACTTATTCACTATTATTATACCAATTGCAAGGAAAGCAAAAGGAGTAAAGGTAATTCATCTATAATTATGGCAAATGAGAATTTTTTTATGAAACTGTAACACGACACCAAAATCAAACGTTTTTGAGAAATAAAAATGATAGCATTTCTGAGGTATAATGCAAATTTAAATTACCCTTAAATATGTATTTTAAATTGATGATGTATTTTGATAACAAATTTTAACACGGATGCATCATAAACAAAATTGTCAATTTCAAGCAATTGGGGAAATAATAATTCATGTAAGTATAACGTTACACGCGATAAATGCATGTATTCCAAAACATAGTATTTCGATTTTCATATTTTGATCTAAAAGCTACCCCTTTCTGCTAGTATTTCAGCACTCTGAACTTGTGAAGTGAACATGTCATTACGAGGGTGGTCTATATGTAAAATGCAAGATGGTCAATAAATTTTTCTTTTCAACCCATCGAAATTATCTTCTCCTACAGAAATACATAGACTTCAAACGATAAATCTAATTTTTAAATGCTTCAATATAGTCCTCCTTAAGTATACAAGTACATTTCAATAACTGAAAAATGGGCGGCCAAAGTTCATTTCAACTCTTGTAGCGATAACCTGCAAGATGTTTCTACAGTTTAGGGAAGAGGAAAAAGACATAGGGTGCCAATTCTGGCGAATACGGTGATGAAACAAATCAATTACAGTAGCTCATGTGCAGGAGCTGAAAATTAAGGCCTTTCATGAACGGTATTGAAGTGTTTTTCAATTGTTCTTAACACGGCATTTCTTTAATACCTGGATGTCACAGAATGGCCTTTAGAAGCAGGAATGTGGATTTCAGTTTCACGGGATGTACATAACTTTATTGACACGTGTCAATCGCTTGACTCGTTCCTATTTTGGAATTTATGTATCCACCTCAAAACAGTTGCATTAGATATTTCATTGTTGCAATTATAATTACAAATATCATTATAAACATTTGTAGCAGAATTTACTAGTTTTGCTCGAGCTTAATGATAGCTCGTATTTTAGCAATTTTAATTGAGCGTTTACCAACCATATTTTACATGAAGTTACTATTGTAAAGTATATATAAATGTGAATAAAATTCTTAATCGGTTGACTACACACATGATTTTGGTATCATTTGAAAGCAGATGCTTTGAAGCATAGCATAGTATAGATCACGAGCTAAATTAGAAAATATAGCTCAAATTGTATAACATATTGACTCTCGTATTTACAAAGTCTTGGTACTAGGACCCTGCCTGTGCGAATAATCGAAAATATTTCAATACAATCTACCTAAGATGTACAAGTACATTAACAGAATCTTCAATCATCACAATTATGACAATGCTGGTATTCGATTTCATTGTCAGCCATTATTTAAAAGAATATATCGAAAAGTCGTCATGTTGTCTTAGTTTATATTATCATTTTCCGCGTTAAAAAGCAAAATTCTATTACATTACAGGTTTGGATTCTCACCTCTTGAATATGATGTTTGCAGAGGTAAACATTCAGATACCCGCACGTGCTACGTTACTCAAGTGACTAACGTCTCGTGTTTTAACGCGAGGATTGCATTTGATGCGTGCAAGAGGCAGGCGCAAACTTTCAATTCTAATAAGAGTGACGTTAATGAAGCACGCAGGTATTCTAACTGGACACACCTACAGGCATATTACCATAGAAACGACGGAGAAAGACATCGCCCAGGAAAAATAGGGTATTCTAATTTTCTTAAATTACATTCTTCCCTTTATTGAAATCAAATGAATGTATTTATTAATTTATGACGTCATCATGAGCAATGCCTTTGATTGAGCAAGTCTGAAGGCAGAAATGGTTGTATCAGTGCAATGTTCACGTGCTCTGTTGTATGTCTTTCCGTTCGTCAGTCAAGCTACGTTAAGCACAAATGTGCAACATTGGTTGAATACCATTTGCTTCTTTCTGATGAGGTTTGTTTTTGTTAAAAAGAAGTATAATCGATCTATATATGATGCGTATAAAAGACATAGAAATAGAATTGGGTGTGAATATATATGACTAGACCCAGTGAACTTTGACAAGGCTTAGGAAATGCAAATGATCTTCTTTCACATTAGATCAAAAGACAAATTTTGCAGAGGGTTTTGAAACAAGCAAAATGAAACAGTGGCCATAAGTCATACAGGCTATCGTAGTGTTGTCGCTTTAAGTAACATCGTACATGATATTTTTTCATGAAAGTGACATTAAGGTTCTAAAGAGTTGTCGGCATTGTATCGTTATTTTACAGATCGTGTGTGGAGTTAAAACCAGGTGTTTGTATACAGTCACGGTGTTTGAAAACATGTTGCAAGGGTTGGTTTGAAGACGAAAATGGCCAGTGTACTAAATGTGGGTATATATGATAAATAATCAATGCCTTAGAATAATTTTTAGTTCGAAAATACTATTGCATGGTAAAAGTTTGTTAAAAAAAACAAACAACGCTGTGCGAAGTGTTACATTTTCAACTTTGAGTCCATTGATTATTTTGATATGTTTAATCTTTGGCGTCAACTGAAAAAGCGGTTGATATATCCCGTTTTTGGAAAGAAAAATAATAAAAACGTGTCACTGATCTCACATCAGAACAACTGTTGTGCATTAAAGACCCATTATTCCTCAATATGCTTTTACTTTTATTCCATTCCATTCAAAATACTACTTTGTTTATTTTTTGCTACTTTAATGACAAATAATTTCACATTCAACGCCACTACCTTCAGGCGAAGAACATCTTAGATTATTTTAAAATCATTTTTAAACGTTATAAAACTCATGTTTGCTCTTTCTTATGATATTTTAGAGGGGCTTAATGTGCCTTTAAAGTAAAGCAAACCCGTTTAACCAATTACTAGTATGATAAGGATATTTTTAAAATTTAGACAAAGCACGTTTTTCACATTTGATTGGCGGCATTCTTGTCAGACATGGTCACGTATTGCATTAAGAAACAATGAGTGCCATTCTGTTCAATTAGATTTTACTTGTCTAGAATTCACGGTGTTTTTTTCTCCAAAAGTTTCTTCTAACTTGTTATGTTGTGGTAAAAACTTGTTGGATTTTGTGTTACGACACATTCTTTAATAACTGGGTGGATTCTTTCATATTTCAATCAAACAGCCAGCTTCGGGAGGTGTCAGAATGGGGGCACTTATAACTGGAGACACAAAAACTGTGCTTGTTTATTCGGATTTTCGGGACAACAATGTGAAATAGGTATGTTTCTTTATATCTTGATGCATATGTATATATCTGTAATATTTGATAATTTGACAGTCGAAGACCCTTACGTTGAGGTTTTTTTTTAAATCATAATATTGAACTTTTGAAACACTGAATTTGACAGATTTCAACAGTATGGTATAGAATCGTGATGGTATAAAAATTTGACAACTAATACAGAATCAGATAGAATTAAATAAATGTTACTTCAGTAATGAGCATGCATGTAAGGATATTCAAAGGAGGCGGTACCATTGTCATCGAATCTGTATGAAAAATGTTCACACAATCCAGATCAGAATAGAAAAGTGGTCAAATGTTATTTTCTTGCAGCTCTGTGCCCTGGAGGATGCCTTAACGGTGGTCAGTGCACACCTGGAGCTAACGGTGAAAATGTGTGTACATGTCCGGCGGGAATTTACGGAGATAATTGTCAGAAAAGTAAGTTTAGATTTGTAATGTTTCATAGCTACTTTTGAAGAATTCTGATAATAGTCATAATACATATATACCATATGACTGTCAGCTTCCAGGTACTCTTGTTGAAATCAGCGTTGCTATGAACACATATCATTAATTTTGATCTTCATTATACACGGATATGATTTTTCCATTTTATTATTTTCCGTTCCATGTCACATAAGGATGAAAAAAAGATTTTCAAGTTTAAATTACTTGTTTTTCTATGTGTAGAAGTACCAAATAACACGAGTGACCTTTATCTAAAGTCAATATTTTAGAAACAGCCAAACTCACTCATTCTAATCAAATACTGATACTTTATAAAGAAACATTTGCATTTACCGACCATTTAAAGCAATGTACTTTCCCGTTGCATGCATCATAAAAAAAGTTTTAATTTAATAAAGAAACAAGAAGCATTATAAGGAAACAAGGAGCAATTAAATAAATTGTCATGATTTCAAGTAAAATGTAAAGTTTAACAAATCTTTATTCTAGTTCGTTGCCGGTATAAGTGTGAAAATGGCGGACAGTGTATCTTGGATGGTCCAATACCAACATGCAAATGTCCATATGGATACTACGGAAGAACTTGTGCCCATTGTGCGTATATTCAACTTTATTTAAAACTCTAACATGTATATGAAATACAAAAATATGTTATTTCATTTAATTTGTGATGCTAGATGAATAACCTATGGGGCCAGAGTTATTTCTTATGTCATTTTGCTGTGGAATAGCGCAAACGATTGTAAAACAAGAACATTGACAACTCACAGAAATTCAATAGATCAGAATATTTATAACAAAAGATATATAATTATATATAAAATATCATTAAGTTTGGTACCGATTGAAATGAAAACTTGGTAAAATCCAACAGTAGTTGCCACCATTAATGTATACTTCAGCGTACACTGGCGATTCTACTTGTCCACCACCTAATAATACCGTATGTGTCAATCTTAACTGTCAAGATGAATGCTACGCTGGGACATGCACATCCGGTCACGTGTGCTGCACTGATGGCTGCTGTATGAAATGTGTAAAACCCAGATCACCAGGGTGCTTGTTCAATGGCATTTTGTATGAACATCTAGATATTTTCAGAAAAGATAAATGCACGGTATGTTGCTGTTTTGTCTACCTTAAATTAGCATCTTCTCACGCTTGATAATACAGGGGAGACAATACTACTCCTTAAATTAGCATCTTCTCACGCTTGATAATACAGGAGAGACAATACTACTCCTTAAAATAGCATCTTCTCACGCTTGATAATACAGGGGAGACAATACTACTCCTTAAATAGCATCTTCTCACGCTTGATAATACAGGAGAGACAATACTACTCCTTAAAATAGCATCTTCTCACGCTTGATAATACAGGGGAGACAATACTACTCCTTAAAATAGCATCTTCTCACGCTTGATAATACAGGGGAGACAATACTACTCCTTAAAATAGCATCTTCTCACGCTTGATAATACAGGAGAGACAATACTACTCCTTAAAATAGCATCTTCTCACGCTTGATAATACAGGAGAGACAATACTACTCCTTAAAATACGATCTTCTCACGCTTGATAATACAGGGGAGACAATACTACTCCTTGAATAGCATCTTCTCACGCTTGATAATACAGGGGAGACAATACTACTCCTTAAATAGCATCTTCACACGCTTGATAATACAGGGGAGACACTACTACTCCTTAAATAGCATCTTCTCACGCTTGATAATACAGGGGGAGACAATACTACTCCTTAAATTAGCATCTTCTCACGCTTGATATCACAGGGGAGACAATTACTACTAACATGTATTTCTTAGATAACTCAGCTTATAATGTTTCTGTTGCTCTATTCTATTCTATTCCATTGTTTCGTATCTTATTCAATAGGAAACTTCATATGTTTTCATGTAATGTGTATCTTTTACAGGTGTGTAAGTGTTATCAAAACGGAACAACCAAATGTTATAAGAATCCTGTGTCAGATTCGGATTTGTACTGTGGTGAAGGTAACTTTATTTGACATCGCATGATGTCTATTATTTACCATCTTGGGCCAAGATGTTGATGCAGTTCTTCATATGGGGTCCAATATGCAAAATATGATTTACATGTATGATATTGTATTGGTCTGATATGTCAAACACTATACACGTGTGTATGTAATGAGAACATACCGGCCCAGTTTTTGAAACGAGAATACTAGTTATTATATTTAATATAGCAAAGGTAAATAAAGATGGAATTATATTTCTATAAATTTTGTTTATTAAATCAAACACTTTAGCATATAGCATGTATCGGCATATGGTATATTTGTCAAAACTTTCAAAAAAAATCAGACTGCAATGTTTTTGAAAAAATTGTAAATGCACATGTAAATAAAGTTAAACTATTATTTCACTATTATTGATTCAAATTATTTTCCCTCCTGGAAGAAATTTAAAGTGAAAAGTTCACTCCGGAAAACGACAACTCTCAGAATATGAGTGGCTAACGTTCGTAGTTTTTAGTATTCAGTACATCAAATATGGTGCGTTGTTCTTGTTGTTAAAGATTATCGCAATTTTAGGATTTTTAGATTTGTGTGAAAAAACTAGTCATTAGTGATAATATATTAGATTTGTCTCAATAAATTAGATTTGTCTCATTTTCAGGAAACACATCGCAGCCGACTCAACATCAACGTGAGTAATTTTCGTAAATTTGACAATGGTACTAATTAAACAATTTTTTTGGAGCTAGTTTCCTTTTTATAGCCCTTTATTTGTACCTTAACAAACCAAGCAATGTTTCCTTAAACAGTTATTGTTGTTTTGTTTCCTCAAAAATGTAGGTTTTTTTATTTAATTGAAACTGTACTTTTTCCACCACAAGCGCCCAAATTAAACTGCAGTGCTGATGTCATTCAAGTTCCGGTCTACAGGTTTTCAAAGTTCGCCTACATGAGGACATTGCATATACAAGCAAAAGATGAAAATGGTACATCACTAAAGGTACATCAATATCTCATCGCAACCTCTGATTTTGGTTGGTTCTTACTTTTCAAATACTAGATCTTTTACTTTCCTCCTCGCATGTGAAGCTCGTTCACATTATTTTGCAGCTGCTTTTTACAGTATTTGAAGCTGTGAACAAATGAATTTTCTTTGGCTTTACGTATGGAACGCCACAGCTGTTATATTTAAGGGTTTACTTGTTTTAACGTCAAATTAGTCAGTTAAAATTTGAAGCTGTTAATCATTATAACTATCAAATGAGTTTTAATTGATGAATGCATTTTGTTTTTTCTCAGGTTACGTATTACCCGGCGTTTATAATCCTTGATAAAATTCCGTTATCAAGAAGAAACATCGAACTTGTTAAAGTTGTCACCCAGGACAGTTTGGGTCACACAAACGAGTGCTATCAACGAGTCGTCGTCGTTGGTAAGTGAATATACACCATTCTATTCTTAGCAATTTTGCTACATCATTATTTTTGTTACAAAGGAATGCAAAAAACAGTCAAACTTTACAGAATTGTGAGATACCGTGGTCTAGAATGAATGAAATTATGTTATTAGAAATGATAATAAAATATCAAAAAAGAAACCAAATAGACAGGATCTGTCCAATAGAATTTTATTATTCTTGTCGTGCACCTGAAAAGCGTTTGTAACGCTTAGAAATTATAATAAGATATAAGGTCTCCAACAGAACAAAAACATCATGATGAACAAACAAGAACACAGCTGCAAGAAACGACCAGATCACGGTTATCTCTTTCTGTCGACATTCGAAAGGATCAATTTAAGCGTTAACGCTTTTTAATTCATTAAAATTCTTCAAATAGCAAAGAAATGAGTAAAAGTTTCACAAAATGCCAATATTTTCAATCCATGTCGTTTTCGACGTCCAATATATTCATGTATACAAACACGATTTCTGGTCGATTCCTCTGAAATAAACAGAAAACGTCTATAATTTCCTCATAAAATTCATAAACAAACTCTTTTTTTGTCGATCTGCGAAGTCTAAATTGAACTAGAGCCCTTTATGTACGTAAATATTTTAAAAATATTGGTTGTAGAAGCGGAGGTCAAGTAAAATGCGCCATTTTGATTTTGAAGTGACAGCTGAATAAAGCAAAGAAATGGTATTATACGATTGGTCAATAGTATTCCGATAATTATCTTAACCAATCAAATCCTTGTATGATATTCAGAGCGGAACAGTATATACATGCGCTATACATGGCGATAAAATACTGTCACAAGCGAGGTCCTTGTATATTTTTTAAAGAATTACGCATGTAGAGGGCTTTTGATCAGTTAAGACTCCGCAGATCGATAGGAAAAGAGTTTGTTTAAGGAACGTACGTGGAAATTCTAGCCGTTTTTTGTTTATTTCGTAAAAATCGACCAGAAATCGTGTTTGTATACATGAATGGTATGGACGTCGAAAACGACATGAATTGAAAATAATGGCATTTTGCGAAACTTTTCCGAATTTCTTTGCTATTTGAGGGATTTTAATGAAATAAAAAGCGTTAGCACTTGGATTGATGCTTTCAAATGGCGACCACAAAGAGATAACCGTGATCTGGTCGCTTCTTGCAGCAGTGTTCTTGTTTGTTCCGCATGATGTTTTTGTTCCGTTGGGGGCCTTATATCTTTATATACATATATAGACCGGTTATGTAAAATATTTGATTATGTGACTAGCGCCTGTGGTATGTACTGTACTAATTCTACATATTTAGCGTCATATATTTCCCATATCACCGAACTGAAAATGTATCCGACTGGAGAATACAACATTAGCTGGTATTTTTTAATATTTAAACATGTTATGTTATCCGAGCAAATGAGGCATAAAGAGCAATTCAAAATTGATTTTGAATCAGTTGCCATTTTAAACCCTTAGTTGGGAGGGGCTTTATACGTAGGTGTCAACTACTGTGGCTGATTTGGTACATTTCGCGTTGCGTTGTAGATATCGTTATCGCCTTTTCGTCTTGTCGCTAGCGACAACAGGACATAGCGCCAAACGGCATTGTCGCACTGTCGTTTTGTCGTCCTGTCTCTAGCGAAGCACGCCAAATTTCGCGTTGTCGTGCGGCGCGATGTCACCCTGTCGCTTGGCTTATAAGCTAATCCTTCGATTTGAGCCGTGCGACAATGTGACATCGCGACAACACGCCGCACGACAACACGCCGTTTTGCGTGCATCGTTATAGCGACAGCACGACAAGACGAAAGTCCGACAATGCGCCTTTCGGCGCTTTGTCCTGTTGTCGCTTGCGCCAACACGACGCACAAAAGTGTTTCAATTCATCACCATAGTCAACGGATAAAACCATTTGGAGAGCTATAATGGGCAGAAGTTATATGAGGAGTATATAACAGATTATCTATACTGCAAGTATTCACCATAGTGCTATAAGTGATTAACTCCTATTAAATTTAGGATTTAATCCATTATTGCACTAAGGTGACAAAGTGTCCGTCTAGGAACAAAACTCAAGTTAAAGGCCGCTATTCCATTTATACGTGATCAGTGGTCCGCGTCCGCTACCGATTCACTTATCAAAGAATACGTTGAATATATTCCTTTTGTCCGTTTACCATCCGCTTCCGCGACGGCATCCGCGACGTTTTGCAGGATGAGCGATTTTTTACGGACGCGGACAGTCACGGAAAGGTCTCGTCACGACAAAATGCCTCGAACGAAATTAAATACTTTATCGATTTCGAAAGAAAATACGAAAAAGCTCACCAAAATAATATTGGAAAATACTGTGATTCTTGCCTCTATTGCAGACGATACTCATCCCATGTTTGTGTATTGTCCAACGGATTCGGAAGTGAAAGTAGATTACCGTGCCACACTGACGTCAGTCCAACCAAGAGCACGTGACAATGTTGGTATACAACACCTATATTGTTACCCCTCGGATCAAACACTTCCACCTGGTCTCCATATAATCTCCTGTACAGCCGTCGACTATGACGGTAACCAAGCGTTCTGTCAAACAATAATCAATGTAACCAGGACAGAACCTACAGGTTAGTATATCAAACACGAATAAACCATTAAGGGTGTTTACTACGACATCCACACCGAATTAACGAATTTCTTCATAGGAAATAAAATAAATTTTGCAAAAATGTCAGGTTTTAACAAATCATTTCATTTGCCCTTTAAACAAGTTTTCAATTTTGAACGTCCTAATCATGCAGGAAGGTGAGGGTTTTTTTTTAATTAAACTATAAAATGAAGAGAAATAGAATCCCTTAAGAAAGTCCAAAGCGGCAAAATTGAAAATGTTGCAGGCTCGACTTGATTAAGATTGTTCATCGACGGTTCCGGAAAATGCAAGCTACAGTTAATGGCCCTTTAGCACCGACTTATGCAGAATACAACATTTAATATGAAATGGTTTAAAGCAAGTTTAAATTGAGACATCGCTCTGGATCGCTTTAGATCTGAGCCTAGGGTCGAAATTAAGGTAGCTATTACTCAAAACTGAAAAAGAATGTTCCTGATAATAACTAAAGATAGGAGTAAGATATTGTAATCAAACCTAGTAAATAGCAAGCTATTATGAGGTTATTTCAGGGCTCGCTAGGGTCAAGGTTAAGGTTACCGTTATTTGAAATAGAAAATTGGTTCCAAGAACATTTTTTATAAAAAAACATGAATTACAACATATTTAATATAAAACATTTAGTATTTCAAAAATGACCTTAACCTTTGAATGACCTTTACATCATAAGGAATGTTCACAAACATGTCATTGCCAATGACGATTGCGGATATGTAGGCCTATTGGTTAAACACTCAGTTTCTCATTTAAATTATTTCCAAAATTGAAAAAAAAGTCCTTTCCGGGACCCAATTTCGGCCAGATGATGACGTCATGCATACAGTGACTGTCAAGAAAACAATTTCTCAAATTGGGGCCTTGGAAAAGTAAACTGAATTGGTTTATACGGAATGCAAGTACGGAATACTGCAATATGTCCGCCCTCGCACATGAGAATCGCAAGCTATTAATCAGCCCTAGTGCAATCCACTTGAAATACTGAAAAATTGTATTGTTATACCACTATTTCAAGTTTTGACATAAATCATTTCATTTTTTATAATTAATGAATCCGTATAAATGGGGATTTTAAAACCTGAAACATAGTGAGCTATTAGTATCAAAGGGGGATACTCCGGCATCCGTCGTCCGTCGTCCGGCGTCATGCGCCAATAATCATCTTCTACACAGAAACCGATGGGCAGATTACTTCAAATTTAGACTGTAGCATCCTTGTGACAGTCACACTTAAATTTCCTCATGCCATTTCAATTGACCCCTTTTTAAGGGTCAACAGAGCTAAAAATAGAAATACCTGTAAACAACTTCTACTACTACATTAAATGATGGATGATCACTAAACGTCTCCTTCTATAGAACTAATTGATGGATGATCATCAAATTTTGTTTGTAGCATTCTTAGGTAGTTTTTTTATCAAGTTTGCTTATATTAATTTGATCGGCCCTTTTAGGGGGCCGCTAAATCTAAAAATAGAAATACCTTTAAAAGGCTCCTTCTACAGAACTAATTGATGGATGGTCATCAAATTTTGTGTTTGTAGCATTCTTAGGTAGTCCTTTATCAAGTTTGCTCATATTAATTTGATTTGCCCCTAAATCTAAAATAGAATAACCTTTGAACATCATTCCCTTCTGAAATAATTGATGGATAATCACCAAACTTTGTCTGTAGCATTCTTAGGTGGTCTTTTATCAAGTTCGCTCATACTAATTTGATTGGCCTCTAATAGGTGCCGCTAAAGCTTAAAATAGAAATATCTTTAAACATCTACTTCTACAGAAGTAATTGATGGATGATCACCAGACTTTGTCTGTAGCATTCTTAGGTAGTGTTTTATCAAGTTTGCTCGTATTAATTTGAGTACAAATCATATTAAATGATACTGAGAAAGAAGGAGGGGCAGCTAAAGTTAAAAATAGAAAAAAAACATTTGAACACCATCTCCCACTTATATTATTGATGGATAATCACCAAACTTTGTCTGTATCATTCTTAGTGGCCCTATTGTTTATTATGAAGAAAAAGAATAAAAACAACCAGTGTTGTGAAAGTATATTACTAGAGGCGCAAGTTAAAGTTGAGCTGAACTAACATTTCATCAAGTTCATTTGAAAAATAATTTCCAACACTGAAAAGCAGTTGTTGCTGGTGAGCGACTCAGGTAGTTTTTCTGATTCATTTTTTAATTAAATCTTGCTTTATATACATATTTACTTAAAGTAATTTACTTAAAATTTGCACGCAAGTATGTATGTATACGTGTACATGAAATTATACATGTACAAAAACGATACAAGAATTTCCTTATGGCACATTTTTAGATAAAATATTTGTAATTCTGTAATAAAATGTTTTCGAACTTTAAGATATACATTCATATTGCAGGCCAAATGCAAGATTTAGCTAAGATGATTTCTCAGTATCATTTAATATGATTTGTACTCAGAAATTAATTAATATATATATAGTATACTTCCGGAATAAGAATCTTTTTTATCTTGATATAAGATACTAGTTGTTTTTCTATTCATTTCATAGTTGATTCGGAGCCAATATTTTTATCATGCCCTAGTGATATATATGTTTCCGAGGGTGAGCTGGTGTCCTGGAGGAAGCCAGTGGCGTACGCTCACAGTGGTATCCGGTTTCTTGTTAGCAACTATGACCCGTATACGGTGTTTCCGGTAGGATGGTCAACTGTGCAGTATACAGCTACCGACTACAACAACAACAAAGGCCACTGCACCTTCAACATATACGTCTCCAGAAAAGGTAGGCCTACTTTTAATATAACTATGAATGTTTTAACATCTAGCAATTTATAGATTTCGCCGGCTGAATTTAAAGGTTTACAAGTATTTACAATAGATTTATTTCCACAATTTGTATCAATTATAACTTTTGAAAATGTTCAATCTATTTTTTACTTCTGGTCTTATTTATGCTTATTCGATATATGTACTAACAAGAACCACAGTCGGGGCAAATATCAAATAACTTTATACATGTACATGTGCTTTGGCAAATAAAATTTCACATGACACGATTTTAAATCATAGTGAGATATCCTTAACTAACCCCCCCCCCCCAAAAAAAAACAAAAAAACAAAAAACAAAAAAAAAAAAACAACAAAAAACATGCCCCTCCCCCCCCCCCCAAAAAAAAAGTAGATGTAATATGTGTTTATCTATAGTGGTCATCAGAAATCCATAGAGGAGACAACCCACTGCAGATATTATCACCTAAAATCTCAACTGAAAGGTTTGTAAGTAAATTAAGTTGGAATAGCCCGTTTTCGATTTATCCCTGGCATCGTAGTAAAGCATCAGCATTCATACAGATAATATCATTTCTATTTTTACAGACGGTGGCAGTACTACCGAGTCTCATATGACAAATACTATCCGAATTACTGGTGAGTATTTCTTTTTATTGGCCTGTCTATTCGTGTATCATCTGATGTAAAAGTACAGTGAAGTGCATTACTGTACAGTACAGTTCAATACAATGATGTACTGTAAAGTACAGTACAGTGCTGTAAATCACAGTACAGTATGTACAGTTCTGTTAAGTAAAGAACATTACACATTATTATATGATGATTATTGCGAACACCTGTATTACATTAATCCTCAAGAACTGGATGGTTAAACACTCAGATTTTCATTTACATTATTTCCAAAATTGAACAAAGTCCTTTCCGGGACCTAATTTCGGTCTTATGATGACGTCATGCATGCAGTGAATGTCTTTCTCAACTGTCAAGAAAACAACATCTCCAAATGAGGCCTTGGAAAAGTAAACTGAATGTGTTTATACGGAATGCAAGTATGGAATACTGCAATATGTCCGTCCTCGCACATAAGAATCGCAAGCTATAAATCAGCCCAAGTGCAATCCAAGTGAAATACTGGAAAAAAACTGTATTGTCATACCACTATTTCAAGTTTTGACATAAAACATTTCAAATTTTCATAATTAATGAAGCCGTACAAATTGGGATTTTTTTTCAAACCTGAAACATTATTTTTTTTAATTTTTTTTTCAAATATATTTTTCAAAATTAAATCTTGCTATACATACATATTTACTTAAAATTTGCAAGCAAACACGTATGTGTACCTAGAGCAAGAAACTTTACATTCATTGCTCAATACCCAGGAACGCATTCGACGTGTTTCAATAAGCTTATAGTTTCCAACATAATCGAACTAAAATAAATTTGTATAAACTAAACATGTATGTATACATGTAGAGTTTACATGAAATCATACAGGTGCAAAAACAATACAAGCATTTCCTTAATAAATTGTTTTTGAACTTTAAGATATAAATTCATATTGCAAATTTCATATGCTTTGTATTTAGAAATTAATTAATATATATACTTTCGGCATGAATAAGAACTTTTTTATCTTGATATAAAATATTAGGTTTTTTTCTCTTTTCATTTAATAGACGATACGGAGCCAATATTTTTATCATGCCCTAGTGATATACGTGTTTCCGAGGGTGAGCTGGTATCCTGGAGGGAGCCAATGGCGTACGATCACAGTGGTATCCGGTTTCTTGTTAGCAACTATGACTCGTATACGGTGTTTCCGGTAGGATGGACAACTGTGCAGTATACAGCTACCGACTACAACAACAACAAAGGCTATTGCACCTTCAGCATATACGTCTCCGAAAAAGGTAGGCCTAATTTTGTTTTATTTATGCTTATTCGATATGTGTACTGACAAGAATAGTAATAAAGAACCCCAGGCGGGAGCAAATATCAAATACCTTTATACATGTACATGTGCTTTGGTAACAAATAAAATTACATATGACTCGATTTTAAAGCATAGCGAGCTACTTTTAACAAAATTTAATGTTCCCCAAAAAAGTAGATGTAATATGTATTTATCTATAGTAGTCATCAGAAATTCATAGGGGAGACAACCCACTGCAGTAGGCTGTTAGTAATATTATCTTCTAAAAGTTTGTTACTAAATTAAATTGGAATAGCCCTGGTGTCGTAGTAAAACAATGTAACCATTGAACATCAGTTATACAGATAAGAATATCATTTCTATTTTTAGATACATACTCTCAAGACAGTGACAGTACTACCGAGTCTCATATGACAAATACTATCCGAATTACTGGTGAGTATTTCTTTTTATTAGCGTGTCTATTCGTTTATCATCTGATGTAAAAGTACAGTGGAGTGCATTACTGCACAGTACAATACAGTTCAATACAATGCTGTGCTGTAAAGTACAGTACAGTGCTGTAAATCACAGTACAGTACAGTGCTGTTAAGTAAAGTACAGTACACATTATTACATGATGATTATTTTGAAAGCCAGTATTACATTAATATTTCTTCAAGAACTGGATGGTTAAACACGAAAATGTTGTTCATTTCTGTTACAGTAACTTAGTTTCAAATATTCAAAAAGTAATTAGGCATCATTATAACTCGTCATTGACTGTAACAAGAAATCGAAATGTTCCACATTTGTCTTCGAAATTTGGAAGCCGATGTTTACTTTCTGCCATTTTTTACTTTAAGCAAATTACTTTAGGGTGTATAAAGCTATATGTCTGCTGTAAAAAATATTGTTTTAATTTAAGAAAAAGAATACGTTGTATTCCCATAATGCTTGTATGAGATAAATATGGTAATAATTAAATTGCCTTTAATTTGAATGGCGCATGCACGGAATCTGCTCCTACTTAAACTAGTACGGAGCATTTTATTCTGTTTACGTAAAATATTAATGTGCCTTAAATAAAAGAGTCATCATACGTTACCACTCTTTGGAGAATCGACCAAGCAATATGATTTTTTGTTGATATATTTTTATAAAAATATTTTATATCTCATAAGATATAGTTTTATACCCTTTAAATTGATAGGTACAGTTTGCCTTAAGCATGCTAAAATTGTGTAACGCAAATGACAGTAAAGGGACTCCACAGAGGTTTTTTGACATGATGGGACTGAAAATATTTTTTCCAGATAAATGTACCATTTGAGGAAGGTTTAGACAACTAATCTTTGTGAACAATTTCAGATCATTCGCGCGCTTCGTTTTTCAAGAATGATTATTCAAATTGTAAAAAATGACCCAAATGAAAAGCGTTTAAACACTTTTCACTCAAATCGGGCTAAGAAAAGCATAAAAATACGATTTTTTATTTATTTCAAAGTATATTTCTTAACTATCTTTGCATATATTTCTGTTTTAAGTGCCCGAGCTTATTTATGTAAGAAATTCAAATGTTATGTTTTTCGGCTTTTTAACCTCAGTGGAGTCCCTTTAAAATTACTAGCACTGAGTAGCAAAATATCAGTATATTATATGGATATGCATGCTGACCTCAACCATGTAATGGTGACACGAGTTGAGTTATGATAATTTACATTACAGTAGCCTGTGTGTCGTGTCTGGTGGTGATTCTTGTCGTAATTCTCGTAACGGTCATGCTGTACAGACGGTTCCGCACAAAACCATGTCAAAGTTCAAGGTCGCGTAGGTCTGGCAACAACAGAGGTCAAATTCCTATTCAGACTATAAGTAACGCTTTGTATGAGAGCACTGCTTTAGGTTTAGATGGACGTCCAATAGTGCCGACACTAAAACCACCACCATACAGTCCTGCAATTGATCCACCAACGTATGACGAAGTTTACGTAAATCCCTGCATACAGCATGATGGAAGTGACGAAACTGAAACTCCTCTCGAACGACCACCTGCTTATGATGTTGTGACGTAAACAGATTCTACATGTTTCGAGTTTTATTTGTATCTCAGAAAGACTGTTATAGATCTACGTTGATAAATGATCTACTGTCTATGTTAAATAATGCGTCCATTATTCGTTTATTTTGCATGTCATGACAATAATTATATATAGCATGTTAATGTCATATCGTTAGCTGCCGAAATACGGCATACTTCGCTTGTTTCCGTAATAGTCAAGCGCCCATGGAATTGATTATAAGTACGGAAAGGAGCAAAGAAAGCCGAACACATACGAGTGATGAACTCAATGATTAAATCTTGTTATCAATCCGTTTTTTTGTCATTGCAACATGCCTTCCATTTATTCTTTTTTCTCATTATTCATTCTTTAACTTTCACAGAAACGTTACAATCTACTAATGCTTGTACAAATAAATCATTATCGCTATTACTTTTAGTGTTCATTCTATCCAAACAAGATCAAGCTTTAATAATTTGTTAATTTTAACCGTTAATCTTCAGGAAACGAGAATGACCAGGCTTTGTCACGTATATAGAGCCAGGCCAGCCTGCACATCCCTTCAGTCTAGCCAGGCTCTATACTGTTGACATCTCAAAATGGACAATTCCAAATTTAAAGCAGCATGCCTCAAGATTCATGCTTATGTTCATAAAAAATTGAGCTTTTTTGATGTATTCAAAAGTAAAATACTGTGAAGGAAATTTACACATTGCAAACGGCACTAACAATCCATAAAAATGGAGGTCAATATATGCTCGTAGCCCTTATTGCGTTACTCACGCAGTAGAAATATTGTGACATTTACTGCAAAGTCAGCCATTAATCGCATATAACATGTAAATTTTACTTGAAACTTGAATCTTTTTCCTTTTCATGAAATATTTGTGCATTTTCTCAAGTTTGATTTTCCTGAAAATATTTGGCTCATTTTGAGGCATGCAGCTTTAAAGTGGAAGCTGGAAATGTCTAGTTATAATATCCAGCAGTTTAAGAGGGTATTGACTGTTTTATAATTTCTAAAAATTCATTTTTACATTATTTCTTAAAAAAAACATAGTAATGTTGTTTCTTAGCGATGTTTCAGATATAAAGAAAATAATCAGTAAATAATATATAAATCATCCCAGAAACGAATATATTCATTTGGAAAAAAACAAAGCACTTTTTTGTTGTTGTTTGGTTGTTTTTTGAAAACTTCTGTCTGTTATGTCTATTTTGTTTGTATGTATTTTTTGTGTATTTTGCTATCAGATTTAATAAAGCTGTTCTCTATTCTATTGGGTTGTAATTTGGTTTTGTTTTAGAACTCACCAGTGCAGTACCAAAATCCAGTGTTTGGAAAATGTTGGCAGCACATTGCAGGCGACAGTAGTTACTAGTAGTAAATTAGTATATGCTAAAATCTGTTAAGTATTAAGTCGGTATTCACGTTTGCTCACATTACTTCAAAGTAAAGCACACGTTATGAAAGGCCCATTATGCTCCCCAATAATGATTTTGTTGTCATTTTTTCAAACCTTTTAATTTTGGTGTCTTGTTATATAGTTTCCTGAAGTGATACTTATTGGACAAATACCAGAACTTTCTTTTGCTTCTTGGCAATAAGGACATTTAAAGTGATTAAGAATTTTGTGCAGAAGATATAAATACATGTTTTACTAAATTTGTACTTTGTTTACATTTGTTACTTTATTGACAAATAATGTCACAATAAGCGCTTCTTTCGTCAAGTGAGGAGCATCTAATATGCCGTGAAACTATTATTTTATTATTTTAATGTTATAAAACTCATTTTGCATTTCTAAAGAGTGAGAGAGTGAGAAATATATTTGTTTCAGAGGCCTGATTAATTTAACGGCAAGAATTCACAATTAATCCATTTAAATTCACCAGAGATAAAGGATAACTCAAGTGGAGTACCTCACAAACATTATAATTATAGGAGGGTGTTTCAGGTACTGAAAATGTGTAAGAACTATAAATATCCATATCTTTAGGCAGAATCCGACAATCTAAAATGTTAAGTCATCAAATACTTCTTATCGAACATCGAAAGACAAACAACAGTAGCATATAAAGCTTTATCATCTTAATAAGCAAATTAATCAATGTCATTTAAATGATATGAAATTACAAGTACAATGTTTTACTATTTCCAATCAGATCTTTAAATATCTAGAAAATGGTATGTAAATTAACATAAATATCTAGTAAAATAATTATGAAAAATGACAGATTTATTTAACAGGAATCAATGAACCACCAAAAAGGGAGCTACTTTACTATAACTGACACGTACACTGTAGTTATTTCCCTTTCGCTGTGGTTCCAAATATAAAAATTTGAATTTCTTGCACTTCAAAACTATACCAAGTATATATAATGATGTTTTTTTTCGGCCGAAGACCGGCTAAAATTAGTTTCACTTCCTGTAAGATTTACAGGGAAGAGTGGAATATAAGTAGAGTTTTCATTGGTCATTTCAAAATTTCAAATTGTAATCTGGGAATTTCATTGGCCATTCTAAAATAAGTAAAGTAATATCAAGGATTTCTGAAATGGTTTAGGCGTCTAAATTTTAATTAATCTAAAGGAATTCCGGAAACGAACTTTTTCCTAAAGTTTCTCACATTTTTTAAATATTAAATTTAACATTTCTTCATGAATTAAAAGCAGATTAATCTCGGCCGATTTTTTTTATAAAGAGACATGTACTTCATGTTTCTATTGTGTTAATCACTGTCTGATTGTTCCGTTGTGTGTTTAATATGTCACGTGATTTGTTGAATATGTCACGTGATCTACATGAACCATGACTTTAGATATGTTAGAATGCTAGATACCAGCACAGCAGGCAAACTTGATAATACCGATGCAAGCAAATAATTGACTTTCATTTGTAGAACACAAAGCTTTGAAATCTATATACTTATGTTACATCCATCTATAACATATAGATCTATATTTATGTGATATTCACGCCGCGTCTTCTCCAAATACGTCCTTTATAATTTTGGCGTGATATGTCCTTGAATACTATAATTAGAAACATTAAACCGGAAGCCACTGTGAGAATGATAGCAGTGATAGCTAAAGCCAGAGACCAGGTCCAACTGTATTCTTCGAGGGTCGGCATGGAACAGCCTATTGTTCTACCAAATATAGCCGTGGATATCTGTGTTGATAGTGCTAAAAATAACAAATGCATTCTGATAGATTTGTTTTCATTATTTGAGTGCGGATACTATATTCTGAATGAGAGATACACATAACAATAATTTTATAAATAAAAACTACCTTTACATTACTGCAGTACAGTACGTATAATCTAACATTCCATCTGGATAACAAAGATTATCAAACGTAGAATATCTAGTGTAGTATTCTATGGTTAAAGTAGTCCGTCAAGAACACCACAAAAAGTAGTCCTAGAATTTTTAGAGCAGTAATAACTATCAAAGAACATATTGTAAAACATAGACGTAAATGTGCATTTTACAAGTATGTTAAAAGTTGTATTTGCTAAGCATTGAATTAAAAGAACAAGTGTGAGTTATCTATGGCTGTCAAGACACTTTCTCAACACTACTGTATTTGCTAATTATATTCTTATTCATATGAATACATTATATATTATACAATAGTTATTCTAGTAGTACATTAAATGGTTATAATTCATTATCAATACAGTCGACTCCCGTTATCTCTAAGTCGTTTGGACCGTCGAAGAAAAGTCGAGATAACAAAGTGTCGAGAAAAGCGTATGAGCCATAATGGATAAGATGAAACAAGATACTGGTTTTTGTACATCAGGCATGTATATACCTTTCAGGTTCGTCAATTTTGTTTTTGTTTTTCTTAAGGATACCATGTAATTATCTTACAAGTTATTCATTTGTACATGTACTTAATAATACAAAATCTGTGCAACATATATTGTTTACATTACCCGAGATAAAGGAGAGTGTGACACAAGAAATGCCAAGGCATCGTTTGCTGTCCGGTTTTTTAATGTGCATGTACAACAGAATAGTTACAACCAGTCCACAAATCACACCCACACCACCAAATATTCGAACAGAATTAACACAGTCTGAAAATAAATTAAATGAAAGTGTAGACGTAAATTACAAAATTATTTCCTACGAAAATGTAATGAAACTTTAACTATCCAACTTAAATTTACAACTTGACAATGATTTTTCATTCATTGGAAATTCTAAGCTAAACATTGCCAAAAAAACACAATGTAATTCATTTCCGAATAAGAATAAGAATTTTTTTTTCAATACTAGAAGATATAAAAGTCATTTTATTTAAGTTTTTGTAACACTTATTTTATTGCAACTTTGTAAAAAGTATCAAATATATTATGAGTAAAGAATTTATAACACTGCACGTTTCTAACATTGCTTACCATTGGATAATCGAGGCGTTTATATAAACGTGGCTCTAGTCAATATCATTATGAAGTAAAGTAATAAAAATAGATTCGTTTTAAAGAGGTCTGACGAAGGTTATATGGCCGTGTAGAAATGTTGCTAGCAATATAACCCTTGCTTAGCGGCTGTGGTTATATAAGCTAACAGAACCATATAATTTTATAACTAATAATATCCATATAATGTACACTTGCGAAAAATAAAATCAGGCATTTTTTTAATTACATTCTAAGGAATTGTCATGCAAATGAAAGAGTGAACGTGTTTTTTTCACTTAAAGTTTATACTCAAAAAAAAGGAATTGTTAAAGATATAGTTTTTATCATTATTCAAAATTCAATAGCACCTATAGGGTGGCATGATTTAATCTATAAATGTAAAGCGTAGCTTATTTTGAACTTTATTCTCTGTTGCATAAAAATCACATTATTCTGCTGATAAATATATATTTACTGGCGAATTTGTCGCGCGAAAATTTTTTAATGTCACTCATCTAATAATTAATACTTTACCTGTAGCTTCGTTTCGAAAAGTGCAACTTGAAATGGACTGACAAGAACTCCAGATTCCAATAGCCATGACGTCACCAGTAGCATCTGTAACGGCTAACCAATAAGGTGTCCCGTAAGAAAGCACTTGAAAGAGATAACCAATCAAGAACGATATTACCGATATACGCCACAGCCAATCGGTTGTTTCAAAATTTTGACGTAATTGTCCCTTTTCTTTGCTTTCTCTAGCTTCAATAGTTTTCACTTGATTATTTTCGTCAATAACAACTTTCTTTTTCACTTTATCGTCTGCTACTTTTTCTTCCTTACCATTCTTTGACTCGTTCTCAGAAACCTCGTCCAGAATATCCATTTCTATTTTGATTATTCCTTTACTTGCAAGAAAAAGCGTTTAAAGTTTAAATATGATCATCACAAAGTTGTTTCAAAATACAACAAATATGTGTTTGCCAAGAATACTTTGCAATTTAACGGTTCTCTAGATAAGATAAATATTATATTTCCTCTTTTAGTTAAGTTTCACATTTCAACAGTCCCCTTTTTAAAATAATTTCCAAAACATTTTTGTATCAGTTTCGACAATTCAACAAGACTAACGTATCGATAACTGGTCCGTACCTTTTCTTTTATTTATTTATTCAAAATAGCATGTAAATATTGCTTATCCGTGACAGATTACAACTCATTGAACATGAATAGGAAAATAGAGGGGACGAAGAACGGTTGACTTTGCATTCAAAATGATAATTTATCACAAAAATACGAGCTTTATAAATGAGAAAATCTCAGCCGAATGTCAAAGATTTTCTTATATTAGGTAATTGAGCATAGATTCAGTGAAAGCTTTAGCAAGTTTCCTAGGTTGTTGATGACATAATAATAGTACAAATGACTTTATCAAGATCAAAAGTGTTAATGGCTTTGTTAAATATAACATTTTATTACACTGCTCAGAGCCCTGTTAGAACAATCGATGGCTGCTTGTAATATCACACATACTGTGAATATACAGATTGAATTAACAAAAACTATTAATGTTTAATATTAAGAAACAAACAAATTTTAAGAAAAAGAAAACATTTTTACAACAAAAGGTAATCAATATTTAATACATTCGATACATCCAGTATTACATGTATGTCAGCAGACATTATTTGATACAAAAATAGCTTTAATCTACATTTTACAGCTCAATATCTAACATCTTCTGTAATATGTTGTTTTATTTTAAGTCGTAAATTTCAGCTTTCGCCTTTGTTGGTCATAAATAGTTATGTAAAACCGCATATAATGGGCATTGCTATACAAATTTATTCAAGATTTTAGATCATTGAGATTCAATTTTTATAAATCTCGGTTTGATTAAGCACTGTGCATATCTCAGCATATCATTATAGTTAATGTTATCATAAATGAATTATAGTAATCTTGAAGCCGATGTTTCTCGGTGAGATGATCTCAATATTCATGTACAATGTATACTCTTTGGTATATTTTTTTCTCCTTTTTTCTACTGAACTGTTTTTTTGCTAGACATATATGCATGCGTTTTAAAGCTGCGTGGATCAAGATGAGCAAAAAAAAAATTAATGAAAATGTACTAAGCTCAGTATAATGTGTTTATTGAACAATACCCATATAGTCATACAGATTTTTCACTGACAACTGCTGAAATAACCAGGAACATTGTACACTAAATATTACTATTTCAATGAATATTGTGCATAAAATAATTTTCATGTATTAACTGAACACTACTCTGACTACCATGAACATTGTTAACTGATCCCATGAACATTGTTAACTGATCACTACTATCATACCATGAACATTGTTTACTGATCACTACTATTCATAAACATTGTTTATCGAACGCTAGCTTCATTACTATGACATTATTCACTGAACTTTAGTTTCATTACCATGCACATTTATGGAAAGCCTTGACTGTCTTATAGTTATAAACCTAAACGTTGTTATGTCCATATAGCAATATATTGAGTCAACCTTTCCTTATACAATGTGCACTCATTAATATATTATGTGGATCCATCTTTATATGTAGTCAACTGAACAATATATGATGTCAACGTGCCTTTATATGATGTCAATATATCATTATACGTTGTGCATTTTTGAATATATAATGTGGAGCCATCCTTATATAAGGTCAAAACAACAATATATAATGTCAATCTGTCCTTATATGATGTGAAGTTATGAATATATTATGTGGAATAATTCTTATATAGAGTCAACATTATATGATGTCAACGCGTCCTTATATGATGTCATTCTATCATTATACGATGTGCATTTTTCAGTATATTATGTGAAACCATCGTTATATAGAGTCAACTTAACAATATATGATGTGAATATGTCCTTATATGATGTCTGTTTTTCATTATATGATGTGCAATTACGAATATATTATGTGGAACCATTCTTATATAGAGTAAAAACAACATTATATTATGTAGAACCGTATTTATATAGAGTCAACTTAACAATATATGATGTCAACACTTCCTTATATGATGCCAATCTTTCATTATACGATGTGCATTAATAAATATATTATGTGAAACAATCTTTATATAGAGTCAACTTAACATTATATGATGTCAACACGTCCTTATATGATGTCAATCTTTCATTATATGATGTGCAATTACGAATATATTATGTGGAACCATTCTTATATAGAGTCAAAACAACACTATAGTATGTAGAATTGTCTTTATATAGAGTCAGCTTAACACTATATGATTTAATTTACTTTGAGTTTTCCCGCTGTTGCCACGAACGGTGCATAGTGAGATATAACCTTGTAAATTTAACCCCATCAGTATAATGACAGAAGCACACCATATAATGATGTTTGCACTTCATATAAAGCAGCGGTCGTATAACAATAGATGCACATCGTATAATGAAAGATTGACATAATATATTGATAAGTTGACTGTATATAATGATGCAACCACATAATATATTCATAAATGCACATCGTATAATAATAGATGCACATCGTATAATGAAAGATTGACATAATATATTGATAAGTTGACTGTATATAATGATTCTACCACATCATATATTCATAAATGCACATCGTATAATGATTGGTCGACATCATATAAGGACACATTGACATCATATATTGTTCAGTTGAATTCATATAAGGATGCATCTACATAATATATTCATGAGTGCACATAGTATAAAGAAAGAGTGACACAACAACGTTTATTTTTACAATCATAAGACAGTCAAGGCTTTCCATACACATTATTAACTGAAAGATAGTTTCATTACCATAAACATTGTTCAATGAACACTTGTTTCAATTCATGAACAATATTCACTGAAAGCTAGTTTCATTACCATGAACATTATTCACTGAACACAAGTTTCATTACCATGATAATAATTCACTAAACGCTAGCTTCATTACCATGAACATAATTCACTAAACACTTGTTTCATTACCCTGAACATAATTCACTAAACACTAGCTTCATTACCATGAACATAATTCACTAAACACTTGTTTCATTACCATGAACATAATTCACTAAACACTTGTTTCATTACCATGAACATAATTCACTAAACACTAGCTTCATTACCATGAACATAATTCACTAAACACAAGTTTCATTACCATGAACATAATTTACTAAACACTATCTTTATTATTATGAACATAATTCACTAAACACTTGTTTCATTACCATGAACATAATTCACTAAACACAAGTTTCATTACCATGAACATAATTCACTAAACACTAGTTTCATTACCATGAACATAATTCACTAAACACTTGTTTCATTACCATAAACATAATTCACTAAACACAAGTTTCATTACCATGAACATAATTCACTAAAAACAAGTTTCATTACCATAAACATTATTCACTGAACTCTAGTTTCATTACAATGAACATTATTCACTGCACACAAGTTTCATTACCATGAACATTATACACCAAAGACTTGTTTCATTAGAATGAATATTATTCACTGCACACTAGTTTCATTACTATGAACATTATTCACTGCACACCTGTTTCATTACAATGAATATTATTCACTGCTCACTAGTTTCATTACTATGAACATTATTCACTGCACACATGTTTCATTACAATGAACATTATTCACTGAACACTAGTTTCATTACCATGAACATTAATCTCTGCACACTTGTTTCATTGCCATGAACATAATTCACTGCACACAAGTTTCATTACAATGAACATTATTTACTGCACACTAGTTTCATTACCATGATAATAATTCACTAAAGACTTGTTTCATTTTAATGAATATTATTTACTGCACACTAGTTTCATTTCTATTAACATTATTCACTGCACACTAGTTTCATTACCATGATAATTATTCACTCAAGACTTGTTTCATTACAAGGAATATTATTCACTGCACACAAGTTTCATTACAATGAACATTATTCACTGAACACTTGTTTCACTACTATGAATATTACTCACTGAAGACTTGTTTCATTACAATGAACTTTATTCACTCACTCTAGTTTTATTACCATGAACATAATTCAATGCACACTAGTATCATTACCAAGAACATGGTTCATTTTACATAACCACATACTTTTATTACCATGGTCATAACTAAATATGTATGTGAGAAGTTAGCAGTTAACAGTGAGCTAAGCAAAAAGGCATTACGATTTATATAGGGAAATCAATGATCTGCTGTTATGCTCAGCTGGGTAAGCAATCTAGCAGAGCATTCCAAAATAAAGTGTAGAAATTCTTTGCTGGTATGCTCAGCTGGCTAAGCAATCTAGCAGGCAATTCCTAAATAGAGTGTAAAAATGCTCTGCTGGTATGCTTAGCTAGCTAGGCAATCTGGCGGGGCATTCCAAAATATAGCGTAAAAATGCTTTGCTGGTATGCTCAGCTGGCTAAGCAATCTAGCGGGTCATTCCAAAATATAGTGCAAAAAAATGCTCTGCTGGTATGCTCAGCTGGCTAAGCAATCAAGCGGGGCATTCCAAAATATAGTGTACAAAATGATCTGCTGGTATGCTCAGCTGGCTAGGCAATCTAGCAGGGCATTCCTAAATAAAGTGTAAAAATACTCTGCTGTTATACTCAGCTGGCTAAGCAATCTAGCGGGGCATTCCAAAATATAGTGTAAAAAGCTCTGCTGTTATGCTCAGCTGGCTAAGCAATCTAGCGGGGCATTCCTAAATATAGTGTAAAAATGCTTAGCTGTTATGCTCAGCTGGCTAAGCAATCTAGCGGGGCATTCCAAAATATAGTGTAAAAATGCTCTGCTGTTATGCTCAGCTGGCTAAGCAATCTAGCGGGACATTCCAAAATATAGTGTAAAAATGCTCTGCTGTTATGCTCAGCTGGCTAAGCAATCTAGCGGGGCATTCCAAAATATAGTGTAAAAATGCTCTGCTGTTATGCTCAGCTGGCTAAGCAATCTAGCGGGGCATTCCTAAATATAGTGTAAAAATACTCTGCTGTTATGCTCAGCTTTCAGGAATTTTGCTCAGCTTTCAGGAATTTTGGTGTCAATGCAGAAAATGATATTTCTGACTTATTGGGACCTTCCTGAAGCCATTTTTTGGTCTGCGACTGATTCTGAGGCACTCACAGACTTTCAGGAATTTTTGATGTCAAGGCAGATAATGACATTTTTTACTTCTAGGGACCATCCAGGGTCCATTTTTTTGGTCTGCGACTTATTCTTGGACAGTCACAGACTTTCAGGAATTTTTGGTGCCAATAGAGATAATTACAATTTTGACATTTTTGACCATCCAGAGTCTATTTCGTTGGTCTGCGACTGATTATTGGGCACTTGCAGACTTTCAGGAATTTTTGGTGCTAATGCAGATAATGACATTTTAGAGTAAAAATGCTCTGCTTATGACTAAGGGGTCCTTAAAAGTAAAAAATGTCATGATCTGCAATGGCACTAAACATCCTGAAAGTCTGCGAGTCTCAAAGAATCAGTCGCAGACCCAAGAAATGTACTCTGGCGGTTCCCTAGAAGTCAGAAATGTCATTATCTCCATTGGCATCAAAATTCCTGAAAGTCTGCAAGTGTCCCAAAATCAGTCGCAGACCAGCGAAATGAACTCTGGTGGGTCGCTAGAAGTCAAAAATGTCATTATCTCCATTGGCACCACAGATTCCTGAAAGTCTGCGAATGTCCCAGAATCAGTCGCAGACCATAAAAATGGACTCTGGCGGGTCCCTAGAAGTAAAAATTGCCATCATCTCTATTGGCACCAAACTTTCCTGAAAGTCTGCGAGTGTCCAACAATACGCTGCAGGCCAATGAAATGGACTCTTAAAGGTCCCTAGAAGTCAAAAATATGATTGTTTCCATTGGCACCAACCATTCCTGAAAGTCTGCGAGTGTCCGAGAATCAGTCGCAGACCAACAAAATGGACTCTTGAGGGTCCCTAGAAGTCTAAATTGTCAATATCAGCATTGGCACCAAAATTCCTGAAAGTCTGCGAGTGTCCATCAAAAAGTCGCAGGTAAATGAAATAGTCTCTTAAAGGTCCTTAGAAGTCAAAAATATCATTATTTCTATTGGCACCAAAAATTCCTTAAAGTCTGCGAGTGCCTCAGAAGTGCCTAGAAGTCGAAAATGTCAATAAAACGTTGGCAACAATAAATCCTGGAACTCAGAATCAGTCTGCCAGCTGAGCATTCCAGAAGAGCTTATTAATACTATAATTCAGAATGCACCGCAAGATTGCTTATCCAACACAGCATTTTCACACTATTTTTCAGAATGTTCTGCTAGGTTGCCTAGCCAGCTTAGCATTCCAGCAGAGCATTTTTACACTATATTTAGTAATGCTCTGCTAGATTGCCAAGACAGCTGAGTATTGCAGCAGAGCAATTTTACACTTTATTTAGGAATGCCCTGCTAGATTGCTTAGCCAGCTTAGCATTCCAGCAGAGCATTTTTACACTATATTTAGTAATGCCCTGCTAGATTGCCTAGCCAGCTTAGCATTCCATCAGAGCATTTTTTCACTATATTAAGGAATGCCCTGCTAGATTGCCTAGCCAGCTTAGCATTCCACCAGAGCATTTTTTCACTATATTAAGGAATGCTCTGCTATAGTGCCTAGCCAGCTGAGCATTCCTGCAGAGCATTTTAACACTATATTTAGTAATGCCCTGCTTGATTGCCTAGCCAGCTTAGCATTCCAGCAGAGCATTTTTACACTATATTTCGTAATGCTCTGCTAGATTGCCTAGCCAGCTAAGCATTCCAGCAGAGCATTTTTTCACTATATTAAGGAATGCCCTGCTAGATTGCCTAGCCAGCTGAGCATTCCACCGGAGCATTTTTTCACTATATTAAGGAATGCTCTGCTATAGTGCCTAGCCAGCTTAGCATTCCAGCAGAGCATTTTTACACTATATTTCTTAATGCTCTGCTAGATTGCCTAGACAGCTTATATTCCAGCAGAGCATTTTTACACTATATTAAGTAACGCCCTGCTAGATTGCCAAGCTAGCTTAGCATTCCAGCAGAGCATTTTTACACTATATTTAGTAATGCACTGCTAGATTGCCTAGCCAGCTTAGCATTCCAGCAGAGCATTTTAACACTATATTTAGGAATGCCCTGCTAGATTGCCTAGCCAGCTAAGCATTCCAGCAGAGCATTTTAACCCTATATTAAGTAATGCACTGCTAGATTGCCTAGCCAGCTGAGCATTCCACCAGAGCATTTTTCACTATATTAAGGAATGTTCTGCTATAGTGCCTAGCCAGCTGAGCATTCCGGCAGAGCATTTTAACGCTATATTTAGTAATGTCCTGCTTGATTGCCAAGACAGCTGAGTATTGCAGCAAGCCAATTTTACACTTTATTTAGGAATGCCCTGCTAAATTGCTTAGCCAGCTTAGCATTCCAGCAGAGCATTTTTACACTATATTTAGTAATGCCCTGCTAGATTGCCTAGCCAGCTTAGCATTCCACCAGAGCATTTTTTCACTATATTTAGGAATGCCCGGCTTGATTGGCTAGCTAGCTTAGCATTCTACTAGAGCATTTTTACACTATATTAAGTAATGCCCTGCTAGATTGCCTAGCCAGCTTAGCATTCCAGCAGAGCATTTTTACCCTATATTTAGTAACACCCTGCTATATTGCCTAGCCAGCTTAGCATTCCAGCAGAGCATTTTTACACTATAACTAGGAATGCTCTGCTAGATTGCCTAGCCAGCTTAGCATTCCAGCAGAGCATATTTTCACTATATTTAGTAATGCCCTGCTAGATTGCCTAGCCAGCTCAGCTATCCAGCTGAGCATTCCAGCAGAGCATTTTAACACTATATTTAGTAATGCACTGTTAGATTGCCTAGCCAGCTGAGCGTTCCAGCAGAGCATTTTAACACTATATTTAGTAATGCACTGTTAGATTGCCTAGCCAGCTGAGCGTTCCAGCAGAGCATTTTTACACTAAAGCTAGGAATGCTCTGCTAGATTGCCAAGACAGCTGAGTATTGCAGCAGAGCATTTTTACACTATATTTAGGAATGCCCTGCTAGATGCCCAAAACAGCTGAGCATTACAGCAGATCCTTGACTTCCCTATATAAATTGAAATGCCTTTTTGCTTAGCTCACTGTTCACTGCCACTAAATATCTACTACTGGACAAGACTTAATTAGCGCTACTCACATAGTTTTTTTTTTTACTGAACACTGTATTCTCATAAATATGAACAATGTTCACTGACGAATGCTTATAAAGCTATGAATATTGTTCACTAAACTCTACTTACCTAACATGTTCACATTACCATGAAAATTAATAACTGCACTCTACTTGCACTACCTTGAACCTTGTTCATTTAATACTTCTCACATAACCATGAACAGTATTTACTGAACATTTACTACATTGCCATGAACATTATGCATTGGACACTTCACACTCTAGCTTTAAACATTTTCACTGACAATAACTCGCATAAGCATTAGCTTTGTTCAAGGGACAACTCAGATGACCATATCCATTCTATACGGGACAATGTTCACATAATGGACTTATGAATATCTGATTTGTAGTTATAGTCAAACTAATTTTGGTGAAAATACATTCAACTTTTTACACTTGTAAAGTTGTGATTGTTAATTATGAATTTTGAGAACAATGTATTTTCTTTAAATGATATTTTAATAGAATACATAGGCTAGAACCATTATTGTTGGCCATGCCATGAAATAAAAACAATAGCATAAAGCAAAAAAAATCTAAAACAAACCTTCAAATTAGCATTACAAATGTACATGACTATTTTACATGTTAACGCGACTGATCATTAGTTATCAATCTTATAAGATCGATATCAAATCGATGTCATCATTCAAATGAACGCAATTTACCTGGTGAATAACACTGGTCAGAATGTAGAGTCAATCCTAAAATCACTAGAATTTAGTAGCCGTCAATATTTTGTAAAATCGTACGTTAATAAACTTTCAGGAAAAAATGTGAGTATATTTATATTAATATTTTTGCATGATAAATGTAGATAATAATATATTGTTTATAAAAATCCATTTCTCACGAGAATGACTGAAATATTTCGTGCAATTTGTAAATTTTAAAAAACAAATTATACTTTGTGAACTATTTTGTCGTTTTTGTACCGCTTATATCAATGACATCGGAAGAATTTTTGGCGATTATAGAAACTTAATATTAAAATGATCAAAACATCAGGATAAAAACCGCAATCAACCTTCTAAATTCAATACAGAGAAAAATCTAATATAAATTATATACTGAAGTTTTAAGAATATGAACCCTTTCCTGTTTTTATTTGTTTGGGTCGTCAGACCAAACAAATAATGGTAGCGAAATTTCAGACTCTAATGCTGTTAATTGCAAATGCCGAAAGTAGTCCGCTTTTTTGAAGCGGTTACTTCCCTTTATATGTAACACTAAGGCCGAAAACTTCAGGGGAGATCACTGCGTAAATGTGGTCACATGACATGCGCATTAATTTTCAAGCAAAATAATTCCCGAATCGTCGAAGATTTCTAATATTGTTTTATTCTTTATAGATATACATGCTTATAGTAAGCGCCATGATTATTTACAGAAGTGTTTAACAACAGTTAGCGTCGTTACAAACCGTAATTTAGAATAATATGGTTTTCTCCAGGCCGTAAACATATCAATTCACCGTGGCCGAGGGGTTTGCGCGCTCGCTTAGGAAGCGAGAGGTCTGGAGTTCAAGTCCCAGTTGAGGCAACTCATTTTTTTTTTCAAATTGTTTAAGTCAAATAAACATTGGATTGAATATCAGTGTTGCAATTAGTCTTATAGCCAATCTACTACAATTAAAATGCTGGAAAGCATTGGTGGCACTATACAAAAACAAATTGTTTTATAATCCCACAACACTTACCTTTCTGACATTCTGAGACCCAAACAAATTCAGTGCCTTCTGTGCTTTGATTTATCATTTGTGAACAGCTGTGGTTCACAAAAAGGAAGATTATGAAATTGTTTTGAAAAGAATGTAAAATTAAAATATATTTTCACAACATTCGTACAACTGATCTTTTTAGGAATATTGCCGTTTCTATAAGTTGCCTTTTTGTCACAATGGCACTTTTTGTCCGAGGATATCCGACAGGCGCGCCGCCTGAAGCTTGCCGCCAAATGATACCGGGACATGGGGTACCAGCGCAAACAGGAACAAGTAACCCTTACAGAATAATGACAACTAAAACAACCTTCAGTTGTCCAGGGGATACGGTTACAGGTCAGATTGATAGATTTTTTATCTTTAAAAGTTAAAAGATATTTTTCCTTCTCTCGAAATATTCAATTTTAATGTTTTCTTTTGGTGCTGATAACATTCCGTATTTTGTATTTTAGAACTAAACACATTTGTGTAATAGTTGTCACATAGGAGAACCAGCAACGTCGTTCATGTATCTATAACATTGTATTTTGAATAAGAGACGGGAAGAAAAATCTGTGCATACTAACATTTCACTTTTATTTTCATTTTCTATAGTTACGGTAACTGGTAACAGTTTTCGTGGTTTTCTTTGCCAACCCGTTCCAAATACCGGAGAGTTGCTACAAAATCCACAGGATCCAGTACAAAAACAAAATAAATGTGGCCAGGTATCAGTTTCATTTCAAAATGTTACTTTATACGAGTGATTTTCAATTTTCTAAACCTATGCCTTTCCATTGTAACTGGTCAATAGCCATTTAGTTGGTTCATTACAATTTGTTTCTACGATCTGGAACCATGTTTCCGCAAAACGATTTCTTGATGTTGCTCAAAAGCTAGAATCAAAACTTGATGTACAAATAGATGTAATCATTTATTTCTTAAAATTATTCATTGCATGGCACTAGTTTAGAGAGAATGAGTTTCTATAAAATAGTCAAACCAAGGAGTTATCTCCCTTAAATGATGATGATATCTTTCTTTATTGTAGATGGCGTCTCTCACGCATGATGACAATTCTATTAAATCAAGTGTCTCATTCATCTGGAAACCACTTACAACTCAGTCTGTCAATATTGTGTAAGTTTTGTCAATTGTATATCGTCTTCATATTTTCCGAAGTTCTAAGTTATCTTTCTGTTTATGTCTGCATTAAAGATTCTGCAAAAGATATACATTTATGTTTTTGGTTTGTTTTTGCAGCTGCACTGTTGTTCAAACAAAACTAAACTTCTGGACAAATGTGTCTTCGACTACATTAAGATATATTAAATCACGATGTCAACCGTCTAGAACTGAAGCGACCGAACAAGCAGGAAGTGATGTTAAACAAGTGACTGCAGTCATTAACACTGAAGATGTTGGAAAAGATAACGTACCGGACACAAGAGTCAATGTTCCAGACTCGAGAACGGATCAAGTACCGGATACGAAACTGGATAACAAATTGGAGGAGAAAGATGTTCATGGTACAGATACTGGTGTGGGTATTGATTCAACAGACACTAGAGACAGTGATGGTAATAACATAGGTCACACAACATCTGTATTGACGGGATTTATGCTTTCACTTGTAGTGTGTCTTTTGATCTTGTAGACGTCTTTCAACTCTTTGACTTTTAAAGTTAATACTTACTTGTTGTCAGTCTTTAGTTTATAGCCGCTAACTCGTGTTTCATTATTTTGAAATTGTTTAATATAACTTTTAACGTGGATGTGAGAAAGAATGAAGACAAACCGACAATCACGAGTCAATATCCTTATAATGAACCTAAAAATAAGAATTAACATTTTACTTTCAATAAATACTTTTCACATAAATAAAAAAGGATGTATTTAAAACGAATTAAACAGAATGGTTGTTTTGAATGAAAGCTGTTTTAATGAAAATGATTATTGGAATTTATATGTATGGTTGCTTCTGTAAGAATGTAATTCCTCAAGCATTAGAAGTAATAAAGTTTGATGGATGGATCTGCATTGGTTTATTTGAAATGATTGGTTTATAAATCGATTGTGATTTATTTATTGATTTTTAATCTGAATTTTAACACACCTGTTGTATTCTTGGGAGTCGACGAATCAGAGGACGGTAAAACTTCAAAACACCGGACACTTTTGTTGCAAGTCTTTAGTTCTTTTTTTTTAATCCTGTTATATTTTTTTCTTACCACGTAGTATAAATTTAAGACGGTCATCCCTTAGAAGTGGGAAAGGAATTTACTTATAATGTACAACCAGTACATTAAAATGCAGAGCGAGACTGAAAAGGGACATTCGGATAAATACGATGGAACATGACAAGATCATTACAAACAAAAACAAATATTTTCTAACTTGATGCTCATGTCTAACTTCATTTATGAACCTTTAACATCTTTAGAACTGAATGGTTTGTATTTGTAGCAGTTAATTCTTTTGCAGTTCGATTTCAAATATCAAACGCTATCTTGGGCTTGTTTGATTGGTCACTTCTTGCTAATCAAGAGCACAAGACAGATATTAGCGGAGCACGTCTAAGGCAAGATTTGGAAACACAATGTGCCAATTAAAACAAAAATAAGAAAAAATTTTGCCCTACAGTTTCATTGGTCTTTTTTCGGAACGGTCCAAGTAAATGAAAATTTTATTACGAATAACAATGTCTCAGCAAAATGCTAATGTTTTAACCCTTAACCTGCTAAATGTGAATAATGGTTCTGTCCTGCTTTGAATTTGGAACAGTCCATTCAACGTTGTAGGGATTTTAATATCAAAATACAAAAATACAGCTACCATCAATATATAGTCTTGTCATACTGCACATATATTCAGGCTGGCCTGGCTCTACACTGGTGACAGATGCTAACCACTTCCGGTCCAACAGGTTAAGTGCCAATTAATCTTCATACGAATATCACCTCTTTGTATCCTTTACGTAACAAGTATGTAAAAACCAAGTCAACACAGTCTAGCGATATTATTCATTCATGTATAATGTCTTTCGGGCATCAATCATTATAAAGACTATGCAACATTTACATAATTCATATAAAATATAACATATAGCATATAAAAACATCGTGTCTCATTTTCTAAATGAACATTAAAAGCAACGTGTTTTTAAATAAATGTTGATTAAGTACAAGTATATGTAAGTGGCATTCATTAAAATTTGAATCGGCATATTAAGTCCCAAACCTATCACCAGTTCTATAAATGCCTAGTTGTGTTTTCTACCTCTGTCAAATTAAGTCCTGTCTTACATAAAAATCTACTTATAAGAAATGTTTAGTCTTAAATGAAATGTTTGAAACCTCTACTAGATTAATCCTTTTTCATTTTTTTCCGCGTTCTCCCCGATCACTTTTATAGTTGATCCAAAGTACCCCGAATACAACGATTGAAACTACCCATATATGGTTCAAAGACACCCGGATCGCAGACCCCCCACCCCCACCCCCAACTATTAAAAGTTAAAGCTACATTTTTTTGCAAGCATTAGTCTTAATTTGTTTTTAGAATATTATAATGGCATGGTCTAACAGACCAGTAGATTCGAGCCTACGAGCAAGGGATCCATTTCCCGGGCGGTTGTGAAAACAGTTGGCCAGACAATTAAAAAAAACTTTTATCACTATTTCATGTTTATATTAAGCTTCCAAAGAGACCGACCCCAAGTCTTTAGCCCTTCCCGTTCATGAAAAATCTATCAGGAAACGAGCGAATTCGTGGACAAAATTGCGGCACAACGATTCGGTAAGTAAACATAGACTAATACATGTTTGTCAGCTGAGTACGGGTCAAAATTACTTGAATGTCCTAAATAATGTTACTAAATTCATTAAGTTGGACCACTCACAACTGTCAGTAGCATCTAATACACGCGTAATTCGAATTTCAAACCTTTCCACGGACTTTTGATTCCTTTCTACGCCATTGTCAATCAGCTGTTCGATATTTTGTAACGAGTCTTCTGATTGGCCAATAGCAACGGAACCACAACATTTCACACAAGGATGCCTAATGGCGTAGAAAGCGATTGAAAGACCGTGTAAATGTTTGATTCTCGAATCTCGTGTGTATCAGATGCTACTGAGTACTGGCAGTTGTGAGTGGCCTCATTTAATGAATTTAGTGTCCAGCTTTATTTGTCATCCAATGAAAACGCTGTATTTCTTAAAAATTATGTGTGTTAATTTTCATAGAAGAAAAAAAGTCGATACTATATTGAAATCCGTTCATAGTCGCCTTCTATTTTTCATAGTGCTTCATAGTACCGCGTAGTGACGTAATCAAGGGCCAAATAAAGCTTGACACTAAATATGTTAGTGTTCATCCTAAGCTGTTTTACAGAAATTAGAAACATTCTCCTGTCGCTATCGCTCCCGTCGAATTTTCTAATTTCTGTAGAACAGCACGGATGAACACTAACATATACTTAGTAACATTATTTAGAACATTCAAGTAATTTTGACCCGTACTCAGCTGACAAACATGTATTAGTCTATGTTTACTTACCGAATCGTTGTGCCGCAATTTTGTCCACGAATTCGCTCGTTTCCTGAACGGGAAGGGCTTAAGACTTGGGGTCGGTCTCATTTGGAAGCTTAATACAAACATGAAATAGTGATAAAAGTTTTTTTAATTGTCTTGCCAATTGTTTTCACAACGGCCCGGGAAATGAATCCCTTGCTCGTAGGCTCGAATCTGGAGTTTCCGGCCTTCTCTTAACTTATAGTATATTTTTAAAGGGGGTCATTATTTACATTTTTTTTTTTTTTTGGTTTATGACACTTTTAAGATGAAAACAGTTTTTTTTTTATCAATCTGGTCATATTTTTTCTTCCCAGGTCCGATACTCGTGCCTGTGTCACATAACCCTAAGTGTCCATGATAGCTTAGTCCATCCCATAAATCTTAGTCATAACGCAGAAGGTGCTAAATATTTAGCTTACTGAGTACTACAGAACACAGATTTTGGCTATAAAGAAGAATTTAATACATGTACATAAAAGGAGGAAGTGAAAAGAAAAAAATACATACCTGACATTTATCTTCTTTTTAGATGGAATGGTAGTCAAGATCAATTATCTGTTTCTTCCTTGATATCTTTATTAGCTTGTTTTATCACAGTGTATCTCTTATAAAAGGTTTGTTTTCAGTTTGTTCAATGTAAGAACAATAACTCCACATGTAGATATTGTTACTTCGTTAAACTAAGGTTGTCTCGCGTGTAAGAAGTCAAGTGATATACAAAACTTATTTATCTCCTGGGAAACCGCTTTTGAAATAGCAAATCAGGTCCGACGAGTAGGGTTCACAGACGTCTGCTCAGATGAAAATTCACTGATATTAAACAAAGTTTGAAACATACAACATATTCTGTAAATCTGTGGTATATAATATACCTATTATATCTATAGGTATTGACAATTTCATAATATCTTGACATAAATTACACTAACTGGATGATAGGGAGAAAAACGCATTTACAGTGAAGAAAAGTTACAGCACCTGTCCTTATTTAGGATGTCAAGGTCCTCATAGAGGATGTCAAGATTCTCATAGAGGATGTCATGATTCTCATAGAGAATGTCAAGGTTCTCATAGAGAATGTCAAGGTTCTCATAGAGAATGTCAAGGTTCTCATAGAGGATGCCAATGTTGTCATAGAGGATACCAAGGTTCTCATAGAGGATGCCAATGTTCTCATAGAGGATACCAAGGTTCTCATAGAGTATGCCAATGTTCTCATAGAGGATACCAAGGCTCTCATAGAGGATGCCAATGTTCTCATAGAGGATACCAAGGTTCTCATAGAGTATGCCAATGTTCTCATAGAGGATACCAAGGTCCTCATAGAGGATGTCAATGTTCTCATAGAGCATGTCAAGGTTCTCATAGAAGATGTCAAAGTTCTCATAGGATGTCAATGTCCTCATGGAGAATGTTATTGTCCTCATAGGGAATGACAATACAATGAAGATGTCTAGGTGTCAATGTCCTCATAAATGATGCAAAGGTCCTCATACAGGATGCCAAGGTCCTCATTGAGGGGTTTGGCATTAGAGTTAAAAGAAATTTTTCACAAAAAAAACGAAGTTCCTTAAAAAAAGACTCGTCACTGAGAATAAGCGTCAAGTGTGAAGCTTCCAATATCGTTGAAGCAAACAGTTTCTTAATTGTTAATCATGTAAATACTATCTTAAGCGCTCGTTTACCCGAAAAGAAGTAAGCGTGAAATTCCAGTTTGAGATGTTTTTAGACAGGAGTATTCATCATAATTATAATTACTAAGTGATATGTTATAAGAAATAATGACATGGACAATACTGAGTAATATTGTGGGAGGTAGTGGGAGGTTTTTAAACAAACGAGGTTATCTTATCATCATTTTTATATCAAACGGCTGAATAATCTTATCTCGATGTTTTGTTTATATATAAAAGTAGGAAGCTCTAAATAATTACAGCAATATATCCTTCAGCGCCACGCCCCTCTGTGGTTAGTAGATGATAGACAGGTTAGCCTGGACGATCAGATAATTGTATAAATATGTGACCTCCTAAAGGGCTTATCAGCATTATCACATAAATACAATTTAAAGTGAGTAAAACAATATATTAGCGATAGATAAATAGTTTCGTATTTCTTAATTTCCGGAAGCAGTTTGTTAAGTAATCTTGTTATTTTACACGGGATAAAAAATGAATGTAAGGTTCTTGTATGACGAGCGTCCATAAATCTAAACTATTTATTATTATAACGTTAGGGAAATTCTGATTTTACTGCAACAAGGAAAGGAAAGTCAATATAAGATAAAACATATAATTTAATTGTACTAGTATATAATGATTTGTCACCAGTTTAGCCTGCGATGACCGGACTCACACACACACTCGTACATTTTGGCCGCTCAATTAATTGACAAGTTGTTGTTTTAGAAAGAATAACCACGATAAGTTCATTATTGAAATAAATAATCTGAAA